CTACACTCCCTATCTCTGGCCAGACACTGATAAGCCTCGGTTCTTGACTGCAATGATTGCTAGCATCGGGTTCTCTATCGGAGTTGTCATTTGCGCTTGGGGAATGAAGTTGGCTTTGATGCGCACCAACCGCAAGAAGAGAGAGGCTGATCCCAACGCCTCTAACTTCTACGTCTACTGAGTAGAGAGACAAGATAAAGCGGACCTGGAGAGATGGAGACAAACTTTTTGGAAAGACGTGAAGTCAGAAGTAATTACTATTACTACGGGGAACACCCAAGCCTATCGACCTAGAGATGTAGCAATTTTCATAATCTCAATATCTCATCAGGCTGGCATGCAACTGCTGCCGAAATATGCATGCGACGGCCAGTGCCATTAATACAGCTCAGCGAGTTACAGATCAAGTGACCAAAACTCATGAAGAGGGTGCCGCAGTTCCCAGCGCTCCCAACGTAACTGTAGAACACGGCGCATCGTACGTGCTGGGCTTGACAAACTGTGGCTCAGGATTGTTCTCAAGTGCCAGTAGTATCAGCGACTCCTCCTTCTGATCAAACTTCGGCCACCCGAGGACCGAACTCAACCCATCCGCCGGATCATTGGCAAAGGCCGCCCATGCGCTCTGCATGAGTGCAGTTGTTTCCTTCTGCGGATCGGACGGCGGAATTCCACTCACGTCCCCTGAGGCGCCGAAGATCATGTGCAAGTCGACGCCATGGTACGCGCCACTTGTCGGGAAGAGTCTTGTGTTATCCCAATCTCCGAAGTAGCGGTAGACCCACGCCGGGACATCGTTCTCTGAACGGGCCTGGCCCTGATGAGAGTTCGGACACGTGAAGGATTCTAGTAGAAACGATTCGACTTGCGCCTGAGTCGGGATAACGCCGTTGCCGTACGCCGGAATCCTGTAGTATCCATCTTCGTTGTGGTTGTTCCCGAGAAGAATCGGCTGTAGCTTGAGTATTAGTTATTGACTTCCGGGTTCGCATGAAATGGCAAGATGCTAGAGGATGAGTACTCACCAGCCTCGCAAATTTGCCAGACTTTGTCAAGGACACGTAGTCTGGAAAGACAGTCTTGTTGTCCACCGAAGGGTAGAATGGCGGAATACCTCGAAGAACACTGCTGGATGATGCCGGCCTGATAGCAGCGGCCGCAGCTTTGATATCCTCCCATCGCCGACTTCGCATGCATGCCATAGCATCAGTGGTGTGAGTGCAATTCACAGCCGCCACCACGGTGTTCCAGTTTCGCACAGTCACATTTGGGCTGTTGAGCGGGAAGCTGAAGGCATTACCAGACGGTGCGATGAAGCCATTAACGATGGGGTCCTTGACGTAGGCATATGACCAGTAGTCAACGGCGACACCGCCTGAGGACTGGCCCGCGATAGTGATTTTTTCTGGATCACCGCCGAAGCCGGCAATGTTGTCGCGGACCCATTCTACGGCTGCGCGTTGGTCCCTCAACCCGAGATTCTGAGGCTGACCCGGGGCACCTGGGAACCCGAAGATGTTGATGCGGTAGTTGACTGTGACTGCGACAACATCTTGGGCATCTGCAAAGTACTTGCCATTGTAGAAAGGACTGTTGGTGTTGCCAATGGCAAAACCTAGAGCATCCTGTTAGTGACACGCAAGACTCGAAGCATTACAGATCTCGGTCACTTACGTCCACCGTAGAAGAAGACAATGACTGGTTTGGTAGCGGTGAGAGCTTTGGCTGTTGGCTTTGTCCAGATGTTCAACGTCAAGCAGTCCTCGCTTTGAGGCGTTCCAGCAGCAGATGCGAAATATCCAATGATGCGCTGCGCTTGGGCTGTCATGTTCGGGTAGTCAACTTGGCGAGAGGGCGAAAGTGGGCAGTCGAAGCCGAAGTGAGATGCTTCAAACGACTCATTGCCTCTGAGCCTCTGCGGTGGAGCAAACCGCAGGTCGCCGACTGGAGGTTTCGCATAGGGAATCCCGAGAAACTCGAGAACATCGGAGCTGTTCGACGCCGGGTGACCGGTAATCAGTCCGTTCGAGGTGGACACTATGTGCAAGTCTGTGGCATTGCACCTGACTGTTGACGATGCAGTTGCATAACTGTCGCTCAATGCCAGGATGGCCAAGCTCGTTACCGCCAACAGAGCACGCATCTTTGTGGAATGCTAAAGGAAGAAGCGAACCAAGAGCGCGATGAATCGAGGCATCATCGTTTTCTGGTCTTTATGCTGACGGATCTCCATCTCGCTTACTGAGGTCCTCTGCCCCTGTATCTTCCATAGATGATGGCGGCCGCTGGCGGTCCTCCGCAGGCTAATGCAGCTTCCCCATGCCGCTTGTCCACGCCGCTAATCTTACCACGGAAGCCATTCCCGTGGCTAGCCTCATTGCGCCGATCGTATCGAACGGTGTTACCCACCAATATGCACAAACTTGTGGTGTCATTGGCTGAGTTGCAGTGGCCAAGATCAAGGGTTCGATGCCTAAAGTACTCATGAGAGACGCTTGCCAACGTCTCTAGGCCTCCGAGTGAGTCTGTCGTTGGAAATGTATGGAAATTCAGCAAGTGAATGTCAGGAAAGACATGTCATGAGAAGATTCCCACGGCTCGAAATGCAATTGAAATTGAGGCTTCATCGCCATTGCCATAGAATTGGAGTTTATCAGCCATGTAAACTTAGACCCCACATGTAGCGACAAAGTACCAGCCTTGCACTAAGTATTTCTCTTCAAGTCAACCAATGCGCAATGCCAACATGCAAGATCAATCGCAGAAAACTGAATTGAGAGATAGAAGTTCATTTCCGGTATAAGACGGACACCTCTTATGTTCCAAAATACCTCAAGCACCGGACCCAAAACCCAATACTACGCCTTGAGACCCATCTGGCTCGTGTCATAGCCGTTGGCTTCAAGATACTTCTTGAAACGAACGTCTTCGTCTTCCAAATGCTTCGGAGCCTAGCGAACGATTAGATTGATCCAGCAGAAGAGATAAATTAAAGACCAAGGGCAACTTACGTCGGGAATCAGGAACCACACACAAAGAGTACCCACGACCGAAATGCCACTCCCGATGAGGAAGATCGCTTGCTGTCCCTTCAACTCCTCATCAAAGCTCGCAAGCGCCGCACTCAACGCAGTCGTGCCAATAGCAGCCCCTGCCTTGCCTACGGCGGCAGCAAATCCGAGGAAGTGACCTCTAAGCGGTGTAGGGAAGGACTCGCTCGAGACCAAAAAGTTGCAGTCTCCAGGGCCAACAGACAAGAAGGTCTGGAAGAGGCCGTACAAGGTGACGAAGAGCGGGAATACGTTATTGAGCTGAATCATGCTGCCGCCAATGGCGAATCCGAAGACGCAGACGATGGCCCAACCCAAGGCGTAAGTCTGACGGCGACCAATGCGGTCCATCAGTAGCGCGCCGATGAAGGCACCGGGAAGGGCAAATGCATTAATTAGGGCGGACCAGCCGATTGACTGGATCATTGTCTGCTGGGAGGAGAAGCCGGAGACAAGAGTTGGTGCAAGAAGGTTGAAGGGGTATACAACGGCGTCGTAGAGAAACCATGCGCTGCAGCATCCAAGGAGTGGTTTCCAGTAGAACTTGATGGCGAGACGATACGGAATGTTGCGCTGAATGGCGTGCTTCTGGTACTGCTGTGAATCGACGAGCCGTAGGCGGAAGAAGAAGATGGCCAAAGGAAGCTAGAATAATTGTCAGCCCACGTTCATCATATCTCATCGATAGGGGTTGACGGACGAATATCCCGATTCCAAAGCAAATGCGCCAAATTCCGTCACTTGCTTGACCATTATACGCCGCAATGACGATCAAAGAGACGATACTAGAGCCCACGAAACCAGAGATGATTGCGGCGTTTGTGGAAACTGCGACGAGCATTCCGCGTCTCCTGCGCATAGCCTCTGTGCTGTCGGCACACTCCAGAGCCTGCGAGGTGCAGACTGTGTACTCTCCTCCTGCATTGCTGTCAGTCTTCAAGCTCCCGTTACGGCCAGCGAAGGTTGCTTACCAGCACCGACACCCGCAACACCGCGGCCGATTACCATCATCCAGAACATCCCCTCAATGGAGGCTCCATGAGCAGCAGTCGCAATGACGATGCCCTGGCTGGCTGTCAGTAACAGCTCTCGATAAGACAAATCTCCTTTGATCGATCATATCGAAGGTGTCAACGTACCAAAACCAAGAAGAGTGTAGTCAAAATGATTCCAACTCGCCGACCAAACTTGTCAATGCAAAGACCAAAGATGAGCATGCCAAAGATATCGCCAATAAGAATGGAATTAGAAAGCCTTGTCTTCACGGCATTCGTCATCTGTTTCGGATAACTGTTGACATTTGTCAGTCACCGTTGTCTTTAGAAAGAAATCTGTTGTTCATATGGCAGACTCACAGCTTAGCCAGAACGGTGTTCATGTATCCGATGATCTGAATGTTGTAGCCATCGGAAAACAAGGCGACACCTTGGACCAGCACGTCGAGCTTCCCGGCGGTTCTGGCAGGAGTAGGCTCTTGAGATGACGCCATGTCACTCTCGGACGATACCATTACTCCGACATCCTTCTTGGTTGCATCATCAATTGTGTCGAATACCGAGGCTGGCGTGGACTCCATGTTGGATGACTTTGTGGTCGACGATGACTTAGAAGTATGCTGCAACAAAAGCACTGAGTGCGATTTGCCTGGTTATAAATACCGCGAATGCATGATGTACGCCGATTCTGAGTGTCTCGCAGGCTACCACGTGGAATCCTTGTTTCGAACCAAATTCTTGGGACGCGTATGGGTCAAGAAGCCATCCACTCGAAGAATCAAGCTATTGCATTCCTTCGTCTAGGCTCTCCTTCGTCCAAGAGTATTTTGCCGAACTATCGGCATTAAGAAGAAAAGCAGCAGTTGCCTCAACCATTCAATACGCTATCTCAACCACGTGCCCCGGCATGAACACCGCAGTTGAGATCGCGGCCGAAGGCTAAGTGACCCGGAAGATGTCCGAGATACGGGAGCCGCCGGGTGTTCACTGAAGGAACGAGTTGTAGTTTCCTCACCTTAGTCAAGATGATTTCTCTACCTACGTTCCTAACGCCGTAGGAGCAAGCTTTGAGTAGCCTGTAAAGTTTGTGCTCGGAGCTTGGCCGTCATGCTTTCCTCTCGGTGGATCCCCGCCTTCGGGGGAGAAAACTTGTCATCCCACGGGCCTCGGACGCCCACGTGGTGGAATGCGATCGTCTTAGACGTCCATCGGAGTGGGGTCCCGACGCCGCGGCCCACCGGTGTGCTCCCGGAGGCGACTCTGCTCATCCGGGAAGTGATAAGGAATATTACCCGGTTGAAAATATGCACTTGGCTCGGAATAACGGCCTGAAAGGATCCATGACTAGGTGTATTGTTTCCGACCATGAGTGATGGCAATGGCAATGCACGTGTGTTGATAATTGGAAGTACGCGACGTGGTGATGGGGAAAGTGTTCATCCTTCAAATCCACCTCGAGCACCGTGGCCGTGGTTCCGAGTCCATGGGTTGAATATGCGGAAAGTTTAATCTTTGAGCGCCATTTCTTGGACGTTCGTTTGTATCATCATTCGGGGTCGATTGTCAATTCAAACTCGGTGTATGGTCTCGTGACTTTGACAGGCTTGGAACACACCTCATCTCAAGTCTCGTCAACCCAGCAAACTCACAATTCTCTTAGAGCGAAGACTTCAACATGGTTCTCACTCGTGTCTTGGACGCCATTACGGCAGTAGCAACTCTCAGCCTTAGGTCGATGTCAATCCTTTTTACAAAATACGTGAGTCTTAACATGCGCCATATTTTCCCTTCCTCCTTAGGAATCGATGAATCTTATTTTCATAACCAAATAGCATCCCCTCGGAAAGAGATATCTCAATCGAATCTATGGGGGTTGCGCGTTGTATGCAATTTCTCTAGTTGCTAGGCTCCTGCTGCCCAATTCGAGGCAGGCCTCTAGGCAACATCACCCATGGCTGCTTCTGCTCTTGGGTTGGGTTGACCGATCATCGCCATTTACATCCCTGGCCACAGTTCTACTGAACATCCTCTCACTTGGATCCGTATGGGACTTCATCTACAGAGGAAGTGTGCTTCACCAGAGTTACGATCTATCCTTCTCTCGGATGGGCTACGTGAATGAAAGTACGGCTCGGATCGTTGTAAGAGCGCCAGCTCTCCCTACAAACTACGTCAAGATCAGTTGGGCGCCTTCCGAGGAGGATGGCCAGGTGGCGAAATCGCAGACAATCGTCATCGCTGATGCCAATGATCATACGGGGACGTTTTTGCTTGAAGGGCTGGAGCCGGACACGCCGTACACCTACATCACGAATGCCAGTCATGCCGGATCTTTCAGGACTGCAGCCGTCTTACCGAAGCGATGGAGTCTCATCTCCACAAGCTGCATCAAGCCTTTCTACCCCTACAGCCCCTTGGATCATGGCTTGCGCATCAAAGGACTGGAATACTTGGACCAGCATGTCTCGGCGAACCAGCCAGACATGATGCTCTTCCTGGGCGACTTCATCTACATCGACCTTCCGGTGGCCCTCGGCTGGACGCCAGATCACTACACCACGGCATACCGCCAAGTCTATGCCTCGCCCAGCTGGTCACCCGCGCTGCGCTCCGTGCCGTGGCTGCACGTCTACGACGACCATGAGATCATCAACGACTGGGCGGCGAACGAGACAGGTCTCTACCAGTCCGCCATGAGGCCATATTGGTCTTATCAAGGACACGCAAACCCTCCCTCGCAGTATGGCATCGGCAAAACGCACTACACCTTCCGCCGTGGCGACGTTTCGTTTTTCGTCCTAGACACGCGGCGCTATCGATCGGCTGAAAACATGGCGGACGGGCCTGAAAAGACGATGCTTGGCGCGGCGCAGCTAGCGGACCTGCGAGAGTGGCTTGAAACAGAAAAATCGTGGAAAGTCGTGGTCAGCAGCGTCCCGTTCACGCGAAATTGGAGGGGTCCCGATTCGGCCGATAGCTGGTCGGGATATCTGTGGGAGAGAGACATGATCTTGGAGATGATGAGACAAACGGACGGAGTTATCATCTTGAGTGGGGTAAGTTGGTCTCTGTTTGATCGACCCTGCCAAAAATTTCAATAGTTTGCTTGAGCTAATTTTTTGCTTCTTCTTTGACTAGGACAAGCATGAGCACGCGACGACGATCTTTCCGCCCACTAGCGACAAGGGTGGTAAGTCCGTGATTGAATTTTCCACCTCGCCCTTGAACCAGTTCTATGAACCCTTCGATCGGTTCCATAGACAGATTGAGGACACGGACGTCTCTGTGTATTCGCACCCGTGGGGAAATTCAAAGTTTGGTCGGGTGTCGTTTGACACGTCGGAGGAGGGCCGATGGACGGTAGACTGTGAGCTTATCGTTGACGGGCGTCAAGTGTGGAACTACACGTGGGAGTTCACCAGGTGATCGACTGCCTCATTACCGAGCCCGTGGAGTCAAAGGATCATCAAAATGTGCACGCGCAGAGAAGTAGGAGTTTGGCTTGAAAAGTTTGCATTCATCGTGGCTTCAATCCGTTAAGCCGGCGCTCCTTGCTTTGCCTTGGACTATCCTTGCCAACCGAAAGTCCTTCCGATCCCTTGGTCTTGCTCTCGTCCTCGAAATGTTTTCCATACCCGTCAAAAAGAATCCTTCAAACGCCCACTTCCTATCTCAGTCTCCGCCTAAACTCCTCATCGCTGTACCCTAGGTCGCATGTCTGAAAGCATGCGTAGAATTGAAGTTGAAAGTCGATCGTGGTGTAAGGCCCTCAAAGATTGGGGGCCACAGCCGCGGGGTAGAAAGTGAACCGTCTCGGACCCGTATCCGACAATTGAGGACGGGGCGACGTTAATTGTTCGTCTTTGGGTGCGTCGTGTAAATGGAAGCGCCGATTCTTTAGACAATGGGCTGTAAAACATCGCCCTCGGGGGCCACGGCGGGCTCGTCTCTCTCAACGTTGCCGTGTACACCGGCTCTGGCGTTGAGGTTGTACTCGTGGCGAATGATGTTGTTCATCGGGGTGATGGCAGCCTGCGTAGCTCCGAAGAGGGCCGCGGCGATGATGTAAGCGATAGATGTCTTCATCTTGTCTGTGGAATATTGCGACGAGTTCTTCTCGTTCTCGCGGTCTTTTCAAAAGGAATGAATGTGTATGTTTGTCGAGGTCAACTCGAAGGCGAGGCGGGACAGCTCAACCGAACACTCTCGTCGATGTCGTAGGGACTGAAGGACACGAACACAGGAACTCGAAACACTTTGATGATGGTCGGATGAGGGGTCCCCGAGGCCTATTAAAAAGACCCGGCACGGCACGGCACACCAACAGCCACGGACTGACGTGACTGTGTGAGTGTTCTGTGTCTGTACTCTGTAAGATTGTGACAGTCTTAATCAATCATCAAACCTTGACTGTCTTGAAGTGGAGCCAATGAGCATGAGAGATTCGGATCTTCGGACGGTCATTGCAGGAAGGTGTGAGCGGGATCAGCTAGACTGACTCGCTTAAGGAAGCTCGCCATGCACAGAGAGATTTGCAAAAGAGACATGGAAACAGCCCTACAGTAAATGTTTGCTTGGCCTCCAGCTGTGCCTCTTTGGCTCTGCCTCCCTTCCTATCATCAATGATGTGCCTATCTCCCACTGGAGCCTACGGTGTTGCAACCCTGGGCTCTTTGCACGCTGCCCAGGGATGGCGTGACTTTGCTTATTTAACTCAAGATTGGGCCTAACTGTTTCAAGTATACGCAGATACGCACGGCGCAGGAGCATGGATCGCCCGCTTGGCTCGGCCGATGTGACACAGTGTTGTAACCCATCTGTTTCCCCCCGCCAAAAGCACGGCATCGAGTTCAGTTGCATGAGAGGCCCTTGAAGAAACTACTTTACTTGGATCGCCCGAAGAATGACATCGATATGTCCGAATCTTCAGTCGTTCTCGTTCCTGATCTTCGCCGGGAGACACCGGACGGTCGACGGGATCCCGAGTGGGAGCACGCCGGGCGGGCCTTTATTCCCGAAGTCAATTACGGATACAAAACTTCCATCATCCATCGATCCATCCACCTGGCATCAGCTCCGTATTCGTACCAGAAGAAACAAACCTCGGCAGTTCTCCACGTTTTGCCTCTGTACAACTTGCGACTGGTTGTAGTCTGATGCGTGGCTCAATCTGGCAGACACATGTTTAATTGTGCTGTCTCGGAGAAGCAAACATGAGCGATGGCCCGCACCCAGAACCCGCAACTCCGTCCCTACCCTCCCTCACGTCAAGTTCCAGAACATATCGACGCCGTCACCCGCCCTGCATGCACATATCAGCCGCCACATTTGAACCACACGAGTTCGTCCAGCCGCGCTCGTCATTGGAGACTGAGTATTACTGATATTATCGGAGCTCATCGTGTTCGTGATATCCGTAACTTTACGTGTCTAACGTCGCTATCGCAATCGCAATCGTCACGCGATAAATACGCGAGGCTCGCCTATTCGGCCTTTATGATTTTCCTATGTTCCCCTCCTGCCAGTAGAGAATTAACGTTCAGTTGTTGCTTAGTCGACCTGTCAGCCAGTGACTCGAGTTCATGCTCATGTCTTCTAGACATTATGCATAACTCGGAGTGAGCCAAATGCGGAAGTCTACGAAATCAAGATCTTATACCACCTTTACAGACGCCTTCTAGAATAGCAGTAGCCTTTAGACTTCAGCCTACACGAAGAGCTTGCCAGCTTGTTGTGTTTGCCGATCACGTATGTTGAGTAGACACTAGAGAGCTTGTGATCGGTTGAAGATGGGACGGTGAGATTGCATTTAAGCATCTTGACCTCCGTATAACTCTCAATGGCTTCAAGGTGCAAAGCATCCCAATCAATTCTCCATTGCATTGTAATACACCAACGTTCAGAACGAACTCCAATATGAGTAGCCAAATTGAACAGAATGGCCAAGCCGATAACCAGTGCCTAGCAATGGTCGGCGATGTCCAAGCCGAGCTGACGCGCCTTCAAGTCCAGCATCGTTGGATCCAGATGTGCCTCAAAGATAAGATCGTTTTCGCGCCAGTGGATACCACGAAGGACGAGCTCAGGATTCTCGACATGGGCTGCGCCGACGGTATCTCAATCTTTGACTGCACTGTTAAATGGGCCTTCTAACACGCGATATCACAGGAACACTACTACGGGACCTGCAGAAACAGGTTCCACCATCCGCGCACATGGTCGGCGCCGATGTTTCAACCATTTTCCTGCCCACGTCAGCTCAGGGCAACATCCACTACGTAACCCACGACGTTTGCGATCCACCGGCCGGGGATCTAAAAGGCCAGTTCGATCTGACCCACGTTCGCAATGTTCTCCACAGCGCCCACCGGTCCGGCATCGAGCAGGCCATCGCAAACCTCGCCGGTAAGTCCGGTTGTTGAATTTGTTGGTTTTGGCTGCTGTTTGATGGATTGCGCGCGTTCTAGTCTAACTGATGCAAGATACGTTGGCCCCGGGAGGCTGGCTGCAGATTATGGAGCTGGACATCAGTCCAGACCAGCCGAACCAACCCCAGTCACTAAAGGATCTCATTCACATCATTGGGACCATGTTTGAGAAGCAGGGAATGGATCGCAAATACGCGTCCAAAATTCCAGAGGCAATGAAGAGGGCCGGCCTCCAGAACGTCAAGGTCGAGCGAGTGGAGTGTGGGATTGGTAAAGTGCATGGCGACGAGCCCGCTGTTAAATCTTCCATCGAGCCCTTCATGCACACCATTCCGCTTGTCGCCAGGAACGCCCAGAGTGAGTTGACTAGTACCAAGCTGTCTCCGCCGTAAGCCCGAACCTCACTAACCAAATGTAGTGTTGGTTCCTGATATGGATCCTGTAATCTATACCAACCTTGAGCAGAGATACACGAAGGAGATGACTGAGCAGGGCGGCATTTTCCCAGCGAACGTCTTCATGGCTCAGAAGCCTGTGGCGTGAGTTGTAAATGTATGAAAAGGAATTCTTGGAAATTTTGTTGGTCGACCTATGTGCCTTTGTCTCATGTCATTATTTACACGCTTTGTAGCGTCTGTCATGTGTAGTTTTGAGACGCAAGCTAGTATGATCTATGAAAATGAGATGTCGTGTTGTGGAGAAGACTGACTGGCTATCCTTTTCGCTCTTGCGTATGGTTAAATTCGGAACTCTCGGCATCCCGTGCACCGCTGTAATCGAGAAGGTCATATTCGATCTCAAATGATCTTAGTAGAAGTCTCAATTCATCCATTCTCAAAGACATCCACAGATGAAATCTCAGTCAATAACACCAGCTTGATCCTATCTGGTTTTACCATCTCATCTCAAAAAGTAGTCACATTCTTCTAGCAGGCCGTAGGAGGAGCGAACTCATAGCAAGTTGAGCCACTGCAGCACCACGCCCAGCCATCACGGCAAACGGTCTCGGAAGGCTGACATCCCGCAGCTTGGCGAGCGCCGATAGCCTCAGGAGCGGCGAAAGCAGCCGATGCCACAGCTACAAGAATAGCAAGGCTGATCTTCACCATATTGACCGTTGAGCTTTCTTATTTGTTAGTGATAGGCGGGGAGAAAAGTTGATGATGACCTCGAGGCCACACTTACAAGATTGTGTATAGTACAGAATTTGGAGAAAGGGCGGCAAGCGAAAGCCAAGGCTAGGCTAAATAGATTTCCGCAAGAGATTTTGTGGAAGTGAGTGAAATACGGGGGGATGAGTTGAGGACCGATACTTTTGTTGATGAAAGAACCATAGAGTGAAAGCTCTTCGTGCATAGATACTTATAACATGTTGCAATCCGAGCCTGAGTCTTGGTCTTACCCGAAGCTTGTCTAATCCAGGAAGGTGCGCTTGAAGGATTGCAGGATTATGCTTGGCACAACCACAGCTTGGTCTCCAACGTATAAGACGCAGTCATTGATGAATCCTGCAAGCCGTATCAGTTCTAGGTAGAAAAGGCCAAGACTGAATAGGATTGTCGTAGCTGTTCCAGGAAGGACCTCGGACTAAGCTCGCTCCCAGGCGGATGAAGGTTCAGTTCAAGCTATAAGCAATGATGTAAGAGTTTCCGAGGGCGGTACCCATCCGATGCCGATCGCTCTTAACAGCCGCACTTTTGAAAGGTTCGAAGACGAGAGGAATTCGGAAGAGAGTCACTTTTCGTTTACATCAGTGAATCGTAAATTTAAAACGGTACTTGATCAATGATTTGAATGAAAAATGATGACAAACATGCCTCGTAACATCCTAGCGATGTGAAGCACAAGAACCGAGTGAAGATAAACGGTCAAACAGAAGATATGCTGTCGCTTTTACTTATCCCAATGTGTCTCAAGTAAAGATGCTTAGTCTTGCTTAGGTTCCTTGACGATGTTTGCATGGTGCCCTGTCTGCGTGTTTGCACCGCTCTTCGAGTGCTCTTTCCTCTCCTCATATTGCTGCTCTGCAATCTGCTGCTTGGCCTCGGCCTTGCTGGAAGGGTCCTCTGTTCATCGTCAGTATTCGGCCTCGGCCGCGAAGGATATGGCAGAAATTTGACATACTAAAGGTGTCGGCTTGAGGCTGGTATTGAGGCATGTTGGAGTAGGAACGTCCTATTTGAAGAATGAAGTCGACGAGTTGAGATGTGTGTGGAAGATTCCGGTTATGTGTATGGAAAGAATATTTCGAGAGCTTGAAGTCAAGAGCTAGGACAAAGTTGACTCTTGATTATGAGGTATTGATAATAGTACGTGTATTTAAATTAGATTGATAATACATGCATTGTTCGTCTTTTGATTTCCACGGCTACCATCGAATATGATGTTATCATTATATGCATTGCGTAAATCGAGCGTCACGATCGCGGCGTGTATAATGTGTCTTCAGTGACGTCAAGCACTGGGTCAAAATGTGGAAATTTGCGGGAGCGCCTGTTGCACCACAGCATTCAAGTTGCCAATGATCACAGTTCGGGCGGGTTTCACTGATGAGATTGCGGGTCACACCTCCATCGAGCCGGAGAAGAGTCTCCTTACCTCCAGCACGACTGAAGCGGGCATTAGCTGCATTGGAAATGATACACGACTTCATCACGTAGCCGAGTAGTACGAATCCATTATGACACGCTTCCTGGGGCTGTAACCGGGCGTATTCCGCCGCGCCGAATTGCGACGGAGGTTTGTAACCAAAGCTTACACGTTATTGCTGGTGATCTTCGCGATATTTCCGATTAACATCTACTCACGTCACTGGTAGGTGTCGTAGTTGGTGCCTCGTGAAGATAGGATGAGGAGTCGGAGCTATCCTGCCCTTGAACACACGATAACACGGCACAAGTAGGGATTAAAGCTCATGTTACAGTTTCATGGGCCTTTTCGATTGATTAGCATAAGCTTTCTCAAGTCTAGGCATAAGGGCGAATGGATCCTGCGCAGTTCCCCAGATGTGGCTGTCCAGGGGAAACCTCGGCAAGTACGCCCGATTATACAAAGTAGATGGTGTTCTTTTCTATGCACGCTTGCTGATGCAGGTTTCCAGATGAGACTCTATATAACGCCCCCGGAAAAGTGTGATGTAAACGGTAACGAGAAGAAAAAGGAAAGAGAGACAAGATGAACGTCTGGCGGATATGCCCTTATTATCTGTAATCCTCAATGATCATATCCAGCACCGCGCTGCCATGGACTGTGCATAGACGGTTAGCAAGGATGGCAAGAGACTGATTCCAGCAAAGGATGAACTCACCTATTGTTGTTTTGGGATCGAAACTCGTGGATACTGCGTGCAGATCCGTTCCCAAACGGACTCGGCGGGGGGAAGTCGCTCGCTGGTGACCGCGGCGGGGCAGGACTTTGAGATCGTAATGAGCGGTCGGCGGGGAACATGGGCACCGACGGGCTCACGGCGGGCCTGGGGCCCGGCGAGGGCAGATATGACATCTCGTGGGTATCGCCTCGGCCGTTGAGGTTCGATGTGGACGTGGACACGTGCAGACTCATGCCGCTCTCTGTGGCCTTCTCCTCGCCGTAGCGCAGCGACTCGCGGCGGTACGGGTTCACCTTGTCGTCCTCATCGAGGTCGAGGAGCGACTTGCCCTCGGTGCGGTCGCCCTTTGCGAGGATGGAGGGGTCGTTGAGCTGTGTCGGGCCGGTGCCGGTCGGCTGGCCCTTCACGCGCCAGAAGACAAGGATGCTGGAGATGAGGACCATGAGGAGGAGAACAAAGGCGAAGATGACGTTGACGATGAAGAGGATCACGCCGACGACACCGACGACGATTCCGGGGGTGTCGAATACGTTGGTGAAGATGAGGAGGAAGACGGAGTTGATGAAGTTGATGGCGTAGATTGAGATGTTGAAGGAGTTTGTGCTCTTGTCCATGAAGGGCTTGAGGACGCTGACGGCGATCAGGGCGGCAGCCTCGATGACGATGAGGGCGATGGCCTGGGCGACGCCGGCCTTTTGACCGAACGCGATGACGGCGGACTTCAGGAAGATGTAGGCGATGAACGGGATGATGAAGTAGTACGCAGAGGCGCGGTACTGGACATAGAGAAAGCCCCATTTGTTGATGATCTGGGGGTTCGAGAAAAGAACGTGCGCGGGGTTCTGGTGGGTGAGAATCGACTGCTTCGCAATGAGAATGACCTTCCACGAGGCCCAGATGAGCGTGAAGAGGGTGCCGAGGAAGAAGAAGACAGCCAGCACGACGAGGGCGGCCGAGTCGATCTGGGTGAACTCCCACAGGCACAGAACGGCGATCTGCGGGAAACCGATGAGGTTGAGACGGAATAGGACGCCCTTGAGGGTAGTCTTCCAGTCGCGACGGAACTCGACGAAGCGGTCCTTCTTGGACCACCCCTGCTTCACGGCGATTTCGGTACCGTATCGGAACGCGGCGATGATGAGGACGGTGAAAATAATGAAGAAGCAGTAGACGATGAGGCCGGTGAGGAACAGGTTGGTCGATTCGATTTTTGCCTTGAAAGCCACGCGCTGGATGCCGTAGACGACGTAGGAGCCGTTGTCCTGGAGGATGTTTCCACGCTTCGCGATGGCGTTGATGCCGCGCTTGACGGGGCCGATGCTGTTGACGATGTCGAGCGAGCGTTTCGAGACCTGCACAGAGATACCGCTCAACGAATCGAACAGTCGCGCTGCCTCACCACCCGTCGAGCGCTGATACCACGTACAGAGGGTCTGCATCCAGCCCAGCCTGACGACACCCATTGACCACTGGAAGTTCTGCGTCCACGCCTGTACGATGGGCGGCATATCGACGCCCGAGAGACCGACAAAGGCCTGCGCCTGGAAGTATCCGAACAGAGACAGGGCGTTGGCTGCGAGATGGGCGGCGGCATCAGTGTGGCCCATGGCGGAGATGATGCCGGCGGACCCGAGACCGAGGCCGGCGATGACGGCGGTGGCCCATTTGACGCCCACGAGATCGACGGTTTTGCCATTGGAGAAGTCTGCTTCGACGCAGGCGACGGTCGTGTTCGTCTCGGTGAGGTTGACGATGGCGCGGATGGTGGCGTCGAGGTCGGGGATGGTGTAGGCGATACCGGGCACCTGGTCGAGCTTGTCGCCGATTTCGAACGAGAACTCCATGTCGATCTTGCCGGGCTTCATCGGGCAGAGGCCCTGGAGGTCCATGGTGCACGGGTCTATCGTCATCTTGAGGTAGTCGTAGCCGTAGATGCGCAGCGCGACGTCGAAGACAGCCTTGCCTTCCACCGAGACGACGGCGGCGATGTTTGCCATGACGGAGCCATTGTTGGCGGAGACGACGACGTTGAACAAGCTGGCGGAGAAGTCGGATTTCTTCTGGCAGTTGTTGAGAGACGAGGACTGGAGGATGCGGTCGGCGTATGCGGAAGAGGGGAGGAGGGCGGCGAGGAGGGTGTAGATGAGAAAAGGAGCGACTTGGGTGAGCTTCATGATTATTGCTTTATGTTTAGTAGTAACGAATGTGTGGTGTTTGTAATGTTATTGCCCGTCAAAGGTGTCTGGTCGCAGGCATCGTCAGCTTGCGATTGGAAGCACACTACGATGGCGACGTTTGAAGCTTCAAGCTTTCTTTCTTCCTCGTGTGTCCCCTCGGTATGTGCGTATGCGAGAGTGTGTCTCTACTCACGATAGTTGGACGCGGTGCAGAATCATCCGATGAGCTCAAAAGGGTCCAATTAAGGTTCCACGGTTGTCCCCTGAAAGAGTGGAAGGGGGCAACTGGGCAGGGTGGGGAGGGGGGAAGAAGAGGCGAAGCGAGTGAGAGGATTCTTCCCCTTCGACGTCGAATAGCTCCTCGTTGTCTATACTGGAACTTCGACGTCAAATTGTTTAAAGGAAAGACAGAAAACAGCGTTGCATGATCGAAAGAGACTCGGACGGGGGGGACAGGGCACACGGTCGCTCTTCTACGGATAGATTAGACGAGAGAGAGACCCGATAGATTAGCGACGAGAGTCAGAGAGGTACGAAAAAAAGGGTGGTTTGTTGCCAAGCTTCAATTTCCCGTTCGGTTTGTGCACATCCTCGATCCGTCAGTGACATTGCCGCTCCCTTATTCGTGTCCCCCTCGTTGCACTTTGTACATAATCGGCATAGTTGGGGAGGCGAAGCAAGCTTGGTTGTGGGCCTGAACAGTTCAAGCCAAGCTCGAGCTTTTGCTCGTACGGAAACAATCGACAGACCCGAGAATCTGCAGCGGCAGCAGAATGTCTTTCCCTAGGGTTCTGGTCCATGTTCCAGCGCCTACAACGCCTCTTTCAACGGCGACTGGAATAGGAGTCAGTCAGAACCCAGGGGTTAGCTTCTACTTTAGCACCGCACTTGGAGGAAACTCAGAAGAGGCGACACTGCAGAACCACTGGCCAGTGACAGCTTGGCGGCTCTTCCACCTGAAGATGATGTGAGATGGGAATGCCCACGGCGATCACGCATCCAATCCCATCACATTCCAGCCGCCGTACCTGCGTATGGGATACGGGGCTCATGGGCCGCCATGGCACCAAGAACGGCCCAAGCCGGCCGTTCCTGACCAGCCAATGCCGGTACCTCTCTTCCCCCTTGTCAAGCTGAGGAGGGATGGCACTCTGGGAGAGGGGAACAAACCGTGAGTCCGTGACAACTCTGGCAGCCCTGACAGCTTTGGCAGCTCTTTGGCAGCTCTAGCAGCGTTGGTCCGCGCCGTCCGCGCTCCAATGAAGGGTCGTTTTCGTTTCCTTGCACTGCCCCCAAAGGTGATATTCGGTTGCCTAAAGACTGGCATGACAGGCCAGGACTGGGTGACTGATCCTCTGTCTTTCGTCTTTTTTGTGCGACGAACCTGCGGCCTAGAGACGGAAGACCCTCCTTTGAAACGAGACGAGACCCAATTGAACCCACAGCGAGCGCCCGGCTTGGACAAATCAGTCTTGGGTTGGGCGGCACGCACGGCGGCTATACGAGTATTCTCAATGCTTCCTCTGCCCTATTATCCTCCTTTATGTTCTTACAGATACAGCATGCTCTAGCCTCTCAAAGACATACATAGAAAACTCAAGGGGTCTGAATCGGGGCAGAATGTGCGACCCCGCTCCCAAGCATAACTCTATGCATAGCTCAGGGGTAGCGGTGGCCCCGTGAAAAAAAGCAGAATGCACGGCTGCTATCTGCACAGTAATCACCATCTAGCGATTCAATACTACCACCATACGGCAATGTCGAGCCGAGATTGGCTCCGGTCTTTTACCAACCCGACGAACAGGGTCCATACGAACAGGGCCGGGTTGTGGGCAATGAATGCCACGGCGGCAGTCTCTAGAGCCTGGCCCAAAAACCGGTCACTGTTAGTGCAGAATAGCGTAGCCAACAGACCAACACTAATGCTGTGATGTTGGTCGAGAATCTTATTGCATCTCAATTGATACGGAACTCCATTTTGGAGGTGCTCAGAAGTGAGGTGACTATTTTGCAGTTTCATTATTCCCTCCTATTCATAAATTATACTACATACAGTACATACATCACATCTGTATAATTGGAAGATGCATCCTAGACCCATACAGTCTCCCAAACCCGCTTAGGCCCGGAACCGAAACTCGGTGATGGGTACAGCTTTGGAGTCGCAGACGCGACGAGACTGCGATACTCGTACTGAGAATGAGATTACAACATGAGAACCGCTGAATCTCACATGCTGCAATCTCACGCAAGGGGTTGAGGCTGTGAAGCTCACAGCCCCAAGACCAGAGTGGTTTTCTGGAGATGAGTAAAGTGCCACGACAATTGGCAGCTTGGCAACACTTTGGCAGCACGATACTGTGACTTTGTAGGCCTCCTCCGAAGGTCCAGAAATTTGCCGCAACAGGCGACTTTTCCTTCCCTCTCGCTCATCCAATCACGCCCAATTGTGAGAATCGTCTACTACACCAATTGAGGATGGAACGAAACAACCGAATCTTCCCAGACTCATAGTTTTTGCATCGCCTAGAACAGCATGTAGTCAAGCGCTATTCTGTACGTGCATGGTCTTCGAGTTAAGGTCGCATGAAGAACGTCATAGAGCCTCCTTAGATCGATATTCCGTAAATGAGCGACAAGAACCTCGAACAGTACGTACGGTTTAAAATGATACACATCACACATTGCTCACCCAGCCTCCGTCACTTGTTGTTGAGATCTTTCAAATCCAGGTCCAAATACCAGGGGTAGTTGATCGCCAAGAATGGGGTGGTCGTCAGCTCTCAAGATTGTCACCCAGCGGATACCACCGCGCCATGCCCCGGGAAACTCACAGCATCCGACTCCATCAACATTTCAGGGCTGGACTTCTGCCTACGTAGTAACGAGAGAATCGAGGAATCCCGAAGTCTGTATTTACTTTGATATTGCGTCACTCCATCATGGAAAGCACGGCATGCGCAAGAGCCACAGAAACCCGCCGCCGTCCCCAATTGTTTCGTCGATCAAGTTCGAATCTCCCCCGTGGGTCAAATTAGACGGGAACTCTCTCGATCGACCTGTAACCAAGATTACGAGGCTGTGCTGGCTGTCTCAGCTACGATCCAAGCGGCAGCGACCATTTCATAGGGCTCCGAAAGATAGATGCAATGACAGCGCAGAATGCCAACAAATGAGAGCCAGGATCAAGTTCCTCTGGTATAGCAGCTTGCCAGCTTCTCACGTCCGCGTCGATTTCTAACATCGTCGTTCACTCAGAATGGGCCCTCAACTCCCTCATTGTCGCCCCATGTCAGAATGATTACATCGCCATCGGCCCTCGTCAATTGGAAACAGCCCGAATCATAGTTAAGTCGTGTGAAAAGGCTACAAGCTCCGTGTCGCCGTGTCAGCCAGCAACATCTCAGGCAAAGCGCCGATACCGTGCACGCTTCCGATTCGGGCTACCCATGGCCCGTTGATTGGGCTAAATCGGGGGCCGACATCGCCGCTCTGCGCAAACTCACCGTCGCCATATGCCGAAAACGTGAAGACTAATCATTCAAAGTGGGGGAACTTGTCCCCCCCACGACCACTGCCGCCTCTATCATCCATATCAAGTTATTAGACATCACCATAGGATAATCTCACAAGACAAACACAGCCTTGTCCAAGCTCCGCACAACTGCTCATACAATCTGAAGACGATCAGCCAAGGGCCTTTCTCTCCGCCCCGCTCCCATCATCCAACGCCACTCTCTCTACGAAGACACTACCAGGCTGCTCATCAAGAGACACAATGACCCTGGGCCCTCAATGCTGGCGCTGCCGCAAAAAGCGCCTCCGATGCGACTCCTCCGTCCCCGCCTGCCGTAAATGCATCATCGCACGCACAGAATGCCCAGGCTACGGCGACAAGCGACCCATCGCCTTCCGGGACCCCCTCGTCCTAACGCAAAAGGGCGTCGTTATCCGGGTCCGGGATCGGGAACCGGACGCGGAGGGCCAAAGCCGCGACAGTGGCAGTGACCGTAGCCGAGAGAAGACACGGAGTAGCAGCAGCGCCAGCCCACCGGCGTCGGTGCTTGGCATCGTATGCCGATCGCCGAGAACGGCCGGATCCGTGATGGAGTTGAGGATTGCGGCTGATGCCATGGAGTATTGTGGGTAACACCTTCCGTGTGGTTTACGTTCACACAAATTGTGAACCTCACTTTCACTCACTCCGAAAACCTCACTCACTCATACATCTCCACTCACTCACTCACTCACTCATCACCACCCCATTCACTCATTCCTCTTTTCAGTGCTTCAATCTCACTCCCGCATCCTCATTCTCATCTTCATTGCTCAATCAATCAACCAACTAATTACTTATTCACAGATAATCACCACGTAGCACCCGACCTAGTCCCCTACTTAACCTCAACATCACCATATCAAATCTCCCCCCACCAAATAGCATCACTCGCCTCCTACCTCCGCAACACATATATCTCTATCGCAGCCCTCCACAGATACATCAGCGGACAGCCGTCGTCGTCGTCGTCGACATCATCATCATCGACTTCAACTTCATCATCAAGTATCCTATTCAAACTATCAACCGACAATAAGACCCTCGCCACCTCCACATCCCGCCCTCCTATCAGGCAACATGCCCCCCCATCAGGCGATACATCCGAACTATCAAGGCTCATGGCCGCAGGCGACTTCAAAAGCGTCCACTTCGCATCCCAAGCAGCCGCCCTACAGGCCTTAGGTCAAGAACTCTGCGCATATCACCACCCTCGAGGGAACAGCTCACCAAACACCGCCGAAGATCCAGGGCCCAGCATCCTCCTCGGCATCATGGTGATGCTCACATCTCAGGTACACTCCATCTCTCTCTCATCCTCATCCTCCCACCATCCACCCAACATCTAACAAAAGACTGACATCCCCCCAAGATCCAATTCTCCGCCTATGCCCCCTGGCAATCCCACATCACCGGCGCCTGGAGCATAATCCTCACCCACGGCCCCTTCGCCGCCGTCGCGAAATCAGACCCAGAACTCTGCCGCCTCCTCCAGCAATTCGCAATCTTTGACATCTTCGGCGCGTCCACCCACGGGGCCATCAACGTCACCACCACCCACGCATCGTCCGTAGCAGGCACGATCCTCGCAAGACAAGAATCCTACGAAGCAATCTTCCAAGACTCTGATACCGACGCCGGTAATCCGTGGAGGCTGGTCCCCAACGACTTGGCCATGATTCTCATTCGTATCAATGGGCTGCGGGCACGGAGGGCACTATACCCAGAGACGGCGAAGCATCTCCCGGAAGGTCTATCTGCTGTGCTGGAGCATCTCGATACCTCGCCGCCCGAGAAATGGGCCGCAGAGATCTCGGCGACTGCACAAGTCTCGCTGGCACCGAGCAGACTAAGCGAGGACCAGGAGACAAAAGACGCCTGGATCGCACTGATGACGACGTATCACAGCGCCGCCGCCTTATACGCCATCAACAGCCTCGCCGGTCTCGGGGCCGCGCCAAGATCAAGCACCGTCTGGTCACAAGAAGCCTCATCCCATCTCGCAAGAAGAGAATCAACAGCATATAGCACACTCATCTCAAGCCTCCGCGTCCTGTTCACCCAAAGAAGCCAGCGACGTCCCTCACAAGCCACCAACAACAAAACACCACCAAATTCCATCGCAACCAGCGCGGGGCTGTTACACAAATTCGTCATCTGGCCAATGGTCATCGGCGGAATCCAATCCGCCCTCATCTACCACGATCAAGAAACCACAAACTTCATGTGCTCGGGTATGCAAGCGGTCGGTGAAGAACTGGGCACGGTAAGCATGATAGACGGTGCTCGCCTTGTCGAGAAGCTTCGGGGGGAAGCAAAGCACGGTCGCAAGTTTTCGTCATGGGACGAGCTGTTTGAGGAGGCACCCTTGTTCTTGATGTGATTATACTTCGTACCATCTTCCTCAAAGAAAAAACCCAAGGGTCACCCCAAGAATCGAATCGCGGGATCCGGTCGGGAGCTTGGGGACCATCCACTGATCCACCCCGCAAAAAGGGGATTTGGGATTTCAGGGTCTCGCCCAACCCCTCCGAGCAATACCGGGTCAGACAGCCAAGCGTCGCCGATGTGTCCGGGACGATCGTCCGAATTCTCTGCATGCCTTCGAGTTGCAGCCGTTCGAGCCGCGGCCGATCACTGCCGGTACCACCACGAATCTGAGACACGGAACGGAATCCAGCGTTTGCAATCTCTCACCAAATTCCTGCGCTCATCAAACATGACCTCTCTGATTTAGCAATCCGCGAAAATCACAAAATAGGGGCACTGAGACAGGAGTGTTTGAAGTAGTCATATAATCCATTGGATATGTACAGGAGAAAAGGTGCGTGCACGACGCCGGTAAGCTGATGGGTATCTGTCCCAAGCAGCAGTCAAGATTACAAGTCGGTGTAATGTGTCCAGACAAGCAGGGACCAGCGCCGGTGCGATTCTCACACAGCGTCTGGTCATGTTGGGGGCAACAGGTGCAAATGTGCAGTTGGCATGTCGGCCATTGCAAACCTCCCAGCAGACAAAGAAAAAAAAAAAGAACCAGAGCAGGCCCCCCAATGCTCATGCAAGTGCGCCGCTAAGAGACGTGACGGAAGATGGTCGTAAAGTGCAATATGCCAATTGCTTTTGAGCAAAACCTCGTCGTCGTCGAACCTCGAAGACTCGCCCCGAGGGTAATCATGTTGCCGTCGTGAGATTGCCGCCCTGATCTATGTATCGTTCGTTTCGGAACTGTTTTTTCTTTGCTTTTCTTCTTTGATCAATTCAAGTAGCGTAGGCCAGACGCTTCTACCGCTGGATCTCGCTGACGCTGACGCGGCTTGACCTCCAGTCATTCGTGGGAGTCTGCTTTGAGGATCCGAAGCCGGGCATGGAGGCGAAGCGGCTCAATCGCTTCTTGCTGGGCTCGGTCTGTGTCGAAGCGACGGTAGGCGAAGCAGGCTCGGCGTGGTGAAGGGCATTCACTCGTGGAGATGAGGACTCCTTGCTGGTGGTCGTGCCGGCGGACGAGGAACCGGTGGAGGTGGGAGTCTGGTAGACGTACTCGCCGTCGACGTAAACTGCGTTGGAAACGAAAGTCGAGCGACGATGACGGCGACGAGTGTAGCGCTGCTCCAGACGGAAGAGCTCAATCTTCTGCTGGATACGTTCAAGGATACCGGGAGCCATTGTGACGGTTATTTGAGCGAAGACGTTCGGTATAGGTTTGGAAAGCTTGTTGTGTTGAGGTTGCTGGAGAGATTGATCTTGCTCAAAGTTGATGGCGGGACGAGGCAAACTCAATTGACTCGACTTGGGATGAGATGGTTGTGCAAGTACAGATGACGGGACGAGATGTATTACGGGAAGACAATGTCTGTGAACGGTGGCAGACGCACGTCGTAATGTAGGGGCGCAACAGATCAGACGAAAAGCTTATCGGTCGCGGTAGGAATGGGTGGAATGGAGGTCGCAATCTTGTGACACAGATGTCTCTGGTGGCTCGGATGTGTTGTAATCCCCCCTTTCTGCCGACTGGCGTTTGCGGTAAGATGTCTGTCGTATTTTGAGGACTGCTTGGTAGCAAGTGTCTGATTGAGGTGCCGCGATCGGGTGCTTTGGCTGTTGGATTTGTTCTTTTTTTTTTTCCTAATTCAGCACTCTGTGGCTGATAGTAGCTTGGTGTCTGTGACCTCTGTTGGGAGTCGGTGCAGGAGCGAGGGAAGGAGAGGTAGTCAAAACGCCGGGCTTCGAGACCTCTTGGGTGGTTTTGGTGTATTAAGGTAAGTTGAGTTGGAACGAGTGGACTGGGTGGGAGTGTGTGTGTGCGAGTGAGGGAGATGTTGTATCCGGTCTGGAGTGGTTGGGTTGGGTTGGTCGGGATGGATAGAAAAAGATTGGAAGAATGGCGGCGGCGGCGGCTTGGCCCAAGGTGGTAAAGTGAGTTGAAGGAGAGGTACCTTTAGGTCGGGCCGGAGGGTGAGGTGTGGTCGGGTGTGAGGTGCGTGAGGTGTGTGCCGTGTGGTGTGGTGGTGGTGGAAAGGGAAGAGAATGACAAGGTGCAAGGGAAAGGACTGGATGGCCGAGAAGGGAACTGCCAGAGTGGAAGGGAAGGGGGAGACACTAAGGTACTTCGTGAGGTACTTCAAAAGGAGGGGAAGAAACGACTCGTGCAGGGAAAGAGCCGTCTACGAATCACAGATTCAGCAGATGGGAAAGGCAGGCACAGATACGGTTGCAGCTGCAGGAAGAGAACCTTGATAATGCTGTTACGGGCTGTTGGAAGGCACGGAAGACGAGAGGGAAAGAAGGAGAGGCGACGTGAAGGAATGGTGTGGTGTGTGTCAACTTGCAGTGGAAGGAGCAGGCGCAGGAAGCTGCAGGTGGCAGGTGTAACGAGAGCTAACAGGAGGAGTTCTTTCCTCTGGAGCGATGGGGACTGGAGGGAGTGGGGCACGGCGCTCGGGCTTCTGGAACTTGCCTTGGAGTCTTGGACGGTACGAACACAGACGGGGTGGATTCCGTGGGAGGGAGTATTGTCCTGAAGCACTGGGCTGGGCACTCTGGACCAATCCAAGAAAGTTTGCACAATTGACAATTGGAGCCGCAGGTGCAGCACTAGGTGGTATGGTGCACTGCAGACAGGTGCAGGTCTGGGATATGCATATCGAATGTCACCCTCAGCGTCGCGCCTGGATGCATCCAACGCTCGCTCCCAAACTTGTCCAGAATTCTTTCAGCCACTGAGAAGCGCTGGAAAGATGGGAAAAGATGGAAAAGAGACGGGTCCTCCGATAGACCGGTTCATGCCTCGTTTCTTCCCTGCCAGTTCCTGCCCATCGTTTCCTTTTTCATCAATAGCGTGGGATTGGTTCCCACACCACTTGGGCCCACCTCATCTCTACTAGGATCCACTCTCCACGCAATCGCAGCCAACGATATGGCGCCAGCCGGGACACCTTCCCTGTCCCGCCATGTGCTCTCCTGCCCTTTCCCACTTTGCTCTTTCCCAAGCTTCATGGCTCCCCGGACGTTGCTTCTCGTTCTTGGTGTCTGCTCCGAGTTTCGTTCCTCTTCCGGTGGAGTTTCCTGCACTTGCGGCCATTGTTCCCAGCTTACCCAACTTTGGCTCGCGCAACTTTCACTTTGTTGGTTTCTTCAGCTCCGCCGTCGTTTCTTTGTCGTGATTTTTCTCGCCGTTTGCCTCGTGTCGACCAGGCCGTTTCAATCCGCCTGTGTGTCACGTTTTTCCTTCTTCCTCTCGGCCACAACCGTCAGCCTCCCACGACCGGTCCTTTACTAAGGACTTGAACCACGCGTTGACGGTGGAGGCTTAGACAATTAACTTCCGGGTCTCCGTCTGCTTTCTTTGGGATGGTTCGTCCGTCTCGGCCCGTTGTCGAACAATCCACCGCTCGTCGAAAAACTCCAGAGTCGAGACTCGAGACGGGCCATCGAAGCTCGACCTCACCAATTGAACGCTGCCCCCAAACGGTGACCCGCTGTGTCGATCCGGCCTGGAATGCTCCACGATGCCGTTAGTGATGCACCAGATGTTCCGTCCGGGTAATTTTGTCCTGTGTCCCGCGCCTTGCTTGCGTGCTCGCTGACTTTAACCAGAATCAAGACTGCACACCATCTCAGTCTCCCAACCACGTCTCAGGGTCCCAGGAACGACAAATCCAGATAAGGCACCGAACCATCAGCAACTTGACACCGAAAACCGTCAACCATGATACCATCATTCTCGTGTCTGCCCCTCCCGCCCCTCCCCTCCGCCACCCAGTTCCCCTGAACCTTCGCATTCGGCGTTACATCGCCCCATGAGCAATCGGTGGGACCAACACCCAGGGGTTCGTCCGCTTCGATCCCCGCCCTCCGAGTCAATCATCCCGGCGAAAACCTCGCCCTCTAGCGATATTGCAACTGCGCCGTCGGGTCAACCAGTGTCGTCAGTGCACTGCAACCTATCAGGCTTCAGCAAGCTCCTCTGTCCATCCCAGCTGACCGGATGACGGAATTTGGCGATGACTTCAAGACAGGCCTCATGAGCTGCGTCTCATGAACTTCACGGGATTCGAACTTCTCTCGAGGATAGTACGCTAATAGTCATAAGTATGGCTTGTTGCAATGCGAAGCTACGTAGCATATCCCTCGCTAGCCTAGAGCCGCCTTGCTCGGGATGGTATCCGCCTCGTACAATTACTCAACCTCCATATCACCGTCATCCGTCTCCATCTCAGCCATTGAGGCCTCATAAAGATCGTCTTCTAGCTCGGGACAACGCACTCGCAAGCACTCCAAAATATCGACGTACCCCCCAGAACCATCGTTGCCGTTCGCCTCTTGCAAAATATGCTCCAGTGCAGAAAACCCAAAGGGCTCCAAAGGCCGCCGTAACGCCGTGATATCCACACCCGGGCAGCCGATCAAGGCTTCCATCGCCACCATGTTCCCGTTCGTCACAGCATCAACCAGTGGTGTTGATCCGTCGTTGGCCGTCACGTCAAGCTCAATTGAGGGGAGGTCCAAGACAGCGTTCAATGTCTCTCGGTCACCATGCCGGGCGATAATATGCAATGCCGTCTCACCGTCTTCGTTCTGCACATTAAGCTGATGCTCGGGTGCTCGACAAAGGAGAAACCGCAATAGACCGTGTCGTTTGCGAGACGCCGCAACATGAAGCGCTGTCTGCCGTACCTGACGATCCACGAGGAAGTCGACGCCGGGGTACATTGCCAAGAATCTGGCTGTGGCATCATCTTCGGCCCGCGCTATCGCGAGATACAAAGCGGTATGCCCAGCTTCTGACGTCTCACGATTCACATACTCCTCATTTCCCTCCGCTCCGTCAAAATGCGCCTTGAGAATAGCTTCCACCACGTTCACTTGCCCGCGAAGGGCAGCGACGTGTAAGGGCAGCATTCCGTTCCGGTCCCGCGTCTCCTCCGCCGGCCGGATCTCTGGATGGCAGCGCAATTCAGCGTAGCACGACTCGCATCCCACCGAGGCTGCGAAATGAAAAAGGGAGAATCGTCTCCTGAATATTCGATGCCACGGTTTGGCGCCTCCCGGCTCGAGAAGCTGATGCACAATGTCCGGCCTGCGGTCCAAGATAGCGGCGTGGACGAGAGTCAGCCCTTGATTGTCCTTGAGATCCGGTCCGACGTGGTCGGTGAGGAAGGCAAGCTCCTTCAAGGACCAGTTTCTGATCCTGGGTGGGATGAGTGCGAGGTCCCGTGCGAGTATGGGATATTTCGCGCCCTCTTTTACCAGAATGTCGTGGGCCCAGATCTTGGCATACGGCTGCGAGTCTGAGTAGAGATCGCCCGGAGCGAAGAGGAGACACCCAACAACCGCGTGCGGGACCAGCTTCTCCCATTCTGGGCCGAAGCCCTGTTCGACGTAAGACCAGTCGTAGAGATCAAACTTCTTCAAAAGTATCGGAAGCCTCGAAGAAAGTGTGGTGGATAGTGAGACTATCGCTTTCAAGGTAATGATCTCCGACATGCTTGACCTGGACCGAAACATCAGGTCTGAGATCTGTTCGCGTATGAGTAGTTTATGGGGTTCGACAGGGCCATCAATAATCGGACGCTTCGGCAAATTGCTGTGTAGCTCAGTGAGAGTATTCTCAAACAACATCCTCTCCGCGAGACACGTAGTCTTGCCGTGACCGAGTCTTGTCTTGAGGGCGATCGATATCCTGTCTTTGAGAAGTGGTAAGGTCTGATGGAGGCCCGAGACGTAGGGCACATCGAGCTGTGCCTGAGTACCAGGTCCATTGCTTTGGCAGGGAGTCTTTTGGAAATCGAGAATATCTAGCAAGGAGGTTCTCTGGTGATGATGGACTTCGTATACGCTGTTCAGAAGCTGGACTGCGGTAAGTATATCCATCCTGTCTCACATGATTAGCCTCTACTCAATAAAGGAGCTGACATGGGCCTTACAGATCTTCGCAGTTCCAAGAAGTGCTAGAGCCATCATGATCTTGGCCGTGGGATCGCCGGTCGCTCGCGATACTCATCATGCTTTCAGGCTCTTCTTCGCCTGGAGCCCGTCTTCGTGTCCTTTTCTTGACTTCGCCAGGTGAACACTCTAGGCCTTTCGACAAACAGCGATCGCACTTTTGCGGCCATGTTCGAGGTTGAGGAAGGCACTTCGCAGCTCGATTGTCAGCAATTTTCTGACCGAAGCCATAAGCGCTCCGCCGTAGAGGCGGGGCAAGGTAAGCGCTTGGAAGAGGACCGAGATACCTTCAACTTGTGTTGTCTGCAAAGCTGGCACTTTTCACTGTCCAGTTTTCTTGGTGGTTTCTTCCGTTTGTTGGACTCTTCTTGAATGTTGCTTACATCTTGCGACGTTTGCAAGCTGAAGGGCAAAGGCGCAGCAGATGGTCCAACCGGCGATCCGATTTTGGGAGCCGGGTTGACCGCCATTGAAACTCTAGTGAAGATCAACCTTTGACCACCCGTTAGGCTAGAAAACAAGTGTGTTCTAGTTGAAGGCCAAGTAGCTTCGGACAACGGACTGGGCTTACACTTATTCACGATGATACTCGTAAGGCTGTCATGCAGACCGGGGTTGGCCATCGCACTTGTAAGTGCGACACACTCCTTCATGCACGCGAGCGGGACAGTAGTGGGGTTGACGAATGGCATTCCCGTCGCACTTTCACCGCACTTATCGCACTTATGTCGCACTCCAAATCGGTCTGGATGCGTATGATCATCGCACTCTGCTCACCCCATCGCATACATGCTGGATCCCTGTCAGCCTTTTGTGAGGCTCAACTTTGGGCACAAGAATCGAGAGTGCGGGGTTGATGAAGAAACCCGGTACGGTGATTTGAGGTTTTGCTATCCCTCGCAAGCCAAGTGATTGTATACTATCTACGTAGACAACGCGCGTACGTATCCTGAAGTATGGAAATACCATTTTGCCCATACCTCGAATTATGTGACCTATCAAATGGTAAAGTCACTATCAAGTTCTCCCGTATAGCTGCAGACTACTAGGTAGACCAATATTCACTACATCTCCTCATCCTTTTCACTGGCTCAGTGCTCCTCAGGAAACGCAGGCTCAGGCCTTGATCCATACGGTATGATTCTCACCATATGCCTCCTCTCCCCCTCCCTGAAATCCGGCACCGCGCTATGCGCAACGCTCCTCTGATCCCACACAACAACCGACCCAGCCTCCCACCTCACCCGGCAACTAAAATCCAGACTCTTGACATGATTATGCAAAAATCCCAACAGCGCATCCGATTCCTCGGGTAAAAACCCCTCCACCCGCCTCGCAATCGTCGGATTCACAAACAGACTCGGCTCGCCCGTCACAGGGTGCCGAATCACCAGCGGATGCGTCGTCGATACGGCCTCGCGGAGGGCGCGCTCTGTACCTACACGCGCGACTTCACCTACGGAAGCGGATGTGTGGAATAACCGCAGGCCGCGGAGGGTGGCGCGGTAGGCTGGGGAGAGGGCCGCGTAGGCTGCTGTTAGGGATGTGAAGGCCGTGTCGCCGCCGCCTGAGGCGGGCGTCTCGAGGACCCAGAAGAAGGTTGTTGAGGGGGTGTTTGGGGTGAAGGTTTGGTCTATGTGCCAGAGGTCGTAGGTTGTGCGGGGACCGAGGAGGGTGCGGAGGTTGCCTCTGCGGTGAGTGTGAGTGACTACTTCTTACTTATAGATCCATCGTATGTGACGTGGCTTTGGGGGGTCTTACGCTTTCTCGTCTGCGTAGACGACGTGGAATTCTGGACCTGTGCCTTCTGGGTATCCCATCGTGGGGTGCTGGGAAGAAGGGGGCAGTGGGATCAGCGAATGCGTTCCGACTATAGAGGCCTTCTCAATCGTACCTTATGCAGAGGACCATAATGCCTCACAATCTCCTTTTGCCTTTCAAAGCCAATGTCTGCAAAGTCTTGGTCTCTCTAGAACGACGTGCCCGATTAACACCGAGTGTCTGCATACCAACCAAAGGTCACCCAGAGTAAGAGCACCGCCGCTCTACACGATGTGAACTCACAAAGACTAAAACACCTCTCTCGGCCGCCAATAGCGCAACCTCGTCGAGACCCGCCTTGGAGAGCTGGCTAAGCTGGATACCCCGGACTTCGGCGCCGACGCGGGGTGTGATGTTCTCCACTCTAGCGCCGCCGCCGTCCCGGAAGATGGAGGAGGGGGACGAGGCGGATTGGGCCGCTTTGGCTCGGACACCGGGTTCTTCGGCTTCGAAGAACGGTATGTCGATTGTCGACTGGAAGCCGTCGGGCCTGGTGGGGAGGTAGGCTGGGTATAGCGGTTCAGTCGGCATGGTGGCTGGACTTGGGTACGTGTAGCGAATGATGATGGGAATGGCGAAGCACGCAATCTTTTGCTGTAGAATCTCCTGGTCGCCTGCTGTCGATATATGTACACGGCTCTCAGAAATATCAATGAGACTCAATTAGTTATTATCGCGTCAGGTCCTGTCTCACTCGGTCGGCGCCATCCCGACAAACGTGCTTGCAGTTGTCAATCACCGCGAGATGGACGGTCGAATCGTAGACGCAGAACAGGTTCTCCTGTCACCATTCGGCGAGGCACCGACGCGTCACGGCATAAGCCGGCGAAATGGCGACATTTTACGTTGTATCCCTGCCGCCGGCGGACGCTTCCCCGGAGCTGGGATAGCCCATGGAACGCTACGACTCGGCAACGAGAAACAGAGTTTTGGCTAACGGTTCATCTGAATTTCTGCCAGAAAAGCAGCTGATCCGTCCCAACTCTTTTTGTTATTTTCCCGATTCTGTTTCTTCGTTTTTCCCATTTCATCATGAAAGATGGTGATGTTGCCATCTGACTCTTTGCCCAGTGTTATTGAAGCATTGTCTTGAGCGTCGGTGTCTCCCGACGTCTTGTCGGCATCTGTCCGCTTCAGGGAGAAATATTGCTATACGGTGATGGCGAATGTTGGTTGAATGATCGAGTTCAAATACGACCCTCAAGACCACTGTTTAAACAGCTGCATGGCCATCGAAAGCCTGCCCGAGGGAAAATTCCGGATCTTATATTCATCTATCTGATTTACATCACGAGGCATCATCGAAAATGGCAAAGACCGAGTCCGAATCGGCCTCGGCGGAAGCCAGTCCCAACCTCACAAAGCCCTCGATCCCATGGCTCGCCAAAGTCCACCCCTACTTTGAAGACGCAGAACACGTCCTCGTCCTCAAACTCGACATCCTCCTCCTAACATGGGCCTTCATCGCCGGCCTCATGAAGGACATGGACCAGTCCGCAACAACAGCAGCCTACGTCTCAGGCATGCAAGAAGCCCTCTCCCTCTACGGCAACGAACTCGTCGAGTTCACAACCTACTTCTCCATCGGCTACGCCCTCTTCATCGTCCCCTCCCAACTCATCCAAACCCGCGTCCGCCCGTCCCTCTGGCTTCCGTTCTGCGAAGTCGTATGGGGCGCCATCACCCTCGCGACATTTGCCGCCAAGAACGCGCGCACCGTGTTTGTCCTGCGCTTCTTTCTGGGTGTGTTCGAGGCGACGTCGTGGCCGGGTATCGTGAACCTCATCTTTAACTGGTACACCCCCTCCGAACTCGGTAAACGCCTCGCCATCTTTGGAGTGAGCAGCCAGGCGGGGAGCATGTTCCTCGGCATCCTCCAGGCCGCGCTCTACAAGAACCTCAACGGCGCACACGGCCTCGAAGGCTGGCAGTGGCTCTTCGTCGTCTCGGGCATCATGACGATTGTCTGGGGTCTCTACGGGTTCCTCGTCATCCCCGACGCGCCGACCACGACCCGCGCCTTGTGGCTCACCGCAGACGAACGCGTCCTCGCTGCTTCGCGCATGAGGAAATCAGGGACGACGACGCAGGAGGTTATCAAGGGCAAGGCCCTCTGGTCTCGTGTGCGGAAACTCTTCACCTCGCCTATTACGTACCTCTTCCTCGCGGCGTACCTCCAATTCGCATGGTCTCAGCGCGCGAACTCGTATTTCTTGCTCTACCTCAAGGGCCTCAAGGCCGCGGACGGCACGACGGCGCTGTACTCTGTCTACACCGTCAACCTTATCCCCCTCGGCGGCTACGCGATCTCCATCGTGGCGAATATCTCTCTCAACGCGCTGAGCGATTGGAAGGACTGGCGGTGGCAGGTTGCCATCGGCGCGGCGCTGCTTCAGCTTGTGGCAACCTCTGTTCTGGCGGCCTGGCCTGGCGGAAGGGGCACGATTATGACATTCTATTTCTTGACGTTTGCGACTGCGGCGTGGGGGTACGCGCTGCTCGCGTGGCTTGCTATCATCTTGCGCAAGGAGCCCGAGGCGAGGTCGGTGATTGTTGGACTCGCGGTGACGCTTGTGTATGTTGGGCATGCTACTATCCCGCTGCGGGCGTGGAGGACGGCGGACTCGCCGAGGTATCCTATCGGGTTCCCGCTGGCGGCGGCGTTTAGTGTTGGGAGTATCGCCTCGATTTTTGGGATGTTGTGGTATGTGCGGAGGTATCCTGACATTCTTGACTTTGGGCTCAATTGGAAGTCGTTGAGGGAGGCTGGGGATAGTGTTGCTACGTTGGAGAAGGTGGATGTGCAGAGTGACGATGGAGATGAAAGCCAGAAGAAGTCTGCCACAGAGGCGACAAAGACTCTGTGAAGCTACGCAGAAATCTCAACTCATTCTTTCGTTATTTCATAGTGTTACTCCTATGCTATCTGGTGATGAACCTCCATCTACTGAAAACTTCTCATCGTGTGTTACGAAACCGCTTCGTGCGTTGTCAATCGACGGCGGGACTGATTCGACTCCAGCTCCATATCCAGGCCAGCTCCCGAAGCTTGAGTGAAGACACCATCTCGAACAACAAAACGTTGAGACTTAGAGGCTTTTGCCAGACGTCCAATATCGGTATCAGTAGCAACTCTCGCGTCGTGAAGCAAGTCTGCCAGCTCAGGGCTCTCCGAGATCTGCGCAACAGTATGCCATGCATTCTCAGGCAAGCTGTATCGCGTAGACCTGAATAAGGCCGCCGCCGCAGCAAACGAGGCCAAGAAGACGACCAGTATCCCCACAACGGCTAGATACCCCCTGAAGCGCCACGGTATCGATGTCAGCTCAAACGTGACAATGTCCGCGGTGTCCATCCCAGGGACGGCAGTATTGGGAGAAAAGGCGCTGAGAAAGTCATAGTAGACAAGTCGCGCAAGGGTAAAATACACTGCCTGCATCGCGCGAGCTGGTGATCCCGTCTCGTCAATGGTATCGCCAAAAAGCCGCTCGTAGATCACATCGCTGGTGCCGTCCTGGGAGTCGAGATTCGGAGCGCAATTGTGGCAGAAGGCGATGGGCATGGAGGGCATTCGGGCGTAGGTGACGCGGTCGAAAAACCATTCCAGGCTGCGGTCGGCGGCATACTGTTGCCACTTAGAGCCATCGCGAGCGTCGGTCACGGCCGAGTCTAAGCTATCTTTGCTGATAGATAGGACTTGGCGGTCTTCGTGGGACAGGGATGAGGCGTCCTTGACGGCGCCCAGTTGTCTGCGGACCGCGCTCGTGTCGTAGACCTCTCGCTCTACATCCCACTCGTAGGTTGGCTCTGTTCTGTTGCTTGAGCTGGTTGCGGAGACGTTAAGATACTGAATCGAGTCCGGGTAGCTGTCACGAAGAACTTGTTGTTAGATATTACAGCGTAGAAGAACCTGATGGAACAGCTTAAGCGCTGGAAGATTCAAGTACTCACTTATAGAACTGTGCACACATCGTCATGTTGAAGTTGATGTACTGGTCTTTTTCGACGGTGTCAGAATCAACAAGTCTGATATGCAGAGACTCTTTCGTCCACGGGCCCGAGCCAGTCGAACTCAGCACCTTGACAGTCGACTTCAAACTATCAGAGCTCATGTTTCCCTGGATTCTTCCCGCATCCCACACAATCCTCATCGTCGTCATCCTCGTGGTATTCCGAAGAGACCAATCGAAGGACGTCCAGTTCAGCGTCTCGTACGCGCAAATCTGCCAGTCGTACTGGTTTCCCATGTACCCCGTAACAGGGCAGCTGAAGTTGAAGTTCATCTCATCCGTCCACGTCAGCCCCGCCGCAGCCGCCGCGTCTACAGTGGGATCGAGCCGTATCGATCCGCAAATGTCGACGCCATCTGTGCCGTTGCACGGGCGGACATTGCTGAGCTGCGGCCTCATGCAGATGAACCGCGTGTCTAGGACTCTTGCCATGCCCTGGAACTCGAGGAGCGACTCGCGCTCCTGCTGCGATGCTACGGGGAGAAAGGCTCTGACTGTTGGGCCGGTGTCATCTAGTCCTTCTCCTTCTGCTGGCGTACCTGTGTACTCTGCGAACGTCTCTGTGAGTCGCGGTCGTTGAATCCAGTAGTTGTGCGCGTACCCGGAGACAGCTTCCGGCGGCTTGCCGCTCGAGAGGTTCCCCGGGATAAAGGTATACGCATTGGACACGGAATCAGGAAACGTAACGACCCGGCGCTGCTCGAGATCCGCTACAAGAAGAGTGGACGTGAACTGCGCAGCAATCGTCGTGATAGCCAAGAGCGTAAGCACCAAACGAACCAACGGCTGCAGCGATGAGCTCGTGAGCGCGAGGAGACTCAGCGAAAGCGGCCCGTCGCTGGAGAAGCGCGCGACGGAAACTTGAGCGATGTCTTGGAGGTATACACCCCTCCGCTCGACCGCGACCGACGCAATCATGGCCGTGGCCGCGGTGGCCAGTATGCCTATGGCAGTTCGGATGACGACGGCGGATAGAGTTATGCTTAGTTGGAGCCGGTTCGGGGCGAGGACCCATTTCCGCCAGCGGACGTCTTGGTGGGGTGCCCACCAAAGCCATGAGATGAAGGCGACGGCGCCCGCGAGAAAGAGCAACGAGACGATGAGACTGGACTTGAGAAATAGACTGAGACGTTTCGGCGGTGGCTTTGATAGCCTCTTTGGTTTGTGGCCTGCGCCTCCATTGTCTGTTCTAATGGGGCGAATTTGGCTGGGCTGTTGGGTCTTGTTGGAGTTGAGTGGTGACTGGTCTGCCGTGTCGCGATCCAGTGGTTGATACATCGTCGGCTCTGGATACTAGTCGCAAGTTGTTATACTGAGTTGCGAGCAGTCTCATCGCCAACAACCTCTTTCACATCGGATATTCAACTCGATGTCGTGATTTAAGATTACTCTCGTCGCCACACAAACGAAATATGTTCTGCAGGATCAGGCTCGGTCATCCAGCCATGTGGAGATCTCCAGTGAAGGACTCAAAGTGAGGCTGCGTGCTTATTTATATCCACTAAGCAACGTAGCCGAGCCCCAACGTACGACCACTAGGCAGCGATATCTTGCAGGGTTACCGGGAGAAGGCGATGATTGACGTGTAAATACAGGGAGTTGCCACCATTCAGAGGCTCTGAAATTTTGAATTTGCGGCCCTCTGACTTTCTCACGCACCCAGGCCCTGGGATGCATGCGCGACATCACCATGGCGAACATTTCTTTGACGCTAATAAGAACTGCCCGACCAAACTGTGCGGACTTAACAACTTCAAGGTGATATGAAACTTGACAGCACGTATCACCTCAGCCATTAGAAAGGCCACAAATTAGCGGATCATTACACGGGCAGGTGAATGAAACTTGTTCCCATTCTTCTCTGACATTTGCAGGTATGTTCATAACAACTGGCAAGTCGTTGGTGACAGGACACTGAGATCGAAGACAGAGCTCAAGGTTTCCTCTTCAGACCATCGGTTCTCCACCTTGAATTGAACATCGTAAAGTCCACGAAACCAAAAAGCCCCTAGGATGAACTGGAACTCATCAAGCCGCACAACCTCCAATCCGTTTAGCGTTCGCAACTCACCAGTCTCACAATGCGTGCACGGAACATAACCGCAACTTTCCAGCACGTTTCTCGCTAAGCCAAGCCACCCACCCAGAATGATTGGACCTTCAGTGATTCTAGCATAACGAATCCAACCAGCAAAACTTTGCCTGGAGTTTGAAAAGCATTCCAGCATACAGGAACTAGCGATTATCATCGTTTGCATAATACTCTGTTCAATTGGATCATAACCGGGCATTTCTGACTGAGTAGACTACTTCGGTATAAGGTTACAATCAGTGACATAATGTCGAGTACACGCCTTGCTCATCGGGGAACCCTCTGATAGCGCAGCCTACAAAAATACAGCGTAGACACTAACATCCCGATGAACCCCACGCGAGTCGAGCGAAGGGAGAATGTCTTGCTTCCAGACCGCTCATCCAACTCATCACCCGGAGCTCACCATAATTCGAGGGCGAGGCACTGGAGGAAATAAACTCGAACCTCTTCTGATTTTGCTGGGCCGTCAACATGGCAACTGCAAAGATCACGTTGCCAGAAGACCTGGGTTCAAAGTCTCTACTTATGTTCGACGACTTGGTTTCTAGAGGAAAGCTATTCTACAGCGAATCTAAAGGCGAGATTGTCTCCCACAACGGCTTTGAGGTACGAGGCAGCCTGTAACTCTACCACGAAGGTAACCAGTCTCCGAAGAGGCTTCTGACTAGACTTAACCAGTTCGAATTTCGAATTAGTCTAGCTTTGAAAAGAAAGCCATATCTCGAGCGAGATGATCCCCAACGTACAGCAGACAAGGGCCCGTTCCTCAACCCAGATCCCGACTTCGTTGTTGCCCAAGTAGGATCCCATCATGCACTCAAGCTCAATCTGTGCTGCATGTATCGGCCGGCTTTCGTCCTATATACCCGACTCTTTGAGCCTCAGACGCAAGACCTCAACTTGGTTGACGTTGAGGCTGCGCGTGCTGTGATGGCTGCACTCAAGCCAACTCTGGGGCCTCAACTGATGATTTACAACTGTGGGGTCGACGCTGGATCATCCCAGGGCCATAAACATGTACAGATTTTCCCTCAGCCAACTCACTTCCCGCTGTATCCTCAAAAGGCGACGTCTGAAAACGGTAAGAGACCAATTGAGCTTAAATTCTTAGATCGAAACAGACGCTGACAAAACCTTTACCGCAGAAATCAACTCAACCATCCCCGGGGTTCCCAATCTACACTTTGTATTGCGGCTACCCCAGGCAGTGACCACTGAGCAGACCTATCACAGTCTTGAGCGACTTGTCTCAGCAGCCAGAGATACTCAGACAGCTTGCGGGATGGGTTGTGACTACAACGTTATCATGGCTGAAGAATGGATATGCGCGGTGCCGCGGCGGCTCGTGGGTAAAGACGGAGTGGGAGCGAATGGTGCTGGCATGGTAGGACTCGTATGGCTACGAGATCAGGCAGAGAGAGATGGTTGGGAATCTTTTGGGTTGACGGAACATCTTGTACGACTTGGTACACAACGGACCTAAGCATCATAGAGAGTTGGAAACAAGAATAAGAGATCTGGGGCGAGATGAGAATTGAGGAACAGCACGAAAAGTCCTGCCTCCTGATGTGGCAAGGCAAGAATAGTCACCCGCCAATTCACAATGCTATTATCATGTCTACTCTGGTGATTCAGCTCTTTGGACTTGTACTCTTACCCCCCACTCCTCCTAGGGCCTGGAATAACGGGCAAGGTCCTTAGCCTATGGCGCAACTTGAGCCGTAGATGGGTCCACGTCGCAACCTGTTCGCGGCTATTGATGTATTCCATCGGGTGCTAGGTGGCGTTGGTATCCGCACATGCACATGTCTGTTCCTGGTTTCTCTATCTCTGCTCTTGATGCATTTTTGCAATTCGAGCACAATCGAAAAGTCGGAGTACATCACCACATAATTGGCTATTGCCCCGGATAGGCAGACATGTAGTGCCGTCGATATGCGATGGGATATGCATACAATATGCTCACTCTCTGCCGTGTGCGTGATGCAAGTCTAGGCACATGGCGCGATTGGCATCAATGAGATGCGGTAGGGAGTTGCGTTTCGATGATCTGTTGAAAGCAATTGAAGTCTAGGATGCACCTACCGAAGAGAAGAAGGAGCGGGGAAATGCAGCCCAAACTTTCTTGGGATAGCAAATATTGCTGTGGTGCATCTTGCCGAGAGAAATAACTGGATAAGGCGAATGACTGAGGAAAGGGAGAAGCGTGTCTACCGAGCGAGGAAGAAATAACTTACTATTACTCTAGGTACTTATGCAACGCGGAAGTCCGCCTTTGAGATATGTGTACAAAACAAAAAGTGATATAAATCAGCGAATGGAAATTTCAGTTTGGAAAAGCGGTGAAGGCATGGCGTTGATACGTGTGTTTCTGAGCCAGGCCGCTCCTGCCCAAAGCCTGGAAGTTGCTTATATTCAGACGCAGGTATGCTTTACTTAACTGTGTGCCCCCTCTCCCCACCCAACCCTCTCCTTCCTCTTTCCAGGAAGATCGGTGGGTGCAGTGGCAGGTCTTTATAGCTACCTAAAGTGGCACGACTTACTTCTGCTTTCGAGGAAGGAGGCACAGAGGTACCTGGTAGGCGACAGGGGGTAGGCCCGCCTTGCAGTGAGACATGCACGTACTTATGCTTGAAGGGGGGTTCTTTGCGAGATTTGATAGAATGAAGAGAAGAAAAAAAGACTATTGACCAGCTGCAGCGGCTGAAAGATCCATCCGCATTGCGTTTTCCGCGATTGGCAGTGACGCAAGCAGGACCTTCAAAAGAATGGGAATCCTCTGAGTCTTGAGACAGTTGCGCTCGATGCATCACATCTCAAGGCACAACCTCCTGCCCAATTTTGACGCAAAATCTTGTTTCGACCATCTGTTCATCATGGCTACTGATGGCTCTGACTGTCCCGAGAACAATAATTCAACCGACTGTCTTCTACGGAATCTACTTCAACTCTTGAACGACCAGCGCAATGCTGATGATGCAGAAGTCAATTGGGATCCTATTTCCTTCGCGTTCTCCTCCCTCCTCGGCGTTGCTGCAGCCACATTCGCCCTGGTCACAATTTGGCAAGCTATTGCGGCTGCCGGAAAAGGTTGGCGAAAGACGAATCGCAATGCTATCGGTGACTGGGCTGCCCGGACTGAAAGCAGGTGGATCTGGTCTGAAATGAGTTACAAAACAACGGCCTGGACCCCAATCTTGAATGCGAAAACAGTACACTTATTCGTGGGCAAAGACAACTCGCAAGCAGAGGATAAGAAGCTTTCTTTATGGGCAAAAACAAGAACTTTTCTATACAAGCTTATCCCCGATTCGTTCCTTCCACGAGTAACGCCTCCACAGTCTGATCCCAACATCGAAGACAGACCTGCAGCAACATGGGTGCGCTTTCTGGAAGAACTCGGGTTGAGAAAGGCTGAACTTTCAGGGGAAGAAGACAAGGAAGGGCTGCGGCGAGTGGTTGCCGACTATTTGCCGGATGATCTCCCCGCTGCTCCTGCGTACGCTCAAGTCGGCCTTATTGTTGCAGCTACAACATTGGCAGGTGTTCAAGTACAGAGCGTGAAGAAATCAACAGACTCAGTATATCCTCTTATCGTCGGCAGAGGCTTTCAATTAGACTTTCGAGAGCACCCGCTGCTTGGAATCGTTGGCGTGTACTCACGTTATGAACCAGCTCGCAGAAAGCATTCTCAGTTCAAGCCAGAACACCTTGCCATGGTCATGAAATATGGCCGTGGAAGTTTCAAGGCGATGGAAATTTGCGGTAGCTCCTTAAGTACCATCGACACCCAAGACTTAGACTCGTCAACGCACCTTCAGCAAGCGAAAACTCTCATGATGTTTGAGGTACAAGGAAGCTATCAGTTCTCAGACGCATTTATCTCGACGCTGGGGGCTGCCTTTAATGATTTTGTTCCGATGTCACACTTATTCTTGGCTGCCACGCCTGCACTTTGTCCCTTGCTGTTCCCTAGATCGGCTTTTACGACAACATTTCCGATGTCCATGCTTGCTCTGCTCGGACAATATTGGTCGGCAGTACAGATAAATAAGATCAAAGGACGGGCCAGATTACAAGCCATAGATCCACGGGACGCCCCGAAGTGGCCACATTTCAAATGGTTAACATCACGTGATGTGGCCCCGGAAGAAGAAAACGAGAAAACCGATCAGAAGCAACAAGAACGCAAACCAATAATTAGAAGCATGCCTGGATGCGAAGAGGAAGCAGTCAACGGAGACGGTGTACCGGGAAACTCATGGATTCATGGCTATCTCGACGTATTGCACCTGTGCACCGTGTTACTATACGATGCCAAGAAACTCCAAGCTTGGTTCGATGGCCTTCTAGAAATAGATCAGGTTTACATCCGGAAGAACATCATGAAGCAGTTGAATGAGATTGACGTATGGCTGGGCATTTCCTCACAACCGCGGAAAGACACCAAGCTGGCCGACGAATGGAGCCCCACACAACTCAAATCGGACTTCCTTGAATCCCGTATTGCCACACTATACCGAAGATTTGTCATCCTTTGGCGGGTAGAACAAGTTCAGCAGGAAATGGAAGAGAATGGATGGTCGAGAGAAGATCATGAATCTCGCAATGACAAATCCGCGTCTGCAATACACGGCAGCATATTCTACTACGTGGATTTGGTGGTTCAAGACCTCAAAAGCATAAAACACAAAATCGCTGAGAAGTACGACCAGTACTCCATGCTGACTATAGAAATCAAGACAGAGCAAGAGGACGCAGAAAAGGACGAAGATCCGAAAGACATTCATCTGGTGGAGCTCTACGCGCATTGCCGAAAGTATCGCGCGTACTTATACACCATCTCAGGATTTGACATGAGTCAGAATTGTATTGGAGACTTATACCAGCTAGTGGAGGAACTTGACGCAATACACTACCTTACGTTAGCACGGGAGGAATTCACTGATGTAGATGGGAGGAAAGCGGCTACGTACAAGATGGTAGAGCGTGGGAAGAAAGGAGGGGAACAAAACGATATACATGATGTAATCATTTATCGTTGTTTGACATTAGCGTTACTATTTCAGACGGCTGTCGACAGTGATACAATGACGGATCTGTGGGACCAAGTAGTGCCTATTATTTAGATGAACGGATCTGTCAAGTTTCGTATAAGACTTGCAGTATTCTTTAGCATATGAATATTCTTATCCTCACAAAAAAGTGAAATCATGGCAGATGGTAGCTCTCAAAACTGATCGGGGTAAAAACGTCGACTTCTCGATTTCTCGAGCGTTGATGTCTTTATTTCTTCTCTCGCGGATTTGAAACATTTCATTGTTCGCCAGCCATATCCTTCACGCAGTAAAGTCAAATACTTATTTGATTCTCAACTAGAATTGCCTCTCGCTTGGATATATGTGGATTCTAACCAGTTTCTCCAATAGGTGTGCCTCCCTTTTTGTGTATGTAGCTTACAATTTGGCGATAATTGTTATGAAACAACGTGTTATCTTCAACAATGGTGACTTGCCTTACATACTCGCGTGTACTAAATCTAAGACGAAGCCTCTTGTGCTGCAGTAAAAGCATGAAGACTGCCTGTGGCCCTAGGATACACAATCTGACCTGTCCAAAGGCTATCCATCCCATTACGCTCATCATCCTGGAGACTCAGCTCATCCGAAATACCCCAGCCTCCTCCTCCCGGAGTATGAATCACACATCGATTGCCAGTGTTCATGTCGACTTGACCTCTGGGCCCGATGCTGATCCACCTTTCATCGCCATCATCAGTCTTTTGCACCCAGTAATTAGCACCGGACTCCCCGTTCTCTCCGCCCATCATTCCGTACGGCTGGTGCACGCGACGCTCCGAGATGATGCCGTACGTGAGAGGAGCCCGGCACTCAAAGTCGCGCACAATCCCGCAGCCTCCTTGGAACTTTCCATTGCCTCCGCTACCCTTTCGGATAGAAAACTCGCGAATGAGGACCGGGTAACGCTTCTCAATGATCTCAATGTCCGTCGTCCGGGTGTTGGTCATATGGATCTGAACGCCAGAGGCGCCGTGCCAAGTCGGACCAGCGCCTTCACCGCCACAAATGGTTTCGCCGTAGCCGAAACCAAAGCCTCCGGAGCTGACATCTTTGGATTCTCCCGAAGAAGCCCCAGGATCAACGGAGTTTCCAAAGAACCCAAAACAATTCATGCAGCCTTGAGATCCGGCTGCGGCTCTGAAGGCTTTGAGAAGCAGATCAACTAGCCGTTGCGAAGTGAGGGTATTGCCGCAGCAGACGGCGGACTGAGGTCCCGGGTTCAGAAACGTGTTCTTCGGGAGAATCACTTTGGTTGGTGCGAGACAACCTTGATTCAACGGTATGTCTGACCCTATCAGCAAACGAAGAGTGTAGATCAGGGCGGAGTAGGTGATTGCAGGCGGCGCATTCATGTTAGAGAGCATCTCGCAAGAGGTGCCGGTGAAGTCGAAGGTGCCAAAGCCGGCTTCATCAATAGTGATGGAGACTTGCATCCGGGATCCATTGTCGAGGTAGTCCACAGCCTTCAGTGGCTTTGAGCCGAAGCGCTTGTATGCCGATGATAGGTATCTTCTGACGGAGACTTCGGCGTTTTCTTGGATTTTTGCCATGTAGAAGTGCACAACGGACCTTCCGAACTCGTCCATGAGCGCCTTAATGAGAACGCTACCCTTTGTGTTTGCTGCTACTTGGGCTTTGAGGTCAGAAAGGTTGTCCGGCAGTCGTCGAGAGCCGCTGCAGCCAGGGAAGAGTCCGGGGTCGAGGAGGATCTTGACAATGCCTTCTTCGTCAAACTTTCCGTCACGAATCAAGAAGAAAGACTTGATGGCTGCACCCTCTTGCCAAAGCTCTGTAGAGTCGCTGTGTCTTGAATTAGCTATCAACCACGATACCTCAGTAAGGTTGAAAGCGGACTTACGGAGGCATTGAGTTTCCTTTTGATCCACCAATGTCAAGGTGATGACCTCTGGATGCGGTGTAAAAACAGATCGTTTTGCCATCCTCGTCGAATACTGGTGTGATCACGGTGATATCTGGTCCCGATCAGTATCATAGCGTTACATTCTTGCCATATCTCGGGAACCAACCTGGAAGGTGGGTTCCTCCAGCTTCAGGATGATTTGAAACCAGGACATCACCGGGACGAAGACTGCCGCGATGCAGCTCATGCTGATACTTAACCGCGTAGCTCATGCTGCCCAGATGTACCGGTACATGCGGTGCATTCGCGACCAAGTCACCGACTGGACTGAAGATCGCACAAGAGAAGTCTAGTCGCTCTTTGATGTTGAGCGAGATACTGGTCTTCTGCAGCGTGCGGCCCATCTGCTCCGCAATACTCATGAAGCGATGTCCAAAAATACTCAATTTCACAGGGTCAACAACCAGCTCGGTGGTCTGCAATGCATCGCTCTTGCCAGCCTTTCCGACGAGATCAATCACCACGTGCGAAGTAAGGATCTTGGCTTCAGCCCCTGGCACAACAACAATGGTCTGAGTATTATCGATAACAATCGCTGGCCCCATGATCACAGCACCTGGCTGCAGACTGCTAAGCTGAATGATCTTGGTGGATTGAAGTCCTCCCGCAGTGAAGAAGGCGTTAGTCTAAGTAGTCGTTAGCGAACATCCTAGGGTAATGAAGCTATGTTTTGCTGTTGGTTGCCGAACTCACAACACCATCCTCGGTCTTCAGGGCACTCTTGAAAGAGAGCGACTTGAGCTCTTCAACCAAACGGGCATTGTCACTGCTGGACTCCTCCGTCTTTCCGACTCCACGGACGCGGATATCGTCAACGTGGACTTTTTTTGTTCTGGGAAATGTGAAAGAAAGTTCCCGTAGGTGTTCTCGCTCAAGTGCCGCCAACCAGTCTCCGTCATCTGGCTTCGAAATCATGAAGTTAGTGTCCGTACCATTGTATCTCAAGTTGAGATAGTATTCGTGTTCGATTGCTGATTGAATGATGTTCTGTGCCAAAAGACCACTGGTAGCCTTCTCTTTGAGGAAAGACAATCTGTCGTTCAACCTTGGCAAAGAGTCAACAGACAGCATCTCAGAGCTGGGCTCTTGAGCCTCTTGCACGACCTCAGCAAGTGCCATACCATACGCCGACAGGATGCTTGAGTACTTATGGATCACTATGCGTCCGATACCTAGCTTCTCGGCGATTTCACAAGCATGTTGACCTCCAGCGCCACCAAAAGTGGCCAGGTTGTGGTCGGCTGTCACGAACCCGCGAGCTTCAGTCAGGGCACGGATCGGGCGACACATGGACTCGTTTGCAACCTCAATGAAGCCTATCGCGACTTCGTGCGGTGTCATGGAGCGTCCCGTGTCAGCGTTGATCGTCTTCGTGAGCTCCTCAAGTTTCATTGCCACGATATCCGAATCAAGAGGGAGGTTCTCATCCGGGCCGAAGATAGCGGGGAAGTAACTAGGAATGAGCCGACCGAGACTGTGATGAACATTGTTAGCATACATATTTCCAAGATAGTTTGTTGGGAGACTGACAATAGGTTCGCATCAGTCACTGTCAAAAGACCCCCCTTCCTGTATGAAGCAGGGCCGGGGTGAGCGCCCGCACTCTACCAACGAATTTTAGTGTCTACAAAGAATTTCATCGACGTGAGGAACGGGCAAACGTACCTCTGGCCCAACCTTGAAAAGACCATCTCGCCAGAAGAGCATGCTTCCACCACCGGCGGCTACAGTGTTGATGTCTAATTGTGGACTTTGGATGGAAACGCCAGCCGTAGTAGACTCAAAGACATGTTCCAAAGAGCCGCCATACCGACTGACATCTGTTGATGTTCCACCCATGTCGAAGCCCACAATTGGGGACTTTCCGTCATATGATGTTCTAGCATGGCCGACAACACCACCTAACGCATCATATGATCAGCATCAATCAGCACTTATTAGGTTCAAGGTAACACACCGGCGGGGCCACTCAGGATACCGCGAAGTCCACTGAACGCTTTGTGGCTGACGAGGCCACCGTCACTCTGCATGAATTCGCACGAAATGTTATCGAGATTACCATCTTGAAACTGCTTCGCAAACCCCTCAACATAGCGTACGATTTCAGGCGTCAGGTATGCATCCGCCGAAGCTGAGCTGCCGCGAGAGATCATCTTGATCATGTTTGCACCGACGCTCGAAGATGTTGAGATATGGCTGAAGCCAAGCTCACTTGCAATCTCGGCAACTCTGTTTTCATGATCTGGGTACATGTAGGAATGCGCAAGACAGATTGCTAATGTCTCGATGCCCTTAGACTTGATGTTCATTAGTTTCTGACGAACTTCGTCTTCGTCGAGGGGTCGGACTACGCGGAGCAAGTCTCCGGTCATACCCCTGACAAAAAGGCCGGGGGACTCTTTGGGCTGAGTGCGACTGCTCTTGAAGGCATCCTCATCGTATGCCTCTACAGTCAGGCGTTCCGAAATCTCGACAACTTCATCGTATAGAAGTTCTGGCTTGCGGATCCCGAGGTCAAAGAGTTTCGGCCTGGACTGATAGCCGATATCGAGGAGATCGCGAAAACCTTGATTGACGACAAATGCATGTCGAGTTCCTTTCCGCTCAAGTAGAGCTTTGTGGGGTGTTGGAACATGTCTCTAGAGCTTTCAGAGTAGATCACTTACCATTAGTAGCCACAGTAGTGCCCATTCGAATAGAACGAACCAGGTCCTTGGGAATAGGAGACCGCCGAGGGATGGCTGTGCCAGACACCATTTCCAAGACACGTCGAATGCCCTCTGCCGGTGCGTCGCCATAGTTGCCCGGGTCGACTGACAGCAGTTTCAGAACCATATCGCTCTGGCCCGGTATCGATGCCCAAACATCTGTGAATGTTCCGCCGCGATCTTATAACGTAAGCTAAGCGGTTCTAACAGTGCATCTACCTTTCACTACTCAACATACCGATCGCGAATTTGACACTTCTAGGCTGAATAGTACTTGACGTCGATTCTTTCTCCATGCTTGCGTCGTCAAGTCGAGGTCAAATGATCTAGAGAGTCTTTCTAAGGTGAGCGATAAGTGCCAGATTCAAGTTTGGTTTTAAGCCATTCTCGTGTTCGACTAGAGCCTCACTGTTGCTAACAAATGTAACACTTCCCTTCCGTTATCGCCATCGGACTTACATACCCGATAATGCGTGATACGACGCCCAACTTGAGGCCGTCGTTTCGGCTTGTCATGCAGCTTTGCTCCTATCACTGACGGACATCGTTGCATGCATGCCGGTGATCTGCAGCTTGTGCATACCGAGCGGCACAAGTGGGGTACGTCATCTCGGAGGTTAGAGAGATTGGAAGGGTGTGATAAGTCATCCTCCAATGCTACCCCAAGCACGTCGCCTCGGCCTTCCTCGTGTACGAATGTTATCAACGGCTGGCCGAAGAGTGGAGACGCGCATGCGGCCGCAGTACGGGCATGGGTGACCTAAATGATAACATTTTCCGATGTTTCTTTTGATATGCCTACAATACGCCTGAGTTGACTGCAAGATTGGCCAAGTTAGGTGTAGGACTGCCTTGTCAAGAAGCGATAGCCGTGGCTAAGGATGCTCATAGACGCTGGCTTCGTGTATCAAACGCGAGATAAAGCAGCATTTACACTCTGGATACATATGATAAGTCTCAATAGGTCCTCCGACATCTATAATATTTGCTACGTCCTGAGCACAAGACCATCCGTCGTATGTAGACTCATGCTCTACCGCCGAACCCCCCATCATTGGCAGATTTCTTTCTTCACAGCTATTAGACACTGAGTAGCCTGCATTACTTTCCCCAGCGACATGGTCGAAAAGAAGGAAGACCCATGTGGTCATGCCAATGAAAATGGCATCCAACCCAGCGTTTCTACTACGCAGGGCCAGTCTGAGATCCTCAAGTCACCCCAAGATGGAGTCCTCGACGAGGCAGCCACATTCCTGGCTAATGCCGATGCATTCCCACCCATGACGCCTGAGATGGAAAGAAGGATTGTCAAGAAGATCGATGCTTGGATGATTCCCTTAGTAAGGGGTTTGAAGGTCTCTATCCAACTATAGAACATCAATCTGATGATGAGAACTCACAGCTCCTCTTCACCGCAACTCTCGGCGCAGTCGACAAAGTCCAAATGGGAACGGCGTCTCTCTACGGGTTCCAGACAGACAACAATTTTGTTGGCCAACAATACAGCTGGCTTGGAAGCGTTCTCCCTTTAGGCGTGAGTGAATCGGCCACCAAATTCTACTGACTCGAGGTAAGGTGTTTAAGCTGACCGGAACAGCAATTGATCGGATATGTTGTCGCTTCGTATCTTGTTCTCAAGTTTCCACCCGCAAAGTTTCTTTGTGGATCATCGTTGCTTTGGTCTATTTTGACCTTGCTCCATGCTCCATGTAGGAGCTGGTCAGGATTCATGGCATTGCGCTTTCTCATGGGCTTCATTGAAGCTGCCATCTCGCCGTCTCTTACTATTCTCGTATCCAGCTTCTACACGAAACAGGAGCAGCCTCCGAGGAATGCGAGTAGGTTCTTGATTCATCATCCAATGATTCTCTAGCATGAACTAATGGTTTTCTTTTAGTCATCTTCGCCTACTTCTCGTCGGTCTTCAATGGCTTCTTCGCCTGGCTCGTGGGCAAAATCCCGGACTCAGCCCCTCTCCTGAAGTGGCAGTATCTGTACCTCATCACCGGAACAATCAACGTCCTGTACTCAATCTTCATCTGGTTCACGCTGCCAGATAGCCCGATGAACGCCCGCTTCCTGACAGACGAGGAGAAGTACCATGCGACGAAACGTCTTGCAGCCAATCGCACCGGCATCTCCAACAAGGTCTGGAAGTGGGACCAAGTATGGGAGGCCCTGTTGGACATCAAAATCTGGATCATTTTCGTCTTCAACATCTTCATCAACATTCCAAATGGCGGTCTTGTCAATTTTGGAAGCATTATTATCAACAACCTTGGCTTCACTTCGCTCGAGGCGAGTTTGCTTACCATGCCGTTCGGTGTTCTCGCTACGTCTAGTGCCTGGGCCTTTAGCTATCTTGCCGCAAGGTGGCATAATCGGAGGACATTGGTAGCGTGTATCGCTCTCATGCTGCCAATCTTGGGAACTGGACTCGTACATGGCTTTCCCAGGTCGAATATTCCAGCACAAATGGTCGGACTGTACTTCATGTACTTCTACTGGCGTAAGTTATCACTGAGCATCTGGATGAACAGCCTCTAACAGGACTCACACTAGCTCCTTACGTCGTCGGGATCTCACTTCCCCAAGCAAACACAGCAGGTCAGACGAAAAAGGCAGTATGCTTTAGCCTGGTTCAAGTCGGCTATGCCGCCGGCAATTTGATCGGACCGCAAACGTTTCGAGCTGAGCAGGCACCCAAATATTCAGGAGCCATCATCGCGATGCTCACGAGCTATGCTGTCTCTGTGTTGCTGATGCTTTCATATTGGCTTGTCGCTGCTTGGGAGAACAAGGGGCGAGATAAGAAGTACGGCAAGCCTCAAGAGCTGCAGGAAGGAACCGCTGACGGATTTGTCGATATCACGGACAACGAGCAGAAAGACTTCCGATATACGACCTGAATAGTCCAGCTAAACGGCGGTATCTGCAAAGGCGGTTCGTGGAGTAAACAGAATCGAGCAAGACTCATGAGGAAGAGCATCCCAATTGAATTCAAGCCAGACTCATGGCGTCGTGACGCCCTTCAAGAACAGCCCAACCCTGATCCCCACCACAAGAGCCTATGTCACGCGCGTTCCAGACATTCTCAATTATTTGCCTCGCCTTCCTGACGTTCCCCAGCTGCCGTGTTTGTTGTAGTAAGTGCAGTCGCTCTAGTATCAACTTCCTGTCCCCATCAGATCCTGGGCGGACTCCAAGTGTTGCAACTATAAAGAGTGGCCAAAGAACAGTGTTTGTTTGGAGGGAAATATGAGGCAGAAGTTCCAAGATCTTTTCTGTGAGTCTCATTATGTGTGGATCCGAGGGGTTTGATCCGTCAACTCGCGCGTAGAAGTATAATAGGCATGTGAGTCTCTTCAACTCTGAGACTAGCCAGGGGGTCTCCTCCTTTACAGACCTAGATGGCAGCTCGCTTGATGTTGGAACTGATGCGTCCTTCATTAGGTATAGCTTTCTCTCGATGGCATTTCGTTTTCGACCCCAGGAGTTTGTTCTTTCGAGGATGTTTTCTGGGCTAGATGCCTCGCTGGCGAGGTCTGAGATTTCGGATAACAAAGCTATTTGAAGCTTCGAACAGCCGGAAAGGCTTTCAAGCACGGGTTCCTCGCCAACAAGGAAATGGCAAAGGCTGCTGTTGTGGTCTTGCATTTCCAAATTAGTTCCAGCAGTTGATGCAAGCGCGTCGTGATACGTGAAGTAGGCAGCCGCGAAACCATAGAGTTCTTTGCAGTCCGATGACACGGTGTGACTTGATGCCAGCTCATGCCTCAAGAATGATTTACCAAAACTGGCATGGACTTTCCAGGAATCAGAGCAGTCATGTAAGATCTGATTCCAGTTAGTGTGTGCACATGGATTAGTCACGGACAGCGAGGCCCAAAAAGCTTACCTCAAAGAAACAAATCATCATGGTCGAAGCCATGATTTCTTGGGCGAGCATACTTCTCGTAAGCGTATTCCCCTCCACTTCCGCATAAGCAAACAAGTAGCCGCGCAACAACTCGAGAGCTCGATTTCTGTGATCCCAGATTCGGAAAGTACCTTTCGCATGTCCCAGTGCCTGCATTTGTTGGGCCGACACGGCCAAGATACCTTGCAAGACCGGGCCATCTGGCGATGATGATGCAATCCGGAGGATGATGTGACGATACGGATTCTGATCACAACTCACAACGCATCGCGGAGCTATGAAGTTGTCAAAGTAATGCAACAAGTAAGCCTCGTCTTGGCTCAGACCAAGTGAAGACAAGCCGAAGTGTGATGGTGATAGAGAAAGTCCGGTGGAACCGTCTCCGAGAAGCTTGCGTGCACTGTTGGTTGACGTTCGATGCATCGGTATGTTGATGTTAATTCTGTGAGGCACATGTTGGAAGTCATGTACATGGCTGTTCAGAAACATCCATTCTTCAGTGTCTTCATCAAAATTTGATGTCTGTGATCGTCTCTTGGAGAAGCTCTGATGCTGCACCTCGCATCCATGAGCTGCTTGCCAAGTAAGTTTCAGCTCATACCGGCAGACTAGCCCTAAGCGCCGACAGTGATCGCATATCGGACGTTGTTCTATAGACTCGGTCAGGATTCCACCGGATTTTAGGCTCTCCGTAGAACTATGATGTGGGGACGGACCAGGGCATTTCACACGACGTCCTGCGATGCATGCATTCTTAGCTGGCCGATCCTTCGTGATTACACTTACTCGTAAGTTTACATACCTCTGCATGTGCGGCATCCACTTCTAACCCGAGAGTCCCCGCTTGTCTGCCGACGCGTCGGGGCTTTGGAGTCGGCCATGACCGGAAAATTTCTTGTATCACGGCGCGGCAAATAGATACTTCAGATGTCTTCTAGATGGGTGAACAAGAATGTGACGACTCACTCAACGGACCTATGGCATGTTCATGGCATATTCAGTATTGTGCTGCAGATAAGGCCTCGGAGCCTCGAAATAGAAAGCATATCAACTACAAAAAGGGCTCACAAGGCTCAGCGGAGGAGGCCCGACTCAGTCACTCTACCCCGCAGATACATACACCAGCTGTGGGTGAAGATAGGCGACGATAGGCATGGGTGGGATTCCGGTTCGGCTTCGGTGTGAGGGCGCCGACAACGTGGCATCGGGCTGGGGTCGCCGTTTCCACTTCCCCGCGGTGGACTTCTTATCTCGGACACCTTTGCCGTGGGATGGCCTGACTCCGATCAGCGCGGTAGAACGGCCCTCGATCCGACTGTCGGAGCTGGATTCGACTTGGCCCGCGGGACTCAAAATTGACATCATTCCGCTATAGTCCTCTGGCTATGAATCTTTGCTCGCCATAAACCACAAAGGGAAACAGCCAAGATGCCTGACCTGCAAGACTCAATACTGATCGTTGGCGCTGGCACCTTTGGCCTGTCAGCAGCCTACCACTTCTCTCGGGCCGGATACAAGTCCATCACGATTCTCGAAAAAGGAACATCAGTTCCCTCATCTCTCTCAGCAGGCAACGACGTCAATAAGATTGTCCGTGCAGAGTATGAAGACCCCTTCTACACCGAGCTGGCCCTGCAGGCCATGTCGGAATGGACCGATAATGAGCTATTCGCGCCGCACTACCACCAGACGGGGTACCTCCTAGCCAACTCAGCAGCGGCGCCTGAAAAGACGAAAAAGACCCTGGCTAAATCTCTTGAGAGTATCCGGGTGCACCCAGCTTGGGCCGGCAGAATCGACCCGATTAAGAGCAGGGAGGATATCACCAAAGCCGCGCCGGCTCTGGACGGACCCATGGAAGGGTGGGAAGGGTACTTCAACCAGTTCGCGGGTTATGCGCATGCCGCGAATGCGCTCAAGGCAGTCTATGAATACGTCAAAGCCCGGGGAGTCGAGATCCACACTGGGGAGAGCGTTGCGAGCCTTACGTATGAGGGGGACAAATGCATAGGCGCCCGCACGACTTCCGGCAAAGAGTTCAAGGCAGCGACGACGATTCTTACAGTCGGGGCTTCGCTCGGAAACGTGCTCCCGTCCGTCGGCCGTCAAGTCACGGCAAAGGCATGGAGTCTACTGCACATACAACTCCAGCCGGAGGAAGCAGCGCGCTTGAAGGGAACACCAGTCACATACGCTCGAGATCTGGGTTTCTTCTTTGAGCCAGAACCTGGCACGGGGATCCTCAAGCTTTCCCCAAGTGGTGGAGGCTACACCAATTACTCGACGACGACAGGCCTGTCCACGCCTCCAGAAAAGAATGACTTCGTGCCCGAGGCTGATGTGCGTCGAATTCGAAAGCTGCTCCAGGAGACCCTTCCGGGCCTGGCTGGTAGGCCTTTTGTCGACCAGCACATCTGCTGGTGCGCCGATACGGCGGACTCGGATTATGTCATCGATGCTGTGCCTGGGAAGAAGGGCCTGTATCTGGCAACAGGCGACTCGGGTCACGGGTTCAAGATGCTTCCGGTGGTAGGACGATGGATCAAGGACTTGGTAGAGAAAGGAGAGCAAGATATCGTTCGGTGGAAGTGGAAGGAAGGCAGTGATGCTGGTCAGAATGTGAGCTGGCGTGCGGGGGAGGTGGTGGACCTGAAGGATGTATAGTAGCCTTCGATTAAAGAAACAAATACTTATTTCAATCTGTGATGAGAATTCTATATTTGGAGTCTCAATGATTTTCATTTATCAGCGTTCTTCATATTTCTTTGGATCTAAATCATCCCTTCAGAGCGGTCTCAGTCCGTGTTAGACCCATCTGAAGACGCAAAGATGTTGACGTCAGCGCTACATAATCGACATGACCGCCACATTTTCCGAACGTCAGACTACGAATTACACGTGGTTATGATCATAGAAAAAACGAGTGAGAGAGCCCAGACTGTCTTTGTCGGCAAGTTGAGCGCGTCATGACTATGGGGTGTGTCCCGAAAGTCAGCTTTTATGAGATGTTTATAAGAGAATGTGCACAGGCGATGAGTTCTCTTTAGCCCATATACGGAGCTTCATCAATGTCGAGATTTGCTATCAGAACACAGCTTTTCGCAACACCCTGTTCACAATCCCCCAGAAGCTTTCATCGTACATTGCATACTACCACTAAGATGTCTTCAGACTCCGGACACATCAACTTTCCCGGCAAAACCTCTGCCACCCCAGGAGAAGAGTTCGAAGTCCGCCAGACCTCAACCACTGAGGATTACCACCCCAACCCATCCAAGTCAATTCCCCTCTCACCAGCGCGTCAGCGCTTGATCGACGACATCATTGCGCTGTACTCAATGAACCCCACAGTAGAACGCGTGAAGCGATACACGGCCGACTGCGTGTACGACGACCAATTCGTCTACGCCAACGATAGGTACAAGATGGCAGGGCAGTGGTTTGCCTTGCCTAAGCTCTTCAAGGCGAGCGTAAACGAGGGGTACGAGATTGTGAAGAACGACCGAGACCTAATCCAGTTCAGGAATGAGCAAAGCTGGACTTTCAAGCTCATCCCAAAGACTGCGACAATTAATGCGCTCGTCAGCCTGAGCCTGGATCCCGGCACCGTCGACAGCGACTTCATTCAGGTCAAGTACCACAAGGACCAGGCCAATGACAAGGACTACAGCCATGAGTAAGCGCACCACGAACATGAGTAAAACCCATTATCAAGCTAACCACATATCCTAGGGGCGTTGGGTTCTCGTTCAAGAAGTGGCAAGCGGACAACGTCATCAAGGTGATGGATAGCAAAGAGGTTGAAGCTTTCGCTGCGGATAAGGATGCCAGCAAAAACAAGGTGAAGAAGTATGGCACTGGCAAGACTGAAGGGGATGCACCTATAAAGGATCTCTGAGCCATTATTGATGCTTTGCTGAGTGATCGTAAGTATGGAGACGACATTTTCTATATTAACTGTGTCTATGCTGAGGAGTCGAAACAGAAAGGGATGCATTTATTCATGCTGAAGCCTGTATCACTCTTAGCTGCAATATCACATCTTACGGAAAATTCTTAGGTGCATTGCCGTGGAAGGATTCAACTGTGCCCTCTAGTAATGTTCCACTACGGAAGAACCTAAGACAGAAAATATTCTCCCTCGTTAAGCCTCCCGTGTCATTACCAGCGCCGGATACCCTAGTCTTGCAATAAATGACAACATGTTCGGACATATCTTATCAAGCACACATGAATAAGGATCTCCATGCATCTAGAAATGAGCTGCACGTTTAGGGCTGCCTAAGGAGCTGTCTTAGGCGAAGAGTTCGCGACCTGCATGCGCAGCCGGTGAATAAACAAAGGGTTAAAATTGGGACGAAATTAGAATGCGCAGCTTGTTATTAAGCTTAGGATAGCTGCTTCGCCTCCCCGCCAGACAGCTAAATTCTGCAGCCTGTTCTAATCATGTAAGCGCTACCACGAGCGGTGGGCGGGCTCGGAGTTGGGATCATTGGCCCATCAGCCCTGGAAGGATTCTCTCTCCGCCAACATGCAGTTTACAGTCTCCAGGATGGACTCAACTTTCTCTTGAATGACTGAAAGTAGCGGGCAACTGATTAAAATTCTCGCCATGAACTACGAGGTTCCACGATGCGCTACGGTTCGCGTTCGTGTTGTGTTGGGCATCTTGCCAGGCGAATTTCCACGGGTAGTGCTGGCAAAGGACGTTACTGCAATTTCAGTGTAAAAGTGCACTGGCGAATATTTGCTGACTTGGTTTGGGGATGGACTATCGGGAACTTCTCAAGTACTTGACCTATCGTGACCACCAAACATGGCTGAGAAACACCGATCAGTCTGCAAGACTAGAAAGAGATTGACTAAAAAGTACCACGTGGGACGGGAGGATAAAAAAGCAAACAGTTAAACATAGACCGACCGAATCACACAGCCCTACTTGGCAGCTCCAACCAACTACTAAATGCTGACAACACTCCTCCAGACGAACAGACTCCCGTCCCTCCCCACCATGTTTCGCTGTTTATTTCCCAGAAGGGACCCAAGAGACTGGCACGCCTACCGTGCACCGCCGACGTCAGCCCTGATGACCGTCAGCACAAACATGCAGCTGCCGTCTCAAGACTGCAATATTCCGGACTCGTGGCTAGGGTGTTGAGATTGCTGGTCAGCAGCATGAGGCCGGATTCAGTAATGAGGTAACACCTTAGCTGACATTTTGCACCCATCGGGACAATGAGTGATGTCGTGTTGTAGCCTATGTCGGTATGATTCCAAAGCCATCAGCAGAAGGATGATGTGCCCCATATCGTGGGAATTACCAACCTAGAGCTAAGATGTATGCTTGTTGGATTGAATGAGGCTGACGCTCATCTGCGGCCACTTGACGAAGTCCACAATACTGCAATCCTTTTGTGTCGCGATGAAGTTATATAATAGCCTTATCGAACGCCTCTTCATTTCTCTTTCCTCTCCTCATCACACACACCACTGCATCAACAAGCAACGAGTTCGCTTTCCGGTTTTCATCTTTCCTATTTCTCTTTTCCTTGTCTCCTTTGTCAGCTCGGATATCCTGTCTGTCATTCCTACAGCAAAAAAAATACATAAAGTAGTCAAGATGTACACCTCCACCATTCTCTCTTCCATCCTCTTCTCCGCCGCCGCTCTGGCCGCGCCGACCACCAACCCGAACCACCCCTCCTCCTCCGCCACCATCTCCACCCAAACCGACACCAGCTCCATCGACAATGTCCTTCCCCCCATCGTCCCCGTCAACACCCGCGCCGGCAACGCAGACCTCATCACAAAGCTCATGACCGCACCAACCCAACAAGAGCGCGTCCGCCTCCTCAACCAGCCCGGCGACTTCGTCTTCGACTTCAACGACTCCGGCGCCCCCGAGGGCTCCGAGTCCCGCGGCAAGGGCGGCTTCTCCACCTCCGCCACGGCAAAGACCTTCCCGGCCCTCATCGGCAACGGCGCCGCCATGACCCTCGGCTTCCTCGGCCCCTGCGGCATGAACACGGCCCACGTCCACAACCGCGCCACCGAGCTCAACGTGATTGTCAAGGGCCGCCTCGTCACCAACTTCGTCGTCGAGAACGGCCTCGACCCCATCGCCAACACCATGGAGACGTATCAAATGTCCGTCTTCCCCCAGGGCGCGATCCACCAGGAGTTCAACCCCGACTGCGAGGATGCCGTCTTCGTCGCCGGCTTCAACAACGTCGACCCCGGTGTCGAGCAGGTTGCTCAGGCCTTCTTCAACCTCCGCCCGGATGTCGTCTCTGCTACCCTTGGCGGCGTGCAGACCATTGACGGTGCCGACCTTGAGAGCTTCCGCAAGCACATCCCTGCCAACATTGCTCTCGGCATCGATGCCTGCTTGAACAAGTGCGGCATCAAGCGCAACGCGAAGCGCGACCTCAACGAGATCTTTGGCGCGCCCCAGAACTAGACTCGTGACGATTGATGGGCCGTGATTGGGATGGCAATTGTAAATATGCATTGTTGTATGGAGCTTGATAGCTAGCATTTGAGCGTGGGCATTGAAAGTCATTTGGTGGGGCATAGCGTGGGTTGCATAGCCAAGGACATTGGCTCACTGGCGTTTAGATTTTGGGTATCAAATATTTTGCTTTAGACACTGTCAATACACTCTTCTACTCATTCGTCCTTTTCAATTTCACCCTGCTAAACCATGCGGCTCGATATGAGACAAGCTGCTCGGTTGTCGAGCCGCTTCGTTCGGTCGAGATTGTGCAATGCAACCCACATAGGTACCTAAGAAATAGTGACAGATGATTTGGAGAACGCCGTCCTCACAAGTCCCAAATGATGTCGGAAAAGTAGACCCCTTCACCTTAGCCAACGAGCTCTTAGATATTGCGAACTTGAGTTACATCAGCACACCTCTCAGTCGTAGTGTCAGAGTTGCATCGCATCGGGCGAAATGCCAACACGGCGTTGGACGTGCGAGGATCACCAATTCAACTCAAGCTTCCTTCGCGGGCTGCCCACGGCGCAGCAGACCGCCCCGCTACCCCACGTAAGGCTATATGACAGTCAGGGGAAAACAATGCGATGCCGCGCACATTTGCCGATAGTTTCGCCGCTAGAGAGATGATCTCTCAGCCTAGAGTCTTAGGTGCGGAGGTCAGGTGGCTTGTGTGTATAAACGAGAGACACTTTTCTCAGCTCGCTGGAGTATAAAAAAGCAAGCTGGCAGATGTGAACCTTGACTCAAAGAGCGCCCGACGCAACCCAACTTCGTATCAACCCTTTTCTCATTCATCGTCAAATCTCAATCATGACGCAAGAATTCGACTTCATAGTCGTAGGTGGTAAGTTCAATGTTCCTGGAGACAAGGTTGCCGTGAGGGGTCACGCCTATTCATCCTCGGATATCGCAACGAACCCCTCACGAGAGGAGAAACCGCACTAACAACAACAAACGACGATCAGGCGGCACAGCGGGGTGTCTCCTCGCCTCCCGCCTCGCAAACACGGCATCGAAGCCCAGTGTTGCGTTGTTAGAAGGCGGCGGCGATATCAGCAAACCCGAGTACAGACGTACGGCTGAAAGATTCAGCACAATTGCACAGCCAGGTCTCGACTACGGCTATGCCTCGACGCCGCAGGAGCATGCCAAAAATCGCGAGGTGCCGCAAGCTCGTGGCAAGGGCCTAGGAGGGTCGAGTGCTACCAACTTCCAGGTCTGGTCACTTGGCGCGCGCGCGGAGTTTGATGCCTGGGCTGCGGCTGCAGGCGATGATGCTTGGGGATTCGAGTCCGTTATCGAGAGGGTTAAGAAGGCAAGACAATTTACACTTGCACAAAGAGTGCACCCTATTTTTCTCTTGAACTGACATTTCAAAGCTGGAAAACCTACACCTCAACGATCTTTCTAAGGAATGGGCTGAATATGTAAAGCCCGACCCGAAGTACCACGGTTTCTCTGGGTAATATGGCACACCTTGTTGTAGTGACCCAACTTTCTGACACGGAACAGGCCTATCGACGTCTCTATCGGACACGTGGAACGGGAAACAAAGGCTTTTATCGATGCTGGAGTTGACCTCGGAGTGAGTTCTTGGGCATACCAGACAAGGATGGATAAAGCAGTAGACAGTGATGCTGACCCTATGACAGCACAAGCGCAACCTTGACCCCAACGATGGTGACCTAATTGGTTTTTCATTGAACTCGACAACCAGCCTCAACGGTGTCCGAGTAACTGGTGCATCTGCCTTCCTCGAAAAGAACGTGCCCGCAAATTTGACCGTTCTGACCGAGAGTCGTGTGGTCAAAATCATCTTTGAGAAGGATCGTGCAGTGGGTGTTCTCAAGGAAGATGGTTCGCAGGGTAAGTTTGCATAAGAGCCCAGTTGATATCTGGCGGGTCACTGACCCTTGGAACTTCAGTTCGAGCGAAGAACGAAGTCATTCTATCGGCCGGCGCCCTTGACAGTCCCCGTCTACTGCTACTTTCAGGCGTCGGACCTCAAGCAGACCTGGGTGCTCTTGGAATCCCCGTGGTTAAGAACCTCGATGGAGTAGGGAAGTCCTTCACAGACCACCCCATGATTGTGACTTGCTTTCAGATGAAGTCAGGCTTCACTGATAGGATGGGGCTCTCTGACCCAAGCAAGTACCAGGAGGCCGTGAAGCAACTCGCAGAAAGTGGGAACGGCCCACTTTTGGGACACTTCTCATCTGTTCCGCATGCTTTCCTGAAGAATGATCGGGCTTATGAGTCGCCTGAATTCAAGAAACTTCCCGCTGATGTGAAAGGTTATCTGCTTGAGGAAGGTGTCCCTAGCTATGAGCTTGTCGTAAGTTTGACTAGGACTGAGAAGCATGACTCTCAACTAACGTCGACCTACAGATTGGACCCTTGATTCCTCCTGACCATGTCTTCGAAAAGTCTAGTGACGGGTTCTTTTCGGTTTTCGTTGCAAACATGAACTCCGTCTCTCGAGGGACAATCAAATTGGCTTCAGCGGACCCCAAGGACGCCCCTTTGATTGACCCGAAGTATCTCAGCAACCCATTCGACTTGGTAAACCTGCGAGAAGCCCTGAGAGAAGGGATGAATCTCTTGAAGACTAGTACGATGAAGGACCACTTTGTCAGACCGTTATTTGCCCCAAAGTCAGACAGCGACAAAGACATTGACGTGAGTTTAAAGCTTATCTCGTCAACTAAATGTAGTTCCGCCGTTCTAGACCTTACGCTGATTGCATGTCCAGGACTTCATCCGAGAGAATGTGGCTGGACTATGGCACCCATCTTGCAGCGTGAAGATGGGTAAGAATGAGCAAGATGGCAGCTGTGTCAACGGCGACCTTCGAGTTCATGGGTTGAACGGCTTGCGGATTGCCGATTTGAGTGTGACAACCATACTACCCAGGTACTTTTCTTATCTTCTCTACAGAGATACAGGACAATTGCTAACAAAAGTTCGACAGTGGTCGTAAGTTAACTAAGAGCTTACCTTTTACGTCGCGTTCAATGGCTTTGTGTATTTCATTGCTGACTAGTGCTTCTAGATCCTCAGATCGTCGCCTATGTTATTGGGCAACTTGCTGCAGAGAAGATTGCGCGAGACTACGGGCTGGATACCAAGAGGAAAGAGAAGATTTAATGGCTGGCCAAAGATGTACGAGTGTATTGAATCAGAGAAATATCCGTGGTAGATCCATTCCAGCATTCTGCCTTCAGATGACGTATCTGAAACCCTTTCCAATCAGTTGCGCCTGTCCAGCAGCCTCAGCTTCCTGCTCCCTCATCTCCAACTTCTTGTTCTCTCTCTTTAGAATAAAGTGCAACACAGTGGCAGCAACAATCGCCATCAACGCCATCGCGGCATTCACACTGAAAGCCAAGACGAACCTCGGCGTCGCGTTGTTGGGGTACAGGTAAGATCCATAGATACCCGAAAGTGTGGAAAACGCATTGTTGAATGCCACCGCAGCGGCACGCTTCGCCGTGGGTCGATAGATCGTGTTAGCGGTCCAAACCATGGACATATTGAAGCCAGTGTAGATGCCAGGAAGCATGATCATGGCGCCAAAGTATCGGGGTCCAATGCCAGTCGCGGCGCTGGAGATGATGAATCCGACGAGCGAGCAAGCCAGCGGGGCGACGGTGTGCCAGTACCTCTCGTTCATGCGATCGGCGTTCCACGACACTGCCGCACATACGATACATGCCAGAAGATAGGGCGGCGAAGTAAGGAGCAGCGTAGTGATGCGATCCTTTCCGAGACTCGCGACGACAGTGGGGAAGAAGCTGTTGATCGAAATCGACGATGCGGCACCATAGACAAGTACAACAAGAATCCAGTTGATCGGGTCGACCAGAATCATCTTGAAGCCGTCAAATATGGGTTGGGACGAAGAACTCGTCCAGTCCTCTTCACCCGCAGCATCAACTTCCATGCGCCACATTGCCAACTGCCGCTCCTGCTCTGTCAGCCACTTGGTATTGGCAGGGAAGTCTGGCAGCACGAAGAACGCGCCGAGGGCAATGGCGACAGTGAGAGATCCCTCGATGATGAAGAGCCAACGCCAGGCTAGCAGACCGCGGGCGCCGTCCATGCCGTTCGTGATGCCAGCTGCGATAAGACCTGAGAAAGCTCCCGAAAGCATGGAGCCGCTGTAGAATAGTCCGGTACGGACGCCCAGTTCTTTACGGACGTACCATGAGCTGAGAGTTGCGATGCAGCCTATTGTCACGGGTTCCTCAGCATCTTCTCTCTCCGCGGTATTTTCATGCGGACAAGTCATCAATCTTGACTTACCTGGATAAAAGGCTGCTTCAACGAACCCAAGAAAGAACCGAGTTGCCAACAGGCCGCCAAAGCTGTGTGTTGCGCCGCTGCAGGCACATAATACACCCTGGTAGTTTGTATGATCATCAGCATGATGCTCTGTTGAAGGATGGTTACACAAACCGAGATCCGAACGAAGAAATACCAGCAAGCGGTGCTGTAAGTGATGCGTCACGTTACACCCACGCTATGCGGCCATGGGTTCGCGAACCAACGCGGCAGTGAGATCTAACCGGTCGATCCCGAACGCGACAAAGAGAGAAGAAACTTCGAATCAAACTAACCCAAACGCACATGCATCCCGTTAGATAGATCGCAGGGCGTCCGATCTTGTTCAGGAACATGTTTGAAGGTACCTGCATCAGGATGTACCCCACAAAAAGAATCGAAACACAAGTCTAGAGTGATTACCGAATTAGCTACAAGCCTCTGGGTTTGAAGTTCACCAGTTGTTTGAGTTTCGGCTTACCTGAAATTCATTGCCAGTCAGACCCAAGGCTTTTTCCAAACCGCCCAGCCTTGCCGAGCCGATGGCATTTCTGTGAAATCATTAGTCTAAAAGTCGACATATCCAGCGCACGCAGCTTACTGACCTGTCGAGGTAATTCATGATATAGATCAGAATCATTGTAGGCAGCATTCGCAAGTCAACCTTCCTTATCAACTTCTTCTCAAGACTCTTCAATTCTTCTTCTGACAAGTCTCTGAGAAGCTCCGGCAACTCTCTTTCAGGCCATATCGTCGTCTGCCCCTCGGAACTGGACTTGCTGTCCGATGTCAAGTCCATCGCTGCTTTCTGCAAGTCAGAAGGTTTCACTTCCTTGGTTTCGGTCGACATCTTTGTCGCTGCCCCTCAGTGGAAACTCCAGGGGTATGATGAAAATAAATGGGTACAGAAGTAGCGTTTCTTCAAGCTCCCGTCATAGAGAACAGACACAAGTGGAACGGATATATACCTGCGCTCCTCGGTCTCAGGAAGCCGTCGGTTTCTGAAGAAGGAGGTCTGTATTGGTACACAATTGACCTATTGACTAAGGTAGTCGAATAATCGGATCTCTGGCAGGTTCAGCCCGGGTCACCCCTCTAATCGTGATAACGGGTTATCGGTATCTTCTTGTCAAGATAAGTGCCCGTTTTGACAAGGACGAGGGTGCCTTCAGAAAAACAGGCTAAATGCGACCGTCTCCGCTCAATGTCAAGCTGTCAGTCGTCTGAACAGCATCGACCTTGTAACGGCTGTTAGTGCAAGGATGCCGTAGTTTTGAAGCTAAGGACCATGGACGGAAGTTTAAGAGTCGCAGATTGCGGGGGAGAGATGAAGAAGCAATTGGGACAAGAAAACTGTCACTTTATCATTCGGCCACTAGAGCTGAGAAGCCGAAGGCGTATTGTGATGTGGTTGTCGCACAAGACTCCAAGTGTGACGCGGTGCCAATCGTCCCCTCTTTATCTTCCCCTTTGTGTCTCCTGAGTCCTCCCCAGCCTTGTTAACCATTGATTCCCTGCTTGGCTCGGCGATGGACTCGGCCCCACGAACCCGACTGATAGGCGCACACGCACAAACCAACATTCTCGTCATTTCGTCGCGGAGGCGGATCTCGAGGCCGATGGCTCACGGCATTATCGTCCGTTGAATCTGTAGTAGAATCGAGGGGTGGCGCACTTGGCACGAATTGGCAGGCATCAGTTGGCAAGGGATCTAGGTTGCTGCGCGGTCACTGTGGCGATTTGATTGGGAATATTCAGTTGGCCCCGTCCCACCGATATGGTTCCCGGGGAAGCACGGATGTTCTGCCCAAGGCTGCGCCGCATGCGTGCGGCCGTAGGAAACGTCTTCGGCATCTTGGTCGGTGGTCTTTGCATCACCGGCCGAACTTGACTCTCCTCCTTGGTTATAAGAGTCCGAAAGGTGGTTTCGAGGTAGAAAAGGTAGCAGATCGAGGGTAGACTAAACTGTAAAGACCAGATTATCGCATACTCGACGTCGTCCGTTCCGCAAACTCACAAAATACCCTCATCTTCAATATGGCCAAGCCATCCATCCTCATTGTAGGCGGAGGTGTCTTTGGTACCTCCACAGCCTACCACCTCTCACAAAGAGGATATGAAAACGTCACGGTGCTTGATCGCTTCGACGCACCCTCCAAAGACTCTGCGGCCACCGACCTGAACAAGGTCGTACGCGCTGACTACCCTAACCCGTTATACGCGAAGCTAGGCATGGAGAGCATGCAGGAGTGGAAGAACCCCAAATCCATCTTCGCAGGGATGTATCGCGAGAGCGGCTGGGTCATGGCGGGCCACGGCCTGACGCGGGGATGGCTCAATAGCGCCATGGAGACAGCCAAGAAGGCGGGTCGCGAGGGGGTGCGGTTCATGACGGCCGGGGAGATGAAAACGAGGTGGCCCGCTCTGACGGGGGAGTTCCCGGACTGGACCAACTTGTGGAGTCCTGCGGCTGGCTGGGTAAGTTCCATTGTGCCAAACGATATCACTTACAGGACGACAACGTAGTAAAGTGATGACAAACTGACCACGATCGGGAAAATAGGTGCCGTCCGGACAAGCGCTGTTAAGAATGGCAAACGCCGCCAAGTCACAGGGGGTCAAATACGTCTGTGGAGAATCCGGTTATGCCAAGAAGCTCGTGTTAGACGGCAACGGGAAGTGCGAGGGTGTCTTAGCCGCAGACGGGACACTGCACGTGGCGGACATAGTTGTGTTGTCCACAGGTGCCAATACCGCGACCCTAGTTGATGCGAAGAAAGAAGTGGTGGCACAAACATCAGTCATCTGTGTGATGAAGCTGGAGCCGCACGAGATCGAAAAGTACAAGGATATGCCAATCATCGATGACTTCGAGCAAGGTACGTAGGCAGTTGATCTTGGAAGAGTGACATGGCGCACTCAAACTAACCGAGGGATCTAGGCATCATCTTTCCACCAGATGAGAATGGCTTAATCAAGCTATGCAGTTGCAGATGTCTCACAAATTATCGCAACAGATATGTTCCAGGGGCTTCCATCCTCCACTCTTTAGGCGATTATCCAGACGACGGATGCCCTAAGGAAGTCGAAGATGAAATGCGTACGTTTGTTAGAGAGATGATCCCAGAGCTGGCTGACCGGCCGTTCATCTCTTCCAAAATGTGCTGGTGCGTATTGAGACATCATCCTTGAGATCTTGTTGGCTTTTCCATTTCTTCCGAATCCTCCATGCTAACTCGAAATTCAGGGACGGTCTAGCCGGTGATCTCAACTTCAGAATCTGCCCTTACCCCGAAACTCAGAACTTGTTCGTCGCTACGATTGGATCAAATCACGGATTCAAGTTCCTCCCAATCATTGGCAAGTACGTCGCTGACATGCTCGAGGGGAAATTGGGTAAGGAATGGCAGGATCTGTGGGCTTGGAAGTTTGGAAAGGTTCCTGATGATTTTCAAGATCCTCACCCATGGCCGCTCCGCGATATCTCAGACTTATCAGGCTGGAAAGGCCGGAATGCGGCTGGTGATGGCAAACTCCCTTGGACATGGAGTCGCCTCTAGACTAATATCTGGTTTAATGCCAATTTTTGATGAGACATGCATACTTGATAGATTGGGGATGGATTATCGACGCGGAGCTCCTCGACACTTGCTTGTGTCTTCTCGGAAATAAAGTATCTGAACGTGGTGCAGTCCTCCTTATTCCCATTCGCAACGCAGGATTCGTAGTCCAGCTTGGAATGCGTTGAGCGCGTGCTTGGGGCACATTGCGCGTATTGTATAATCAAAAAGTGTACCGTATCGTGTGATTTCCCTCGAAAGCGTGATCCCGTTAAGGTCGATCTTTTGCGCCTGTAAAGCCGGAAAAAAACCACCACATACTTACCAACATCCAACAGAGCCTGGTCCTGGCAGCCAACACCAATAGCAATTCGCCAGTTGACACATCCCAGTTCTGCACCATTACACATGACAACTAGCAGGGGCCGATGCATGCCGCCCCGCCGCTATCATTCTGTACGACCCAGCAAACATACCGCAGTACTTCCAACTACTTAAACGGGTTGGAGGATTTTCGTTATCAGTAAAGACCTCCGCACCGTCGATATCGTCCGCGTGGTCGACGTGGGTCCCTCCTCTTTACCCCGTATTGCCCATCGTCTTGGACCTTCCCACCTCCGATACCGCCGGCAAACGACATTAGGCAAAGGAGCATGTCGATCCGACGAGTCTTTTGAGTTGAATCCAGTTCTTTATGGAGCACAAATGTCCCTTTGCCGTTGTAATTTTTAGACCAATTGAGACATCGTGAACTTAGTTGTGATGATGACTAGAACGCCAAGAGGTCGAAGCGCAGTAGCCTGCAAGGCCTGTCATACACAAAAGCTCAAGTGCAATGGCGGTACGTTGCTGTAACCAGTTGCGAACTTCTTTCTTGTGCTAATTGAAATGCCCATAAGGAGCACCATGTGAGCGATGTCAAACCCGGGGGAGGCCCTGCGTTTACCCCGTAAGAGAGAAATACATCACGGTCCCTCAAAGTTATTTGCGGAGACTCGAGAGACAGCCAGCAGTGGCGCAACGATCGGGAGATCCGATCTCATCGCCAGAGTCGGTACGAACGGATCCAAACGAGTTTGCGACGCCGCTCTCGCCCAAGTCTAGTCAGATTATCAAGGAAGAGGAATTGGAAGATTGTAGTGCAGAGTTTTTCGTGAAGAGGCTCCGACAACTTTCGTGGACAGCAGCATCCGGTGATCCGACCAGCAAACAGACTAGGGAGTCTACCGGCACAAATGCCGAGAGCTACACATATTCTCGGCTGAAGTTCGATTTTCTACGTAAGTCGATTGCTCACAACAACCAACAAGACGTTTGCTGATGCGATGCACAGAATCTGAAGTCTCATTTCGACTCCCGCCCCGACCATATGCGTTCCACCTACTCCAGGCCTTTGATGAAGGCTTCAGTGAATATCACTGGTTCCTCCGCAAGAGGTTCCGAGAAAGGATCCTCTTGACCTACTCGGACCCGCAGTCGCAATCTCACGATCGCAACTGGTTGTGCAGGGTCTCAGTTGTCTTGGCGCTCGCTGAGAGCTGGAATCGATCTCGAATGTCCTCAGCTGTCCACATGGAAATTGCAGGGAAGCATCCGACCAGTCCACCGCAAAAAGGAGCTGCTGTTCCCTTGACTTTGCCTCCACATTCTCACTCAACGTCGCAAACACTGCCGCCACCTCCCGGGTCAGAATTCTTCGAACAAGGGTTGATGCTTCTCAAGATGTCTGCGGAAGAGCCTGTGCCAGAAGATGTAGAGGCACTTTGCTTGATTGTGAGTACCTATGCCTATCAACCAATGCCAAACCACTGACAACATGTCTAGGCGTTTTACTGCTACTCACTCAACCGCCGTAAAACGGCTTACTCATACGCCAGCCAAAGTGTTGCGCTGGCCAAGCTCTTGCATCTTCACAAGCCACATCCTCTGCCCAAGGCCCCAGACCAGCAACGCCAAGTGCGCGTTATGAACGAGCACAGGAAGAGGCTCTGGTGGACATCCTACTGCATGGACAGAATGATATCAACGGAGCTTGGCGTCGCTGCCGCCGTGGCTTGTGTGCCAGAAGGCATGCAACTCCCGTCATCGGCCGGACTAGACGCTGAAGACCTCGAGGAGTTTTCTGATCCGGGGCTTTTGACCATGCAAACCCAGCTCTGCGAGATCAAGCGCAATGTTGTAAGAACGGCGGCTCAACACGTTGATGTTGATGACGAACGTCGACTAGAGATTATTAAGCCATGTCTCGACACTTTGCAGGAGTGGAGATCAAGTCTGCCGCAACAAGTAGCTTTCACGTTCGAGGAGAGCCTGCCTACGAGATTGATGGAAGCACCTCACGGTAGAATCCTTGCATCCACCTACATGCGATATCACCAGGTGAGCTCGTGTTTCGTTCCTTCCCGGATCAATCGCCGACTTCTTCCCTAACAATAGTCCAGTGCTTCATCTTATTGTTGAGACCACTCTACCTTCAAAAGCTTTCCTCAATCGTTCAAAAGCGACGATTGAACAACACACCGAATTTCACCGGGTCCGACACACCACTAGACACCGATGATCCGATGAGAGCCGTCAAGATACAGTGTCTTCAAGCCGCACGGAACAATTGCAAGATCCTCCTCGGGCTCTGGAATTACGACAAGATTGGTAAGTATTTGCGTCATTGTGATGCCCCTAAATTATTAGAAGGGAGGAGCTAACGGTTGTCTGCCCAGCCAAATTCGGATACTGGGAATCTCTCCACCTATTCTCCGGTCTTGCAATCCTCGCCCTCGCCCGAGTCTCCATCGAGGAAGGTAAAGATTTCAACCCAAACAGCGAAGACGACGTAGCACTCTACACGCGGACACGAGCACTGCTCAGAGAAATGGCTCGCGTCGGCAACCCCGCGGCCAAAGATCACGATGTCTTGCTCTCAGATGTTGAGGCAATGGTGAAGAGAATCTCACGAGAGGAAAAGACAACACCGCGGCAATTTAGTGTCGAGGAGGCTGATGGCAATGTGGAAATGGAGACTGATCTGACTTTCTCGGATTTCATGTTCTCTGATGGAAATGCCGACCAACAGATCTGGAGTGATAAGGACTGGGAAAGTATTTTGAGCACATATACGCAAGGAATTTGAATAGAATCAAGAACGTGATACTTGAGAATCTCTCAATCACGATCAAGTGCATTCATTGGATTGATTTCCGTAAACTATATCTAGTACTGAATTCGAATCGTGAAAAGCGTCTTTTGCAATTCTTAATGCGCGATAATTTGGGGGGTGGGGGGGTCTCCTCTTGAAAAGCCATGTGTCAACTCATCTAATCTCTTCATGGGATACAATCCTAGCTCCTGTCTCTATCGGATCAATGGACTTATTGTAGTTACCAATGCCGTCGATTGGGGCATATTTCTCGCAAAGGTAAAGCATGCTATTGTAGGCCCTGCAATCCGTCAGCAAATTTTCTAAGACCCCTTATACGATTGATACTGGCGACAGTACTTACGACTTCCTCAGTCGGCTGCCCGGATGACCAGCGGAGTAATTCATGCCCCCTTTTAGGCTGTAAAGCCGAATTCGGTCCTCAAACTCGCTGGCGGGCTCCGCCTTCGGATAGAATTCAAGGTAGCGGTTCATGTAGTCTTTCTTTCCAAAGGTTGCCGAGAACTCGCAAGCCCAGTGCCCCAGCTCCATCTCGCTATGGGCAAAGTACGACCCAGCATCGAACAACATCGGTAGGTTCGTCTCTTTGTTGATACCCGTGTTACCCTCCCACAGGTCGCCATGAATTAGACTGGGCTTGATCGGTTGTCCGTTCCATGTGAGTTTTTCCAGTAGTCGCGGGATCACATACTTGGCTACCTGGTGCGCCGCACGCTCATACTCGAGCCAAGTGTCATTCTCCTTGATGTCCAAGCTAAGCGTGTGAAGGAACAATTTCCGAAAAAACACGGCCCAATCTGACTCCCATTCTACAGCATGCGGACGGTCGCCATCACATGTCGTGATGCCGAAACCAAACTCCTCCGACAGAATCTGACTCTTCCGGTGCATGTCGGCCAGGCGCTCGCAGAACAAAGAAGGATCTTGTGCAGTTGTGGTATCGAAGTCAACAAACTCGGACATATAGAAGTACGTGGGCGTGTCTGTCTTCTTGTACTTTCCATACCCAAAAGGCTTCGGGATAAAGTCTGGCATCAGTTCGTAGATGGTTTTGGATGACTCGAATTCCCCGTGAAGCATAACTCTGCCAGTTTCTCCATAGGCGGTCTTGACGAAAAATACTTTCTCAGAGTTCGAGGAACGGGCAGAAAGCTTGCCCGTGACAGTCCACATACTGTTACCAAACGGCTCGGCTGAGTAGATCGAGAATCCCTCTGGTACAGCTGGAATGGACACAATTTCCAAATGAGCAATCGAGATCCGAGACACGCGTTGTCAGTCGAGAATATGACGTACCACCATCAATCGCTTCATCTATGGGAAACTTGCAGTCTTGGCCAGCTCGCAGCTCCTGGTTCGTTAAATGGAGCTCGAGGTCATCGGTTTGTTGTTCAATAGGGACAAGAGATGCATCAATATTGACATCGACATTAGGAAAACTGCTGTCATAGGATCCAATTGGATCTCCCTTAATGTCTGTTTGAGATCCGGTAGCAAGCGCTGTGGACGTTTTCATGCTAGTTCAATCATAAGTTGTCGTCATGAAACGCTCTGGCTGTAAGGCACACTAACCTGGAATTCGAACAGTCCGTCTGTCGAGACTGCGATTTTGCTCGGATCGAGAATTGAAACAAAAATTGAGGATCTGATTGATTTTATTTGAAGAAATGCCCAACAAAGGAATTGGGCACGGCATGTTCAGTTCAAGCTGCTATTGTGAGCCCGCCACCCCAACTGAGCTGCGTAACCAAGTGCCCAACCCCTGCTCCTGAACAAATAGACAAAGCTACTCTCTGCGGCTTGCGAAAATTGAGCCAGGGTGTCAGAGTAATCGCATTGGTGGAGAATGACCACATCTGAAAGTGTACGTAAACGATAGACCGGACTTGATATCTCCCTGTCGGAAAAGATAGTGGTACAAAAAGGATTAGCTGTCGAAATCTAATGGTATTACCTCACCCAGGAAACATTAAGATACATCGACCGAAGCATTCAGTGCGATATGGCGGTCAAGCGTATCATCTAATGCCGTAAGTCTTGAAGCCGGGGTTCAATTTGAGGCCCGAAGGTATTCTACTCGCATGCTAAGTCTTTGTCTCGTTCTCAAACACTCAAACCACCATCACTCGCTAAACTTGTGCCAACGAAAACTACGAGAACTGCTGTATATGCAGCAGTTGCAGAGACTACCTCGTTCGGGGTCGCGAGAAGGATAGGTGCCAAGCTGGCAAAGAGCATTACAAAAGTTGATGTCACCCACATCGAGGTCGTGAGCCCCGGATAAAACGCCATGATCGAACTTGGAAAAAGAAGGAGTCCACCGCCTACTGCTCCCGCTAGAATCCTTTGAGCATATGCCAGGTAAGCCTGTTTTTGGGCGGTGAGTCTGGGACTACCGCCAAGCATCTTCGGCTTTTGCAAATCAATCGGGTAGGACAACTCTTTCGGCACCGCTTCTGGACAACCCTCTACGTCCGGGTCTGCCAATATTCCTGCATCCGACAACCGTTCACGCAAACGCTTGGCGGTATCAGAAAGGCGAAAATGGCACCCCGGTTCTGTAGAGTCCTCTGCGTCCGGGTCTAGCAACATTGCTGCATCCGATAGCCGTTTGCACAATCGCTCGGCGGCACCAGAAAGGTGACAAGGGCTTTGGAGAGATTGGGTCGCAAGCTCCTTCAGAAGTTTTCGTTCTAAGGTGACTTCGGTGGTAATAATGAAAGGATCGCTAGCATTTGATGTCAATCCGGATTTGATCATGTAGTCAAAATCTCGTAGAGCATTGACTACATGTCTATCTAGATGTTAGCTATTCATTCTGGAAGCCGCTCACAAACGTTGACTGAGTATTCTCACCGTATCCTTTGATCGCGGGTCCCAACGCTCGGCATGATTTCTCAGTATTGTTTGGGGATGATGTGAAGATATTGAATCCGCGCTTTCCAATGTCTTGTCTTAGATACTCCAGGTGCATTTGTTGTAATGTCGCTATGTTGAGAATGAGATGATTGCGCTCCTCGTATAAAATGCTGCTTGAGTAGGCCTCATGTATTCTCTGCGTCATATCCTCCTGTGACTCATGAGCCATCACCGTAGCATCGGGCGATGACATAGGCTGTGACAGAACGGGAGGTTCTTCACTGGCAGCTTCAGCTGCTGGCTCATCGCTTCGTGCATGTACTAGATCGGTCGGTTTCGATGAAGGTTCCGTTGGAGATTGTGACTTGGCACACGAAACCAGAGCTCGAGGAGGCTCGCCCTCCTCGTCAATGTCTCTGTCTGCCATGTATACTCGCGCTGAGTATGTGGTTGTCGTTTTCCCTTTTTTCAGGAATGTTTTACTGTTCCACTTTTTGGCCTAGCCTTTCCTGCCTTTCCCATGAGTTTATGCCAGCGGCTGAGGAAAACGACGTTGGAGAGCCAATTCGCCGAAAGACAGTAGGAGGACGAAGCGAAAGAAGTAGGAATGGGAACTCCCGTTCCAAATAACAACATCTTCATGGTCGAAGCGATTTCGCCAGCAAGGCGGAGTTCATTTGGTAGGTTTGCGTAAGATGTTTTCCGCCTCGGCTTTCTAGCATGCAGCCACAGCTGCCCAAATTATCGTGTTGGGCTTTTGCAGGTCCTTTATTACATCTCATGCACGCAATGTGACGTGGCGACGCAGAGAAGCCTCGTTTGACTGGTGAGAGTATAGAGCACATGCATACTATCAGCAAAAACGAGGCGGCGGCCACATTATGTTGGTCTCGACTTCGAGACACCGAGAGTTACACAGCTTAGCAATATTGGACCTCTCGGTAAGCTGAGTGTGCATTGAGAACTACTATGTGAGCCAATTAGCGCCCGACTTTCAGCGCAGAAGCAGAGAGGGCTTCTACGTGCTCGTTGGAAAGAAAACCAAGGTGATAGCTCACGTGCCTAGAGCACCGTCGTGGCCAATTCGTTTTATCAAATGGCATGAGAAACACTGGATGTCGCCTTGGGAAATAGTCACCAGTTTCTAACCTGCAGCTTGGTGGTACGCACTGATACGGTTAAAGTCTCCTACGACAGCCAGCCCGTTACGTTATACATTGATCAGATTGACGGTTTGCTTCTTTGTTGACACACAAGTGGGCTTATTTATTCCTGTCTTACCTGAGAAACTTCATTCACGAGAATGATATGAGAAAACAAATCCGAGCATGGAGGTATGGTAGAGTACTTGTGATACATATTTGACCCCATAGCAGAAGGCGTCTTGTATCAGTGTGTAGCAAGTTGAGTCGAAGTGGCTCATGCCGAATCTGGTGGTCTTAGTTACTGATAGTATTAATGGCGGCTTAATAGCTCTGTATTCTTTTGCGCTTTGTAATTGCGCGGCCTGTAGGAGAGGTCAATCACGGGTTGGCTACAAGAGGCTCTGGGCAATTTTTTGTTGTGAATGGTTTTTCCGCAAATGCAATTCCCTCTTAACGTTCAAATCCCCGAGACTTGGCATATTGCTGCCGATGCGTGCAAGAATCCGTTTTTGGTAATCATTCGCCGTGATGTCGTCCCTAAGTTGGGTCGTCGATTTCGTATCCGTCCCTAGGCGTTGTCGACAATCTGGGGGCCAAAGTCTATACGCTCCGACGTTGAGAAATTGAGAGGGAGCACCTAGTATTATACCAAGCCTTTCCCTCTGTGGCACTCAAAGCTTGCTCCAACGACCCCTGAATGGGGCGAGACCGAGACCGAGAGCGAAGCTTGCAGCACTTGTGGATACCGCTAAGTAAGGACAGAACCTTAAAATACCAAACACAGCCAATATCTCATCGTTTCCCTTCGAGAAACGGCAATTGTCACTGAAGATGACTCGCTAGTGCGGTTTGGTCATCCCCAATACGTGTATGACCTGGGGCTGTGATACACGTATCGGTGCAAGATCTCCACCACGGACAGAACCATTCATGATTAAACAGTTGCAAAAAATATGGATCGGATCTTCGGGGAACGACAAACGGAACCACAAAGTCCACAGGGCTGAAGGCTTGATTGACGTGCTCCCAATGCCGGTTGGCCGTTGGCAGACCACCTCCCCTCCCTGGAGCCCCTTCTTCTCCGGTGATTCCAGACCATGTTAACCACTCTTTGTTCCCCTCCCCTCCCTTTCGCATTCTTACACATCAATTCAACATCTATCCCACCCCTCGGACTCGCAAGAGAGAGAAAGAAGGCGACCAAGGCGATCCAAACACACCTTCACAAGGCGTTCTGCGCCATCATTGTTCGCCGCCCACGCAATGGCGAAGCTCCCGAGCAGTCAGGTCCGTCGGGTCGACTCTGACAGCTCATCAATAAGTTGGTAAGTCGATATACGTCGTATCCAATACGCGCCCTCTCACCTATTGCTTTCTGCCGAAAAGAAAGCGGGAAGCGAGAGTGACAGGGCGGCCAAAACCAACAGCCCAAATCTCGATAACCCCCATCCCGCATCATGCAGCAAACTAACGAAAATCCTTCCTGTGTCCAGGGGCCTGGACTACCTCCAAGAAGAGAAAATCGCGCCTCTCACCTGGATCGAGTCGCCCGTCTCCTCGGCCGATGAAGACACGGGCGAGATCCGCCTCTTTGTCCGGCACAATGCAAATACCATTGAACTCTTCTCCGACCTCTTCTTTGTCGCCAACCTCGAGACGTTTACACAGACGCACAGCATCACCGACTTGTCCAGTTTAGCCGCCTATCTCGGTTTCTTCGCCATCATCTGGTTCACCTGGTTCCAGATCACACTACACGATGTTCGCTTCTCCATCGACTCGGGGTACGAGCGAATGTGCAAGATCCTGCAATTCTGCCTATTTGTCGGATTCGCTCTCGTGGGGTCGTCTTTTAGTCCTGGTACGAAAGAGCACAACAATGCGGTATGTCTATTCTCAACTTTGCGGTATCTCGATCTTGACAACGGAGACGGAAGCCTCGGAAATCTTGATACAGTATCTTAACTGACAGCGATGCAATGTAGAACTTCCAACTCCTGTGTAACATCCTCTTCGCTACCCGCCTGCTGCTCGTAGCTCAGTACTCCGTCGCCCTCCACTTTGTCCGCAAGAAGACAAAGGCCTTGAACTGGCCGCTGTCTCTCACCATTGTCCTCTTCATCTTCTCCGGTGGGGCCTTCTACTCGATGACGCCGGCCTTCTCTCCCGAGTCCGGCAACGGCCTGGGCATCTACTACGTTTGGTACATCATCCTCGTGATCGAGGTCGCCATCACTCTCGGCTTGTCGTCCATCTGGAGGAACCTCAGCTTTAAGCACACCCACTTGACGGAGAGAATGGGCCTCTTCACCCTAGTCATCATCGGCGAGGGTGCCATTGGTGCCACAAAGGTCGTCGGCGTCCTGATGGGTGACACCGGCCTCCGGCTCGATGCATGCCTCGTCGTCGGTTGCATCGTTTTTATTCTGGTATGTCACTCCCCCATACCATGGTCCACCCATAGACCAACTGACTCAATCATTTCTAGATGTTCAATTGGATGCTCTACTTCGATAACCCACCCGAATGCAAATTCGGCACCGTCCGCCAACAAATCTGGGCCGTCCTCCACTTCCCCTTCCACCTCGGCATGATCGGCGTCGTCGAAGGCTCTCAACAAATCGCCCTCGCCTGGCAGGTCCTCAGCTACTTCAGCGACTTCTTCTCCTCCGTCCGCAACGCCTGCGTGAACGAGCACCAAGACGGCCGGGCCCTGACAACTTCGATTTCCACGGCCTTTGAGAAGCTCAACATGCCAAACAGCGCCGAGATCCGCAACCTCATCCCCTTTGTCTACCAAGAAATCTACAAAATCGGCAACACGACGAATATCTGCGCGCCGGCCAACATCACCGGCACCGACTCACTCTTCGTGCCCCCCGGCTTCGAACGCCTCACCAAAAGCGTCCTCGGCGTCTTGTTCGAGTCCTACAACGGCGTCACATCGGATGGTGACGAGGACCCAGGTGAAATCGCGCACCCGGCCTATTCGACCGTCTACATTTACTACTGGTCCTCGTTCCTCTTCGTCGTCGCCTTCTTTGCCGTCTTCATCCTCATCACGCGCCATAAGGACCGCCCGCTTAACATCTTTGACAAGGCCGCCGTCGCGACGCGCGGTGTAGCCGCTCTCTTCGCCGTTGGCATCGCCGCGGGCGCTGGGTCCGAGAAGTTTATCTTTGCCTACCTCAAAAGCGGCGCGACGTTGCCTACCGTAGCGGCTCTCCTCTTGGTGATCCTGGCTGTGGACCGCTTCACGAAGCATCTCAGCGCCAAGACCCTGCGGCGGAATTTGACCGAAGGTTCTGAGTTCTGGGAGAGGGGATTGGCGGAGAGGCAGCTTATAGAGTCGTCGTTGGCAGGGAAGTCTTGACACCTGCGCTCTTACAGTTGGAGCTCTCTAGAACGTGTGTTCACGGCTTTCGTGTCAGTAAGAAACTTCTGGCCATTACTTTATTCATATTCTAGTTTGTATACCATAACGGCCGTCAGCGTGCGGGAAGCGGGGGAATGGGAAGGTAGAACGGGGTTCTGATCACAGCTCGAATACTTTTCTTTGTATCAAAATCATGTCCCGGATTCGAGGACAGTGCAGGGCATAAAGTCCACACGCTATAAGGTGTTTTCAGGGCTGGCACCTGTCAATCTAATTGCTTTGATGACTCCCCTCGAGGAGCTCGAATTGTATTCCTTTCTCATGTGGCCCGATTTCTGAGTTGATGGACATTGTCTTCCTGCCTGCCAGTCGTCTCGAGCGGTATTTCCTCTCCTTGGACCCGCTGATCTAATAAGCCCGGGTCCCCTCGATCGACCCCGAGGACAGCTGCCTTTCTCTCGTCACTCAAATGATGTTCTGACACGAAGAGGTTCAGCACCAAAGCCAGGCCCGAAAATGCGACATACTGCGGGCTATGATTAGCAAAGGAACCGCAGACTTGAGGAGCGACTCCTCGAGGGTGTCGAGTATACGACACGCCGCAATCCTTTGACTTGGAGAGCTCTCACTTACCATGATCCAAACAGTCTTGAGCGCTCTGAAGTAGGCCTGTCTCACAGGCACCTGCTGACCAGCCGAGAGCAAACTAATATCCTCAACATGGGCCGAAGCATTCTCCCCGTCAAACTGACCAGCCAGCTCACCGCCAATTACATCAGCCAAACCTGGATTCTCAGCCTTCATCTGATTCTGAAAAACGACCCCACCAACAACGACAGAGATGGCCGTCGCAATAGACCTGAGGAAGCCCATGGTAGCCACCACGGCAGCAGTATCACGCACCGTAGTCGCAGCCTGCGCCGCCAGCACGGGCGCCTCAATGTTCAACCCCACGCCGACGCCGGTGAGAATCTGGAACGTGAACAGCTTCGCCAGGTTCTTGTCGAACTCGAGGTTGATAAGTAAACCCGTACCGAGGATCAGCAGCACCTGCGCCGCGTACATGAGAACCCGGTACCGTCCCGTCCGTTGAATGAACACCCCGGCACACGCTGCAGAGAGTGAGCAAGAGACGATCAGCGGCAGCATATACAACCCCGACGTCAACGCATTCGCGCCCAGCACGGCCTGGGAGTAAAGCGGCAGGTAGTACGTGATGCCGATAAAGACGTAGGCGTTGAAGGCGAAGACACTATACGCTGCCGCTTTCGACCAGCTCGAGAGCAGTCGGAGGGGGAGAACGGGGTTGGCGGCGAACTTCCACTCGTTTACGAGGAATATGCCAATGACGACAGCGCCGAAGACGATGAGGCAGATTACGGTCGCGGAGGACCAGGGGTGTACGACGTCGCCGAAGTCAAGGGCGAGAAGGACCATGAGGGCTCCGCCCATGCAGAGGGCGCTTCCTGTCCAGTCTATGGCTTTGAGGCCTGCTAATACGGGTGTGTTGGGTGATGGGAGGTCGAGGAAGAAGATGAGGACGATGAAGACTAGTCCACCAATTGGCACTTGAACATGGTCAGTTTTCCGTTGGATATTCTAGCTTCTGTGTGGGGTCCTTACGATTGATCCAGAAACACCATCGCCAGCTAACAAGAGGCGTGGAAGAGTCAGTCGAAGTCAACACTTGGATCTTACCCAGGGAGAACTTACTTCAATCTCGTAGTAAACACACCCCCAAGCACCGGCCCAACCGCACTTCCAACAGCCCAAATAACGGACGTAATAGCAAGATACAACCCCCGATCCCTCAACGAGAACAAGTCGCAGATGATGGTATTCACCATCACCCCCATCCCCGACGCCCCAACACCCTGCACCGCGCGCCCCGCAATCAGCGCATCCATGTGCGGCGCCAGCGCGCATAGCAGGCTTCCCGCCAGGAAGATGGTCAGTGCGAGCAGTATAATTGGTTTCCGGCCCCAGAGGTCGGCGACGGATCCCCAGACGGGAGTGACGGCCGTGAAGCCGAGGATGAAGGCAGAGCCGACCCAGATGTAGCCGGCGACGGAGTCGAGGGAGGCGACGATGTTGGGGACGGCGGTGGTGACGATTGTCATGTCGAGGGCGGAGAGGGTTGCTGAGAGGCAGAGGGATGTCATTGTGAGGGTTATGCTTGTGCCTGAGAGTTTTGGGATGGCGGTGGCGGGGTTGGAGGGGAGAGGCGGGTCGGGATCGGGGGCGTTGCTGAGATGCTCATTTTGAATTGATGGACTGCGACCGGTAGAGATGGGGAGCTCCTGGACTTGCGGTGGTGAGATGATTTGATGGCGAGTCTCGTCGAGAGGGCCTCGTCGCGAGGGTGTTGCGATTCCGAGCTTGCCGCTTCCCTCATCCACTGGGTAGACAACTGCGAGGCCCGAAGATATGCTGGCCATTTTAACGCCGCTATAATTTGAGGACTGGTGTTATGAGAGAGTAAAAATACAGTCAATCTTGTGTGGATGCTATGTTCTACGAGATGAATCAACGATTGCGTTTGTAGGTTGGAAGGAGTGGCGTGAGGATGTCAGATAAAGTCGGTGGCCGGAACATCAGCCCGACCGGCGCAATTAGTCAGTAAGAATCCAACTGAGAGGCTTCAAGTAATGAACAAAAGCGAGTAGGACGGCCCAAGACACTGTAATCCTTGGCGGAGGATGCTGACATTGTTGGGGAACATGAAAGCTGGCGCGCTTTGGTTGGGGATTGCACTCGGCCCTCTAGTGTCTGCCTAATCTTCCAAGAGGCAGAGCGAAATTCACTTCTGGATGATAGGTATTCACATCGTCAGTGCCTTGACACTTCTAAATGGAGGCCATGGACTGAATCTTAGTACAATCTCAATATGCCATTATAGCCAAGGTCATTTGCAAACTACAAGCTGGACAACTCAGACAACGGCGTGGACCCTCAATTCCGGATTGCCTCACGGAGGAAAACTCGTTTCTAGTGGAATAATCAATTGATCCTTCGAAGACAGCCATTGTCCTCAAAGCAAATAGCCGAAACGGTCTCCGTCGCCCGACCCCTAAAGCTCCGGTTTTCCCCCGCTCCGGCCGGCCGGGTCTCGGCACAGCCCATCGGCCAATCAAGCCGAAAATGGGCGGGGGCTCCATCCGGGCCTTTCCCGGATCTGACTGCTTGCAGATTAGTCCAACATGAGGCGCCTTAGTCCTGCATGCAAAGGCACCGGTTAACTCGGGCGCTATCTTCAAAGTGCTGCCTACGAGTTTCTGATTGTGTCACTACCTCGATAATACTGGATGCCTAGCGATTGGTGGTGTTTTGAAACTGCATTCCATCGCAGATTCGTCCAATCTCTGGTGAACATCACAACGGCATCGGTTTTCTGCCGAAGGCATCCACGAACACTTCCTCTGTCAGATCCCTCTCGAGTCCAACAGTCCCGTCGCCGAAGATAGCTGACCAGCCGGCGACCCGCCTGCCCCTCTCATATCATCCCTGTACCAACAAAATCGCAAAAAAAGTTGAAACCAACAAGTGGGTGATACCCCGCCAAACTAGCAAAACCGCTGCCTAAACACCACAGACTCAAAAGATCACGATATCCCGCTCTTGGCATCAACTTCCCACAGCTCAAGCCTCACACCGCTTCCCCGACCTCAATCCTCAATTCAGACCTTCCCTAAATCTCACTCATCACCACAATGGCCCCCTCCCCTCCTCGCAACCCCCCACAACCACCCCCCATCTTCACAACCTCCCCCTCCCAAATCCTAACCACAATCACCACCCTCATCTCAACCCACCGCGCAGCCCAATCCTCCATCCCATCAACAATCTCGCCCCAGGACGCAACCTACGCAAACACCCTCCTCCCCCTAGCCCACGCCGAAAACGCACTCTACTCCAAATCTTCCCTCCTCCTCTTCCACAACGCAGTCTCCCCAGACCAAGAAACCCGCACAGCCTCCTCCCAAGCCCGGTCCCTCCTCCGCGACGCAGAACTCCAAGGGGCCAACAACGAAGCGCTCTTCAAGCTCGTCGACGCAGTCTATAATGATTCTGCCGAAACGCGCTACCTCAACCCGGAAGCCAGGAACTATCTCCACAAGAAACATCGAGAATTCGTCAAAAACGGCCTGCGGATTCCCATTGGGCCGGACCTGGACCGCTTCCGCGCAATCCGCGCCGAAATCGTCTCCCTCACAGCAGAATTCGCAAAGAACCTCGCAGAGGCAGATGTCTCGGTATGGTTCACCCCGCGGGAACTAGACGGCTTCCCTCCCGACGCCCTCGCGTGTCTCGAAGAAGGGGACGACGACAACCCCGAGACGGCAGGAAAATTCCGGATTAAAATCCCGCTCCATCTCTCTCACCTCCTCCGCACCGCCCACCGGCCCAATACACGCCGCCGCGCCCGGTTGGCGTACGACATCCGGTGCAGCGAAAACATCGCCATCTTCCGGCGCGTCGTCCTCCTCCGCCACGAAGCTGCCCGGCTTCTCGGGTATCCGGACCACGCGACCCTCAGCACGGAGGAGAAAATGGCTGGGTCCCCGGCTCACGTCACGTCCTTTCTCTCCTCTCTACGCGAGAAGCTAGTCCAGGGCGGACAAGTGGAGAAGGAACGCCTCCTGAAGCTCAAGAGGCGTGATGTCGAGGAGGAGAGGGGTGAGATTTATGATGGAAAGTTGTATACGTGGGACACTGCGTACTACACGAATCAGTTGCTGAAGGAAGGATATGCTGTTGATCAGGAGCGGATCGCAGAGTATTTCCCGCTCGAGCAGACTGTGGAGGGTATGCTGAGTATCTTTGAGCGGTTGTTTGGCATGGAGTTTTGTGAGATTGCTGGCAGAGAGGCAAGGGATGCATTATCGAGTACGGGAAAGGGGGAAGATATCGTCTGGCATGAAGACGTGCGGCTATTCTCCGCGTGGGATTCTGCTAACGAAGGGGGCGGATTCCTGGGATATCTCTACCTCGATCTCTATCATCGGGATGGGAAATACGGGAACCCCGCGAACTTCAGTCTCGTACCCGTAAGTCCTCTCATCTACCTCGCCACAGAGACATCCTCACAATGTTCTCCAGCTCTACTCCATAGGACCATGGCTGACAATCGCCCAGGGCTTCACAAACCCAGATCAAACCCGCACATACCCCTCCACAGCCCTCCTCTGCTCCTTTCCCACCCCCTCTTCCGCGTCTTCACCAACCCTCCTCCGCCACGCCGACGTGGTAACCCTCTTCCACGAACTAGGCCACGCAATCCACGACCTCGTCTCCCGCACCTCCTTCGCGCGCTTCCACGGTCCCATGGGCACCGTCGTCGACTTCGGCGAGGCGCCGTCCCAAATGCTCGAGAACTGGTGCTGGAGCGCAGAGCAGCTTAGGGGACTTGGGCGTCATTACTCGTTTCTATCTGAAGAGTGTCTGCGGGATTGGCGGGAGAAGCAAGTTATCAGGGGAGTGCAAGGAGAAGCAGGGGAGGGAGTGACCCAGCCCCCGGAACGAATCCCAGAGTCCGTCGTCGAAGGCCTCGTTGCCGCGAAGCACGTCGGTCAAGGGCTGGGAACGCTGCAGCAGCTTTTTATTAGCGTTTTCGATATGGCTGTGCATCAGTTGCCTGCGTCCACCATCACGCAGGAGGATCCAACTGCCAACGCTGCCGCCAGTGCCGTCGAGGGGGAAGCCGCCGCAGACTTTACGACGCTCTGGAACAGCCTCCGACGAGAAATCGTCCCGACGGACGATCCGCCTTTCCTGCCAGGCGACGATGCCAACTGGGGACACGGGTATACTAATATCGGACACCTGATGGATGAGTACGATGCCGGGTTCTATGGGTACTTTTTGTGAGTCTACACTTTCTATTCTCCCTCTTTTCCCGGTTTTCGGGGACGTCCTCCCGTCGGCTTAGGTGACCATGAAAGAAAGTCTTCACTAACCGAACTTGTGTTTGCGATGAACAGCTCGAAAGTCTACGCCCAAGATATCTTCTCCACCATTTTCGAGTCGGACCCCATGAGCGGGGAAGCAGGGCGCAAGTATAGATACGGCGTCTTGGAGAAGGGGGGCGGCCAGCCCGAAATGACGACCTTGTTGGAGTTTCTTGGTCGTGAGGTCCGTATGGAGCCATTTTATAAAGAATTGGGATTGTCGGCGTAGATTTACCCATTCCCATCCGAGGATGTGATGGTTCTAAAATATTGCGACATTGTAGGTCGTTTCTAGGAAAACATTACTATATACCGTTACAAGAGCATAAGAAAGAAATTGATTGGAAACTAAATTGCTGGCTTTTCGATACTCTAAATGTGCCATGGTGTTGGTGCCGAAGAACTAAGCACTTCAATAACTCAAAAATAGGATCGACCCAGAAATGCAATTCCTCAGAGTGCCGGATTTCAATGCCAATGTCAAGGACTGTTCCCCTGTCTGGGACGACATACAAAGCCTAAGATTCTCTCCCGGTATAGTGATACGTTATCCGGAGCCGGTGCGGGGCACCCCACCCTCGCCGAAGCGGTCCCGCGTCGTCTTCGGCATCGGGACACTATCGGACTTGATGCCATCCTCTTCACAAATCACGTAAACCACGTCGACTAATGCCGATGGATCAACAGGACGAAGCCAGTGTCACTGCCAGCAATACATAGCAGCGGTACAGCTAGGGCGAGACCATTCGACTCGTTCTCGTTGGGCAGTGCAGGTCCCAGTGACTGTGGTGTTGGAATATGCCGGTGAATGCAAGCTTCACATCCGAACCCCCTCCGGATCTCGCGTCCAGTCAAAATGGTGATACTGCACAGTGATGCTGTTATCTTGCCTTCCCCGCATGCAAGTCGCAATGGCGCGAGCCAAAGGATGAATGGCTTCAGTAATCGCCATATCACGTCGATTGACGCGATTGACTGTTAGAATGGCAGACTCGGTTCATACCATATTAAAGCAGGCTCAATGAGCCAGCCATGATACGCGACGGAGTAAACATTTGATGGAAATTGTCGATTTGATCACTCAGAAGCAAGAATAAAAGAACCATCACTTACAATGTCTACAACCACTACAACCGAAACTCACGCTGAGACGGCACCCGTCAAGCTGACCTTGGCATACGACGACAAGATCCATGATCAGGTATGCCATTAATACATCACTTGATGTATATCAATGTAACAAGATTGACAATGACATTAGTACAAGTACGCCCAATACTTGCCGGTGTACGATGAAAAGACTTCCTTCCCCCCGCTACAGCCATTCGAGTTCAACGACCGCGGTCTCGTAGCGAACAAGGAGAAGCTAAATCTCCTTCCGAGGGACAACAAAGAGATCAAGGCCACGAAGCTGACGCCAGTCATTGGTACCGAGATTCGAGGCTTGCAACTATCTCAGCTGAACGACAGACAGAGAGACGAGCTTGCACTTCTCATCGCGGAGCGCGGCGTCGTCGTGTTCCGAGACCAAGACTTCAAGGACATCAGCATCGAGAAGCAGAAGGAATTCGGGAAATACTTTGGTCCTCTCCACATCCACGTTCGTGGCCATCTCACTTTGCCATTTCGGCAAAGAGTTTGCTGACAAGTTTCCAGCCCGTCGGCGCGCATGTCAAGGACCATCTCGAGCTGCACAACATCTACCTGGGTCCGGACAATGAGTATCGCAACCGGAGCAAAAGCAACAAACTCTCGACCATCGGGTACCACTCAGACGTGTCGTATGAGCACCAATCACCGGGCGTTACGATCCTTGCACTTCTCTCTGTACCTGAGACGGGCGGCGACACGGCGTGGGTTTCTCAGACGGCGGCGTATGCGCGATTGTCGAGGCCCATACAAGCCCTTCTCGAAGGGTTGAGGGCAGAGCATAGCGGCTTTCCCCAAGCCGACAATGGTCGTCGAGACGGCAAATTTGTGCGGAGGGAGCCGGTCAAGTCGGAGCATCCCATTGTTCGGATTCATCCGGTATGTAATGTCGCCATAACTTGTAGCTCGCGATGAAGTCCGTTCTGCTAACATCTTTCGTGTCGCAGGCCACTGGCCAGAAAGCGCTGTTCATCAACCCAGGCTTCACAAAGAGGATTGTCGGCCTTCGAGATGAGGAGTCAGATGCGCTGCTGAAACTCCTGTTCAAGGTTTGTGATACCAGCATTCGGGATTCAGATCCCTACTGACAAAAAGAAACAGCATATCAATAACGGCCAAGACTTCCAAGTCCGCGTCAAGTGGGAAGAGGGAACCGTCGCTCTCTGGGATAACAGAGTGACGGCGCACACTGCCATCTCGGACTACAACGTCCACAACCCACAGGAAGGGCTGCGACACGGTTTCCGGATCACCACTTTGGCTGATAAGCCGACGGGAGTCAATGGCTTAGAGTCCACGTGGTAGGTCGCATAACAGCATTCGGTCCGTTGAACACAGATCACGTAACGCTTGGGGTCGGCAATTTGGATGCGTCTGAAGGTGCCGATGTGCTATGTCGGCGATATTGAAATTTTATCGGGGATCGTCGGGACTGGTCGGGACCGCAGGGAGAGCCATGGGAGCTCGGAAGTTGAAACGGGAAGAATGATTATTGCGGGAGGAAGCACGGCGGGCCCAGCGTTCACGCGACCACAACCAAGGACGCCCTGGCAGTTCAGTGACAGAGTAACGCCTGGGGGGTTTACGGAGAAGCCGGAACCGTGCGCACCATCGTGAGGTGCAATAATAGATCCGTATAATAGGTGCGCATAGCAATGCAGAGAGATACCGCAGTGCGACCGAGAAAAGTGGACGGCGGCGATTATCAAGAAATGTGTGTATGGCTGTAACAGTCGGATGGATCGTAATGGAGATGAACTGGTGCAACTGAATGGCGAATGTTGGGGCTAGGCACGTGGCTGATCCGACAATCAGTCACTTAGGGCGGAGGGATCGTCGCCTGATTGTCGAGTTTTGATTCCCAATCGAGATCCAATTTTTTTTCTCGTACAGGCTGGAAAGCTGTTTGTTCTCTGGAAAGAAGTGACGCGTGATAACAGTGGAGATTGGGTATCGTCGATGTGTCGCGAAGTTAACAGTACTGGGAAGTATGGTCCGTGGTGGTTCTGGTGAGTGCGTGACTGACGAAAATCACTGTGGAGACGAATAAGCCGAGGCACGATGCTTTTCTTCTGAGGAATCGCCGAACCCCATGAGAGCCTCATGACCTCCTCTTACGACTCCTCCTACGAGACCAGAGAAACCAAAGTAAAGTCGAGACTCGGAAAGGTGTACGGGGGGGAGACGGGGCTCGATGGTGATATGATTGGCCATTGGGGGCGACGGCGTCGTGGCGGAGGCCGAAACAATGGGGACGGTGCGAGGCCCCTTTGATTCGCATCTCGTTCCCCGGAAGGGGCCCCGAATGATCCATTGAAGAGAGAAAAGAACACCACAGATCTGGGAGCCCCGAGGGGAAGATGGCGTGGGTTGCGTGGTTCGGGTGGGTGGGATGGAGGATGGGGAGAATTGGCGTCGGTTCTCCCTCGGACGGCGACCGACAGACCGGTTAGACCTGTAGAATAAGGCAAGAGACTCTGAGTTTTCTGGAGCTGGGGAAAGAAAAGAGAGACCGTGACACGCTGCGCACGCAGCAGAAAGGGCAAAAGACTGGAGATTTCTGGAGAATATTTGGGGCTTTGCTGGAGACTTTGGAGACGTCTGGAGGTTGAGGGGAGAAAAGGGCCGAAAGAGAGCAACGACGGCTCTGAAGAACGGAAAGCCGGAGGTGGGCCGTGAAGGTGTCGCGGCGATATCTTTTTCCAACGTCTATGGTTCTTTCCGTCTTCTTTTTCTTCTTCTTGCCATGTATCATTGATAACGACGTCATCTGATGTTTGGTGTTGGCGGGGCTGAATTGAATTGAATACGTACTAATTTGTGTGAGGAAGGAAGTTGGGAGGATGTGAGGCAGGGGTTGTGGCTTCGGGCAAGTGCTGTGGTTCAATCAAGATTTCTTGGGCCCCCGTTTGGCAGAGCTTGTTTGGCTGTGTCTCTCATCATCCAAGACTTTTGCCGAGACTCGAGGAAGCGGCTCTCCTGCCCTTCCATGGCTTCCATTTGTGCCTTCACTTGGCGAGCTGTAATTAATACGCAGTAAACCATTTCGGGTTCGAGTTGCCAGGGAAAGAAGGGCCAAAGGGACCATGTGCATTCGGCAAGAAGGTAGCGATCGGGACCTGCCTTGAGAACCTGCCTGGGATGACTGGCCCCTTGGCACGAGATCCGATCCACCCGGTCGGGAAGCAGCTTGGCGATGATTGGCAACGCGACTGCATTTCGTGTCGTCCCGCTTGTCATCGTGCCTTCTCACTGGTGCGCAGTTGGCAGTGACGTGGGCAGCAATTCCGGCAGCGCCTGCCGTCCCTCTGCCGCGGCACCATTCCGTCGCCTGTCCAGGGACTCACCTTATGTATCTTTCCACACAAGATTCGCTGGCCCGATACGTTCCGTGTCATATCACGATGGCCTCATTTCATCGCCCCTCTTTCTACTTGTGTACTGGGTACTTCAATTGGATGAGAAGGAACTTTCGGGTAGAAGAGAACAGTCACGTGTATTGCGTGTTGTGAGTTGCTCACCTCACCACGACATTCCACTAAGCCCCATCTAGAAGAAGTCTGTCGTTAACCATATGTTCATCCGCAGTTTATCAAATACAAAGTTGCTCACTTCTCAAATCCCAAGTCTGCAATCCGAATGTGCCGTGAAAGAATCGCCAGAGAATTTGACCACCCGCTCGTGTAGTGTACCCCGGCCCCGGTTCCTCCGGCACACCCTGCACCTTACTTACCTTCTCTTACCTTAGTGTACCGGTACCGATACTTGTACAAAAACGGCTTTCTTTGGTACCGTACACCAAGTTTATGCGCTAAAGATACTTTGCATGGTAAAACGGCCTTGGGCGGATCCGGCATCTTTACATCATCTCACGCCCCCCTGGTTTTCCCACAAAACGCACTTCGTCCACCAACGTCATCCAGCCGTTGCTCAATCTCACGATTTTCTTCCACGCTGTGCCAGGGAACAATCGACAGACCATGTTATCCCCGACCAACACTGTCACTGGTTTTCCTGGCCTGTTTCCACAATTCCCAAGAATCCAATAATGATCATCCCCAGAGCCGCATTGGTAATCTGGTGTACACTGACACTACGCAGAAGTACTGGACCAGGCCTCCATAGTTCGCCCACACACACCCAATGACATCCGCCGAATCTCCATCTTCGTCCTCTCGGCTTCCTTCTCGTCTCTGAAGTCTCTTCTCTCTGCCTGACACCAGAAAAGATGGGGAACGGGCCGATTCCTTCAACCTGGAGACCCCGGGCCCCGGACGGCAACACCTCGGTGGCATACGGTGGCACCGCCGTCCATCCCAAGTCATCGGGCACGCTCTCTGCAGTCTTTGGAGTGTGGTCTCTCTCGCACATTGACTGACTCCAAGGCCTCGGTCCTCTCTTGACGTCACGCCCCTAGCCCACTGAGACTGGACGCCCCCAACTCTGCCCACCCATTCAGCAGCATAAGCGTACTGCGCTTGCGAGCGGCTCTCAATCCTCGTCTCGTCTGTCGATCGACGAAACATTCATATAATGCTGCCCGCCATGTCCTCCTCACACACACCTCTTTCTGTCTCGGACGAACACCATCATTGGCACATCTCTCCATCAACTTCACCAAACATCACTACCAACAACAATACACAAATCGTCGCCCAACATGGGGTTCTCGACGATTGAGTTCGACAAATACAATCCTGCCTCTGAGAAGGCAAGCGATGCCCGTCAGGACCTCGCCCACCTCGACTACTCCCCGCTGAAGCGCATCTCGGGGCGGTCATGGGCCATGGGTATCCTCATCTCCATGGGTGGCATGGTCTTCGGCTATGACACGGGTCAGATCTCCGGATTTCTGGAGATGCCCGACTTCCTCGACCGCTTCGGCGAGCACAAGGCCGACGGCTCCATTAAGTTCAGCAACGTCCGCTCCGGTCTGATCGTCGGTCTCCTCTCCATCGGCACCCTGATCGGTGCCTTATGCGCTGCCCCCATCGCCGACAAGTTTGGTCGCCGGTACTCCATCTCCTTCTGGTGCCTCATCACTTCCATCGGTTTCGTCATCCAAATTGCCGCTGAAAGAGCATGGGAGCAAATCATGGTTGGCCGCTTGGTCGCTGGTTTCGGTGTCGGTGCTCTCAGTCTCATTGTTCCCATGTTCCAGGCCGAGACCGCGCCGCCATGGATTCGCGGTGCCCTCGTTTGCGCCTACCAGCTTTTCATCACCCTCGGCATTTTCCTCGCCGCATGCTTGTAACTGCTCATCCACCGTAGTATTCTTAATAGAGACAACTAACAGAGATATAGCAACTACGGAACTGTCACGCATCTCGAAACTAGTTCAGGCTCCTGGCGCATTGTCATTGGTCTTGGTTGGCTCTGGACCATCATCCTCGGCGTTGGCATTCTTGCCTTCCCCGAAACTCCCCGTTATGACTACCGCATGGGCAACATTGAGCGTGCCAAGAACACCCTTTGCCGAGTTTACGGCGCTCCAGAGAACCACTACAGCATCCACATCCAACTCGAGGAGATTGAGAGCAAGCTTCGAGCCGAATCGCAGATCAAGGGCAATGCTGTCCAGGAGTTCTCTGGCATGTTCAAAGCTCCAAAGATGGCTCAGCGTATTGCCTTGGGTTGTGGACTGCAAATGCTCCAGCAACTAACCGGTGCCAATTACTTCTTTTACTACGGTAAGCCCTCTTAGCTCACACCATTTCCAGAGTACTGGGTTCTAATTCGCCTCCAGGAACCACCATCTTCTCGTCTGTCAACATCAACTCGTTCATCACGCAGATTATTCTGAACGCCATCAACTTTGGAACCACCTTCATTGGTCTCTACATTGTTGAACACTACGGTAGACGCAAGTCTCTGATGGTCGGCTCCGGCTGGATGTTTATCTGCTTCTTGATCTTTGCCTCCGTCGGTCACTTCAGCTTGGATCGCGAGAACCCTCAAAACACTGTCGGCCCCGGCATCGTGCTCATCGTTTTCGCTTCCCTCTTCATTTTGGGCTTTGCTACCACCTGGGGACCTATGGTAAGTCGTCAAGCGTCCGCACCATTCTCTCCTCAATCGTGTACTAACTTCTTCAAGATCTGGACCATCCAAGCCGAACTCTTCCCCTCGAGATACCGCGCCAAGGCCATGTCGCTCTCCACCGCCAGCAACTGGATCTGGAACTTCTTCATCGGCTTCTTCTCTCCCTTCATCACTGGCGCCATTGACTTCCGATATGGTTACGTCTTTGCCGGATGCAACCTCGTTGCTGGCTTCGTTGTCTACTTCTTCGTTATCGAGGGTCAGGGACGCACTTTGGAGGAAATTGACACCATGTACTTGGAGGGCGTCAAGCCGTGGAAGAGCACCCAATGGGTACCTCCCTCTGCTGAGGAGATGCACCGCATCCGCCAGAAGGCTGGAACAGACCTTGATGCCAGCGTCAGCGACGGTGGCGTGCAGAGTGAGAAGGGAGAAGGCCTGCAGCCCAAGAGCGCCGTCGATGGGACCTCTCACCAGGAGAGAGTCTAATGCGAGGAGGACTATGATTCCCAACCAGGTCGATCACGATACGACTATAACACGGTTGGCGAAGATGAAGGGCCGGTGGATCTAATCTTTACATCTAATGAATTTGCATGGCACGGCGTTGAGGCATTGGAAGCGGAGTATACCGCTCACATTATGACGTTTACTGCAATATACCAAAATCAATTCAATACAACCAAGAATATCTTAATTGCATGTTCCATCCTCTAACGTGACCTTCATAGGTTAAAGACAACGCCTCGTCGCCAAGCATTCCGACCGTTCACCACTCGCTCTAGCTCATACATACACACGGCAAATAGAATCCGCTTCCAACGTCACCATGCTGCAAACTTTCGAATCCTTCCGGACTGGCATCCTCCCCCGCGACAAATCCCACCTGCGGGGTCCGATGCACAGCCAACCACTGCTCGTCATTGGAGCCAACACACCAAACGACACACCACACACACCTATCGAGGTTCGACCGAACGGCGCTTTATCATTGATCGACCATAGAACATGCATGTACGCTCTGGAGATGAATCATGGATATTTCATAAACTACTCCAATTCATCATCGCAATCCGATTCTCCTCGTACTGCGTACACAGCGTCTGGGACATCTCGGTGAGACTTCGACGTCAATTGGATCTCGCAGCGGGAGAATCTCGATCGCTTCTACCCTCACTGAATCTCACTCACCACTTTCGCAAAACCTACCTGGAGGTACGCAAGGCACGCCTGACCACAACGAGCGACGCGTCGCAACATCTACTTTGACATTCGCAACTGCCTATTCGCAAGGAAAGCAAGACTTTAGCGCCCGGGCAGGGGACCGACGATCCGCGGGTTAAGAAACGCACACCGCTTTCCCGTCCCTCGATACCTCTCATCGACACGGTCAATCACAGCCACGTATGAAAGTTTTCACATCGCAGCAATCAGCAGGCTCACGTCTACCGGACCGACTCATCTGACTCGAATCAATAAACCCGCGTAAGGCAAGGGGAAGTACTATCATTGCGGAATGTGGAAGAGAAAGGGAAAGAGCAAACCGGCTCCTCCGCCGCCTCCGGAAGACGGCCTAGGCTCCACACCCGTTTCCGCATCCGAAGTCACCGCAAGCCCGGGATCCGCTTTACCTGCCGCCTCGGCCCCTCCCTTGTCCCACGGTACCGATCCCTCCGACCCGGACCCCTCCGCCCCAGCCGGCATCGCCGCGGGCCTCAACCTCGTCCTCCCACCTGAAACCCCGCCTCCATCATCCTTCCCGACCCAAGACGCATGTCTAGCGCACCTTCGCCTCTTAACAGCCTTCAACCGCCTCAAGACGGAAACGGGGTACCGTGATGGTCTGTGGGATATTTGGGATGCGCGGGCCGATACCACCACTCCCATGAAGCACAGAGAAACACCCAATGTTGATGGCAGCGGCAAGAACAGCGACAATCACAATCACAAGACCGGCAAGAAAGCACCAATAGGTCCGGACACCGAGGTCGGACATGACCTCGAACTAGACATCTTAATCAGACTCCGCGAAAAGAGGTGGGCAATCTACCTCGGCCGAGCGGTAGACCGCTACGCAGCATGGTGGCGGAGTTTCGGCCCAGACATGCTCCTCGAGAGCGACATGCTCGTCATCGGGTCCGAACCTAGTCAGTCGTCATCCTCGTCTAATGGAGGAGATCTAGCCGAGCGTCAAGGCAAGGGCCAATACGAAGCCGAGCCTGAGACTGGGAAAAGTAGACGGCATCGGAGCCGGGCCCGGTATGAAGGGTTCCCCGACTCGAAGCCGATGGTCTGGCGCGAGGAGATGTTGCCGCCTCTAGATGTGCTGCTCGTATGGCACGCACATATGCTCAACCCGAGACTCTACCTCGAGGTCTATAGACCCCTTGTCGCTATCGCAATCATCGTCCAAATACTGACACTCTCAAAGGACTGCCTCCGCTACGGTCACAGCTCCCTCTGGGCAGCAGGAATCCCTTGGTCCATCATCAACGCCGCCATCACCAGTGCAAGTTTTGAATACGTCGTCTCGGACGTGTGTAAAGCACATTGGGAAGCGAACACGAACCTCGCCTGGTACAACGAAGACGATCCTGACGCCAAAGATGTTCCATGCCCGGCGTGTTCTACCCTGTTCTCCGTTCCATGGACGACATGTGGACTGTCGCGAGATTATTCGGGTGCAAAGTGAGTTCATCCCTCTCAACAATCCACTCCAGACTTGTCTACCTTGTAGCATTAGCATCCCGCTATCATGGGTTCCAGAGATCTGACAATACTTCCAAAGACAACTCGACATCGTAGGCCAAGGCCTCGCCGACGGTCGCTTAGCGCACGCATGCCCCTCGTGCGGACTCCTGATGACCCACGAATCTCTCCGGGCAGCAAAATTTCGCGACGACATTCAGGCTTCGATACGATCCAACCACGCCATGCCGGGAACAATCCTCGACCTCGGCACAGGTCTGCCGAAACCTTTACAATACGGCTCAGACGATACATCAGGCGAATGCCCAGACCGGCTCTTCCCCACCCGCCTGGCCCGTCGTGGGCTCTCGAGACACATCCTCGAGATGTTCAAGCCGGGAAGCAAAACTGCTCCAAGCATGATGGCCGTGCGAGATATCATGGAAGAGAGCTTCACCGGCAAATTTGCAGACCCCAAGAACTTACGTGAGGTGATGAGCCGGCCGGGCCAAGAAAATGTGACGGCCTTCCGTCTAAGTCTAGACGCTAAACGGCAGACGAGAAAGATGATGTCGCGTTACTGGGAGAACTCGTCGCCTTTCTCCATTGACCTCCCAGGATGTGTGATGCGCCAAGCAACCTTTACTGAAAAGATGTGCAAGGTGAGGGTTTCCTCTCTTCACATACTGTGCTGGCCAGGTGACTGATCTTGGCAGCTCAACTGGTTGCACTTTCCTACAGCGCGAGACATCATGACAGGACTTTTAGAAAAGTACGACCGATTCGTCGAGATCATCGCTATTGCCTCGTCTACAGAGGACAAAGTTGCCGTCCCGACACTCGACGTCGACCTCGCGTGGCACACGCACCAGCTCTCTCCTCAGTCCTATTTCGTCTTCACACTCGCAAAGACGGGGGCCTTTGTAGATCACAATGACAAAGTTGACGAGGATCGACTAAGCACAGCTTTTGAGTGGACAAGTAAGACGTACCAGGAAAAGTACGGCGAGATCTACTCGCAGTGCAAATGCTGGTACTGCGAAAGTGAGTGTCCCTATCAGTACCACCACCCCAGAGCACTGTCATCTTGATCTCTCCAGCCCGAGCCGGATGTCGTGATATCGCATGGTCTCGCTGCTCGGCGCACTCCGATGGTGATAGCTACAATGAAATTGGTCGTGATTACTGACTGCAGATGTGTTATCTATAGCCGTCAGGGTGATGGCCTTGCCCACGACCAAGATGTTCGGAATAGGCAAGGAGGAAAAGCGTAAGGCATCTTGCAACCACTACACTTCCCCGCGCCCCCATGTGTGCCTGTGTTACTTTTAGAATCAGCCACACTTACTTACCAACCCCCTGCTGAGCGTACATGTACCTTAGTTCTCGAAACATGGCATGCAGCCTCCAAGGCCAACAATGTGCCCATGCCGCCAGCCGCCGAGTCTGCGCATGTCTCGTCGCATCCGGCGGTGCACACCAACGAGACGACAGCGCAGCGGACAGCGACACGTCCGTTGCGTTCTGAGTTCAGGAATAGACTGGAAGAAACGCATTCCAAGGCGCGCAAGAGGGCAAGCGAGACTTTCAAGGTGGACTCTGGCAAGCGCATGGGACCTCGCGGTGAAGATAAGATGTCATTCTGGGGGAAAGATATCGCCGTGGACGGACCTTGGGCATCGGTCTTGGCCGCCGTGACGACGAGCGCCATGTATCCCGCTGGGCCAGGCCTCGCGAACATGGGCCCCGGAGCTGTAGGCAGCTGCGCAACGGGAACGTGTGGAGGAGCTACTGGTTGCGGCTCCGAGCTGCTGGGCATGTGCTCGGCAGGGTGTGTCGGGGTGAGTGGTCCTTCTTCGTTTGGTCAAGCTTATTACGTTCCGCGGGATATCTCCCTCCCCTGCAATCTTCTTATCGCTGCCGAGGCTTGAAGTTGCCCAGAATCTTGACTGATATCCGAGTGGCGGCGACAGAGTGCCTGGTTTGGCGGAAAGGCCGGATGTACAGGTATGGGCGAAGACGGATTTGACTTCTGAGAGACAATCAAACAGTCTGGTTGTCGATAAGACACAGAGGCTAGGCGGTGGATAGTAGTCGGCCGAGATATTCTCCATGATAATGAGTGGCGTGTGTGTGAAGTTGCAACTCGGGGCCGCTTAAGCTTATTCAGATGCAAGGTCCGATCGGAGGTCGGGATGTGGGCTCTTCTGCGTCTTGCCATCCTGGGGAGGTCCGCCTCGCACGAGTAATGGGATTTTGAGAACGCCAGCCTATGGGGACGGGCAACGCTACTTCGAGGTATGGCGGGAAACTATGTTTAATGGCCAAGCAGCGAATCCGAGCCCATGTTGTACACCGCTTTGGGATGACGATCGCTATCAGCGCTTGCGCAGGCCTGCTTGGCTGTCGTAAATGTAATCCAACCAGCGGTCGAGATGGCTTCTCCAGGTTTGCGGCGTTGCGGTGTCGAGTGGTGATCCGGATCTACCCTCCCGTCGACCTGCCTCTATTCGTCTGGCGTGAGACATTAGGCTTCGTTGTTTGTGTGCTGCACGTCTGTGAGCCTGCAGCCCGTGGGTTGCCTCGTTTCGATTCTCGAGACCCTGAGAGGTTGCTATCACGAGCGTCACCTCCAAGGGCAGGCTTCCTCATGAAGTCTTGACCACGCATCATCGGCAGCTGGCCCCCAATCAGGAAGGTTCGTGAAAGACCCCGTGCGCTATTGTTGAAGGAGCCGGGACATGGAGGGGTTGACGTGCAGCGGACAGGACCAAGATGGAAGACAGATTGACAGAACGACCAGGATTTCGCAGCCAAGCCATGTCGCTTTTCGCAGGTGATTGACAGGGACCGATAAGATAACGTGCCGGTGCCGGGAGACGTGAGTGGCTGGTCCTCGACTCTCGTGAGCTTGGCGTTAAGGTTGGGAAACTTGGGACGGACCAGGCTTAAGGTTGACGAGAGAGCGGGAGCCGTAGCGCGCCGTGCATCGGCACTCAGAGACTGGGAAGTTGACCAAAGGTTTAGATTACCCCGCCAATAACACGAGAGATAAAGGCACACGGAGCTGTCAGCTCGCCCACAGAACCCTGTGGTCCCCCCTGCGAAAGCCCTATGAGACGGTCGCTTTGGGTCGTACTGTGGCCGGACAGAGTGCCCCTTTTCAGAACAGCGCGCCGTTTCATCGACTCAATGCCGCATCGTCGGCGGGTTCCTGGAGGGTCAGGCTGGAGATTAAGACATCAGGTAGACAATCGTGGGGTCGGACGGCGTGGTGACTGGCTCGACGGAGCTGCAAACGACATGAAGGTGGGGTTCGACGTTGTACAAGCGAGGGAAACGCAGACTTGGGAACTCTCGCGACCCGCCGAGGAGGGAGTCCTTTTGACGACAAACGAGATAAACCGCAAGGACGTCGACGGAGGATATAAATCACGGCAGATCTCCCGCTCTCAGTTTGTTGTTTCTGCTTCATCGTCAGTGCCAAGCCACCCGTTCACCACATCACTCCAGCCTCCATCCCAGTCTTGTCTTCTCACCCGGTCTCATCTATCCGCCCTTTCGCCACCGTCACCATGAAGGTCACTGCTGCTTTGTTCATGATCGCCGGCGCGGCCGTCGCCTCTCCCGTCCCGGCCCCGAACCCCGTCGCCGAGCCTCTGCCGATGCCCACTCCCGTAAGTCCGAGTTCTTCGTGGCTGGCCGTTGCCGAAGCCGTTTCTGACATGTTGCATACAGCCTGGCATCCCCACTGCCGCTTCGGCCAAGACCCAGCTCGCTGCTCTGACCGTTGCCGCCTGGACCAACACCGGCACCTACGACCGTGACCTGTTCCCCACCTGGGACACCATCTCCGGCACCTGCAACACCCGCGAGACTGTGCTTCAGCGTGATGGCACCAACGTTGTTGTCAACTCTGCCTGCTCCGCGACCAGCGGTACCTGGAAGAGCCCTTACGACGGTGCCACCTGGACCGCCGCTAGCGATGTTGACATTGACCACATGGTCCCCTTGAAGAACGCTTGGATCGTAAGTCTGCTCTGTGCGCAATACTGGAATTAAAGGTGCATGCTAACATGGGACGACAGTCTGGTGCCGCATCATGGACCACTGCCAAGCGTGAGTCGTTTGCCAACGATCTCACCCGCCCCCAGCTGTGGGCTGTCACGGATGAGGTCAACCAGTCCAAGAGCGACAAGAGCCCCGACTCCTGGAAGCCCCCTCTGACCAGCTTCTACTGCACCTACGCCCGCTCCTGGGTCGCGGTCAAGAGCTACTGGGCCCTCACCGTCACCTCTGCCGAGAAGACCGCCCTCACCTCCATGCTCAACACCTGCTAAGCGGAGCAAGGTTCGGATGATGTTGACGAGAGCGATTGGATTTCTTTAGCGTGTCGTGTCCAAGTGTTTCTGTTTCGGATCTGATGATCGTCAGCAACTAGGACACGATTGGGTGTTTTGTCTATACAATTTTCACTTCTCACCATTCCAAATTTTCTTCCCAAGGGGACCGCATTGATTCGAGACCGTCGGGAGGGCATGGACACACAAAGACGCAGAGGATGTGCTGGTGGATGGTCGAGGGACAGGTTCGCTTGGCGCCAATTACGAGACGACTTATGATGGATTGACCAGATTGATGCAAGGGGCGACGGGACAAGTCCATTGTTGCAGAATGTGTTTTCTCAGGCCGTGCAAAGGGGGACAAAAGATGCAGGCTGCTCTATGTTAGTTGGTCTTTAGTCCCGCTAGGACGGAACATCCAAAAGAAATGCAAAAAGCAGATTAAACACAATGAACAAGGATGAGCCGGAGAAGCCAAGTGAATCACCTTTGGGGACTTTGATGCAATCGGTCGTTGTTCTACTGACTTGACGCCTGTAGCATATGCGCGAGGCAATTTTGATGTTGCAACTCGAACGGACGCATCCTATTCCCAAGATACGAGACGACCAAACATCTTGGCGCCTCGGCTGGCGTAGATGGCCACAATCCCCTGAGATCCAGGGCTGTGTGGCTGCTTGCAAATGTGGCTACTCGACTGGAAATTGAAGTGACCTCGCTTGCTTGCGCTCAAGATTGCCGAGAGGGTCTGTGTGCGTGGGTAAAGATCATCTTCAGACTTCCATGTCGGTTTAAGCGTAAGACATTGTTGACGGGGGAAAGATATTGAGCGAGGGCTGGGAATGGGACATTGTGGATGTTGTAGGGGTGATGGACGTCTGCAGTCGAGTGGCGACGGCGTCATGGGCGCACCACTGGCAGATCGAAGCTGTCAGGAGATGAACCGGTGATGTGGTTTGCGAGGAATGAAGAGGTTGGGAGATTTTAGAGTTGTGCTGGAGAGGAAACAACATGACGAGGGTGATTTGGGACGGAAACGGCGCCCATCTGATGATTCAAACACGAGATGGGCAGGAACCCAGCTGGATGCAGAGGGTTTGGCATGGCAGCAACGGCGCGACCGGACACGAGCTGAACGGCAAGAACGCGGTACGTACTCCGTGTCCGTCTCGACTCTGGGCAGGTTCACTGACTGAAGGGAGGTGCAAAGATGGGAAAGAGGGAGGAAGCTGAGGTAATCGATGTTAAAGTCCCCGCTTGCGGCAGCCACTGAGGGTCCCTCATGGAAGCCAAACCAGCTGGCTGGGGAGAAGACGAGGGTGCACACCACTGCATGTATCTCTCCACGCATCTTTCGCAGTCAAGGTACTTGGACCCTGCATTAGCTCATCACTAGGAAGGTCCCCAGCCTCCCATCTGTTGCACTCTTTCCCGCTAAATGACCAATAGGTGAGGAAGGCGGTGCGCCTGGCAAGCGCGGATTCGTTCAAACGAAAAGGAAGGCGCCCAGAAATGGAAGCAGACTAAGCAGCGATTCTTCGTGTCATCCCACGCTTACTGGCCCTAATGCAGCAGGAAAGAAACACAGCCTCTCTCGTCTCTGTCTTGGTTGTAAACCTGGAAGTACCTGACTGTAACTCTATGGCCCAGTGGTCTTACTTCTCCCAATGACTGAGGTGAGGTGGGAAATGTCTCTCTCCTCGGTGCCCGGCTTCACCGTTGCCCGCCTGCTTTCATCTCTGCTCGTGTTCATCCTCACCCACTTCCACTTACACTTACACCCCACATCAGGGTACTTTGTACATTCGTGATTCACTTTCTTCACTTTCGGTCGCCTAGAATCCGCCAGCCTCCCGTTTACTGTTTCCCAAGCGGCGGCTTCGACCTAAACTTAGAGACACAGCGTCCGGTGCCGTCCTTTCACCATTTTCTGCTTCCTTGGCCTCCCACTTGCCCAGTGCGCTAGTTTCTTTCTTCCATCCCTCTAGCCTTTCCCTAATTTCTATATTTGGGACATCTTCCTCGGATCACCGTCCGTGGTTGTTTACTCGTCTTGTGTTACCTCAACCTTACCTTACTTCTCAACGTCGATATCTACCCTTGCTCCCGCTCTTTTTCTGCAGCAAGTTTGACTTCAACGACAATCACTCACAGCCTCACCCTCGCCATCGCCCTCCTCCTCCTTCTCACATCTCTTCCATAATCGCAACTCAAGATGATGCGCTACGCAGCTCTGACCCTGGCCGCTGCTGGCCTGGCTTCTGCCCAGACCTTTTCCGCTTGCAACCCCGTCAAGGGCGACAGTATGTTCCCTTCACTCACTTACACCAAATCGTGAATGACGATGCTAACATAACCTTCAGCATGCCCTGCCAACACCGCTTTTGGCGGCGAAGCCAGCTATGACTTCCGCACCTCCAAGAACATGAATGACCTCGAGTCCTTCTTCATCGTCGACGGCGGCATCAAGTACAACCCCAAAGTCCTGTCATTCTCCGCCGACACGGGCTGCGAGATGACCATCTTCGAGGAGAGCAACGCCCCGACCCTCACCTCAAAGAACTACCTCTTCTTCGGCAAGGTCGAGGTCGAACTGCAGGCCGCTCCCGGTCGCGGCATTGTCACTAGCATTGTCCTGCAGTCTGACGCCCTGGACGAGATCGATTGGGAGTTTGTTGGCGCCGACCAGACCCACGTCCAGACCAACTTCTACGCCCTCGGCGTCAACGACTACACCCGCGCTCGCTACTACGAGGTCCCCTTCAACCCAATGACCAGCTTCCACACCTACACCATTGAGTGGACCAAGGAGTCCATCGTCTTCTCCATTGACGGAAAGGTCTACCGCACCGCCACCCCCGCCGAGGGCAACTACCCGCAAACTCCTATGCAGCTGAAGCTCGGAACCTGGGTGGGTGGAAAGGGCACTGCTCAGGGCACCATCGACTGGGCTGGTGGTCTCGCCCAATGGGATCAGGCTCCCTTTGCCGGTCACTACCGCTCCCTCAAGGTCTGGGACTACGCTGGTGGTGACAAGGCTGGTGCCAAGCAGTACGAGTATTCCAAGGGCTCCGACGGCAAGTGGCAGAGCATCCAGATCATCGGCGCCGGCGAGAAGAGCGGCAGCCCTGGCAGTGTCGGCAATGTCGCCAGCCCCAAGCCGGAAAAGTCCAGCGACAAGGACGACAAGAACAAGGCCCAGCAGTCCGATGCCCCGACACAGAGTGCTAAGAACACCACCACCGTCGTCCAGACTCCCACCACCAGCGCCCCGGTCGCGTCCTTGACTGTCGCCGCCAACACCACGACCACTCATGCTAACGGCACGTCATCGACCCTGACGAGACTGGTCTCTACCTCTGGATCTCCCACCGGATCTGTCAACGCCCAGACAACTCTTCCCTCCACAACTAGCGGCACTCCCGCTCGAACAAGCGCACCGGCGCCCGCTGCTGCGTCCACTCTGAAGAGCAGCTTCTTCGTTGCTGGTATCGCGGCCTTGTTCGCTGCCATGATGCTGTAATCGGATCGCAATCACGATCGGTCAGCTTTGCCTGCGTCTTCCATCTGTGCATATGTTTCGGAAGGCGGGCGTGTATGTATGTAATTATGTATAATGAAAAGGGACAGGGGCGTATTGGCATCGGAAGCCAGGCTTGCTTATAGATTGCTCTACTAATAATACCACTTTGACTACACTCTTTCTCGTTCAGTTTCTATACTCCGTGCTGATGTATGGAGAAAAAACCTTGGCGGACGTCGGCTACTTACATGTTTCTATGTCGGACAACGTGGCACAGCTGCCCGCCACTTACACGACCTTTTTCACCTATGCCCAAGGTCGGACAGCATCAAGCAAAATCTCTTGTGAACTAACGGGAATCACGTGTACATACTCTAAAGCTGTCACGATAACTACTCCACGTATCTTGGAACCCGGAGAATCAAATTCGGGCCATGGGGGAAGCTTATACCTACACGTCTCGGGCTTCGAACCCCTTTGGACTCGTTTATATGTCTAGGACTCTTACGTTCAACCCTTTGGAGACGGGATGGTAGAGATGGAGATCGATGGGGTCTTCTTATACCTTGCCAGTTCAAACCTAGATAGACGCTCGGCTAGAGCACCTTGCCGGAACCAAAAGTGGGTTGTGTGAGGCTATCGCGGAGTGGGTCGTGGTAGGCGAGTACCCAACCCGGATGGGAGGTTTACCAAAGCATCTAGTCCTTTCGATAACAAGGTACTTGGAATGGGAGGTTTCAATCCATGAATGTGCCGTGTTTAAGCCGTTAAAGTTCTAGGACTCTTTTGGATCATGGCCGGCCGACGTATGGATGGCTGGGCTGGGCTAAGCTTCGTCTTGGGAAACTTTGCAAACCTGGCTTTGCTGTATGATAGATGTGGGTTCACGATCCTGCGGGAGGAAACGGGTTTGGAAGAACCGTTCAGGTTGTTTGGACCGCTCCCTAAACCCACTCTTTTTTTTTGTGAAAAAGATTCAAAGTGTTTATGTACCTTGGTTAAGCAGTTGCTCTGGATTTATTTTCACCTTTGGCGATAGTGGAAAGATTTGCTACTTGAACATATCGTCAACCCAGTTGGATCGATAGCAAGTTAGATATCACAGCGATTATTCCTCCTTCCTCATCTCGTTCCCTTGCCTTGATCTTTCTTATTTATCGGCGAATACCACAAGAATCACCTGTTTCTTCCAAGACAATGGAGAACCGCACTACACGTCCCGCCGCCGAGGGCGAAATCACATATCCACAGCCACGACCATATGTCGCCGGCGGCTGGGAATACCAGCAACCAGGCCATCACGAGGATGGCCAATATGAGGAAGACACACCCGAGGAGGAAGATGTCGTCCTCGTAGCTCGATCCCCACCGCCAGTCCATATCAACGAGGCAACAGGTCCCAGGACCTTCTTCTTTCCAGAAGCGACATCAGCCTCGCACCACAGACACGAGAACGCCCTCGCCAGCGACGGAATCCATCTCCCCCGCCTCCGTCCCGGCCCAGCCCCTGTCTTGGAATGGGAATCCCCCCACTCGCCAGAGCGAGCTCCGTTGCGAGCCCGTGATCTCCTCCACCTAGTCGACTACAACTTTGGCCCTCCCTGGGCACGCCGCCGGATCGACGAGCACACCCCGTTCGCGCACGACGTCAACCTGCGGTATGCGCAAGCTCGGGAATACATTCGCGAGCAAGAGGCTCGATGCCCCTTAATACCATTGCCCAAACGTAGTGCCGACGACGCTATCCCCAACCTCGTCCAGGACCAGCACCGCCACGGCGGGAAGGCATCTTTGCGGCCGGGGCTGGCGTATCACGGTCCTCTCGTTCCGGCGGGGGAGCAGGACTATGGAGGGTTGCCGGCTCCTCGGCCTGTGCTTCAGCCTCGTTTGAACTTAGATAACCTTGCGATTCGGCCTGCGATGCAGTCCTATCGCTTGCCACCCGTTTCTGAGCGTCAACCTGGAGAGACTGGGGAGCTACAGGAGGTTCAAGAGCAATTCCAGCAGACTTATACCGGGCTCTTGAACACTCCCATCTGACCCGCTTGAAGGTCATGTTGGGGTTATAACGGCCTCTCTCTTGATCGAACTTGCAACCGATGGGAGCGCTTCTGCTTCGGATTATTAGCCGCATGTTTGTTGGGCTAAGTCGGAGGATTTGCTGCATGGAAACGGAGTAATGTGGATCCAGGCTATTCGCGAGTCTTTTGGACATTCATTCCTGAGCTATGTTATCTAGACGAGATCAGCCAGCTTCTGAGGCGGTCGACTTTCCAAGTACTATATATATACAAATCAGTACTTCACAGTGACTGCTCGATTTCCTGCGTTGTGCTCGCCATGTAGTGACAACCATCCTCATCTACTCAGCAGACCCTTCAACTTCTCTAGCGCATCCCTCTTCACCTCGTCCACAGGCGGCTGCACATCAACGCCAACGATGTCCGGCTCGTCCGCCTGCGGCGGGTCCAAGCTCTGGAATTGGCTGTGCACCAGGTTGGATCCAGCAAAATGGCCGTGCCTGTTCTTGACACGCTCGAAGAGCACCTCTTCGGGCGCGTGCAGTGTGACGAAATGGACAAATATGTCCTTCTCCGGGTGCGATGCACCGCGTAGGACGTCACGATAGGTGCGCTTGAGAGCGGAACAGGTGACGATGACACCCTGGTGGTCCCGCTCCAGTTCCTTGAGGGCCTCGTCACGCAGAGCGTCGAGCCAGCCCCAGCGATCGTCGTCGGTGAGAGCTTCACCTCTGTGCATCTTTTCTACGTTCTCCTTTGGGTGGTACTGTTGGCCAGGCCGGAAATATGTGTCAGTGTCAGTGCGGTTATTGGCAGACATAGAGTTGGCGGTTCATCTGGGGGAGGATGGAGGGAGAAGGGGCACAGACGTCGTCGCCTTCGATAAAGGTCATGCGTAGCGAATCTGTCAGATACTTTGCTATCGTCGTCTTGCCAGTGCCCGTAGGCCCCGTCAGAAAGACGATGTGCTGTTTCGGTCGCGACATGTTTTAACGTGGGACTGATTCAATGCCGCTAAGATTGGAATGTCTGGGAGACTCGGCCGGCGACCGACGACGTAAACTGGAGCTTGGAGCAATGGTTTTCAATGCTGAAAACAGGGCTGACTCCAAGGTGCTCCTTGCTTTGAGCAAGACACAAGCTGAGGCAAGGTGAGATGTGTAAAGCGGATGGTAGAAGCGTTAGACGTCGATGCTGAAGCCAATGCGGCTACAAGTGGATGTCTCAATGGGGTAAACGTCGGGGAAAGAGAGTTCGCGACAGGAAGCAAGCTGTTCTCGTCCAATTGAAGCAGGGAAGGTGAGAATGTAAGGTTCCTTCCTTTCCGAATGGTCTGATATGGGTGCTTTCCTTTTTGTGAATAAGCTCTGGTCCACACTTTTCCTGCGCTTAGTGGTGGTACAAAAGACAATGGAGTGGATGGCGTTCGGATGATGTCATGCGAAATCTAATTACCTATCGAGGCAAGTACGAAGCATCTAAGTAAGGTCGGGTAGGAAGGCACAGGATAAGTGCAGAGCAATTGCCTTACCTAAGCTAAGCCAGGGAGAAGGAGCAGGACGAGGTAACTACCAAAAGACTGGGACGAAGCCTTCCTCTCCTCTTCTCCCATCTACAGGACCAGCCGAACAAGTATCAAACATTCCAGAACGACATGACTACCCACGACGAGACAGAAACGGCCACAGAACCAACACTTGGACGGCCGTTGACGAAGCTTGCCAATGTCGAAGTCAAGAAGAAGAGCCAATCACTCTTTACGACCGCCCCGTTTCGGTGCGATGCTCCTAGCCGTGGGTAGCGGCACGGGTAACGGCATGGAAGATCCCATCAATCATCAGACTTTTGTGACGAGACTTTGGATACCTTGCGTCAAAGTCGATCCAATCCAAGACACCCAATCAACAATCACCTTATCTCGGGGCTCATCCGTCTCTTTCGCGACTTTGAGCCGCACAATGGATGGCTTCTTGGAGAAGCGACACAGCGACGTCGACGCAGGGCTCGCGAAGCGCCAGCCACCGCCAGCCGCCACCAGACGGCACTGACTACAAGCAAATCGTAGCCTGTACATACGAGACAGCAGCGAGAAATTCCCAGCAACAGGTCTATTAGTCTAGTTGGTTAGGACGTCGGATTCTGACTTTCAGAACCTTCCGTAGGCCCAGGTTCGAATCCTGGATGGACCTCATCTCTTTTGCCGATCCTCAGAAATATCCCAATCGACGATAGAATCCTCTTTTTACATCATATGCTTCCAATCACCTCACGCTGGATTCCATCCGAGCGGGACAGTCTGCTTCGTTGACTCGGTTCAAACAATTCGCTTGCGCCTGCGGTCCGAGACGCAAATGACGGCTTTTCGGCCTGCATGCCGCGGGATCATGACAAGCGACCACGCACTGACGGGTTCTCGACTTTTGAAACGAGCACTTCATCCCCGAACATGAGAGGAACATCATTCTCTCTCTCGTTCTTTCTCTCTCTCCCTCTCTTATTCGCAACTCAAGAGCTGACATTGGTCAATTGAACCATGGGCGATACTTCGTCTATTGAGGGTCTGCTTATCGAGGGTCCGTCTATCCGTATCGCACGTCACCAGCGCCCTCACGGAACCAGTCGTCTGCCGCCAGCGCCTCCTCTGGGCTTGCATAGCTGATGATTGTGCTCTTGGTCGTCGTGTAGGCCTGGTATGCATCGATACCGTTCTCACTGCCAACACCGCTCGCGCTCGTTGCGCCACCCCACGGACTGCTGGGGTCGTTTCGATGGTGCGTATTCACCCACACGATGCCTGCGTCGATTTCTTCAGACACTCGAAACGCTTGCGCCACGTCCCGCGTCCAGATGCCCGCTCCTAACCCGAATTCACTGTCATTGGCGAGTGCGATGGCCTCTGATTCCGTCTTGAACGGCGCCACCACAACCACCGGCCCAAACGCTTCCTCCCGCCAGATGCGTGACTTGAGGATGTCGCCCTCGGCACGAGACACCAGCACTGTCGGTTCAAAGTAGTATCCCTTGGCAAAGTCGATTCCATCCAGGCTACTGGTTCCAGACATGCGACGACCGCCAGTGAAGGCTGCGCCTTCTGCAGCAAGCGCTTCATTCACAAGCGCCTCTACGTTTGACAATTGCTTCGCCGACACCAGCGGGCCCATCATGGATTCCTGATTGCTCGGTGAGCCCATCCGCCGGACAATAGATTCGGCCTTGGCTTTCAGCTTCTCCAACACTGACTGCATGATCCCTTCCTGGACAAGAATTCTGGTACTGGCGACGCATGTTTGTCCGCTAGCAATGAAGGACCCGAATGCGATGCCATTGACTGCAACATCCACATCGGCCTGTTCGAAGACGATCAGCGGCGCTTTACCTCCCAGTTCCGCCGTGTACCGCGCCAGATTGCCGCCGACAATCGAGCCAATGGCTCTCCCAGCCACAGTTCCGCCAGTGACGTCGACTTTGCGAACAAGCCGATGTTCGACGAGGGCCTTGCCAGTTGTTGCGCCGTATCCAGGAAGCACGTGGAACACTCCGTCGGGCACACCAGCTTTCTGCAAGATCTTGCCCAACAGCAGCGTCGTGAGCGGTGTCAGTTCACTCGGCTTCACCACAACGCTATTTCCCGCTGCAAGGGCGGGCGCTATCTTCTTGACAGCAATCAGGAGTGGGTGGTTAAAAGGCGTGATCTGTACCACAACACCCAGCGGCACACGGTCAATCCAGTTGTGCAGCTTGCCCACAGTTGGCAGTACCGCACGCTCTTCAGTGCGTAGTAGGGCGGCATAGTATTTAAACCACTTGACCAACGTGGGCACCTGAGCGCGCATCTCGCGTATCGCGCGTCCGGTTTGGCGCACCTCGAGAGGAATCAGCGAGGGCAGGTCTGCGGTGAGCAGCTCAGCCGTCTTGTCGAGAACATCGGCGCGAACATGACGGGGCGCTCTAGACCACGTTCCGGCCTTGAAGGTTTCGTGCGCCAGACGAATCGTTTCTTCAACGTCTTCCAGGGACGCTGCGTGACAGCTGCACGCATTCGGATGCCAGTCAGTCTCACCCGTGTGGGAAATAATTGCGGACGGGGCATCGAAGTTGAGGCTGAGGGCTGAGAACTTACTTGGCAAAGATCTCACCTGTCGCGGGGTCTTCGACCGGGATCCTGTTGGCGTGTGAGAGTCGAGCATCAGCACAAGTGTGAGTATGAGCATGAGCATGAGCATGAGCTCGAGCACCGATAAGCGCCCTGCAGCCCCTCGCGCGGGGTACTGCGAAGCTTCGAAAGGTGAAGAAAGGGAAGAAAAGGTCACGAACTGATCTGCATGACCAGGCTTCTCCTGGCCTCCCACCCAGAGGTTGTATGGCTGTCCTGTCATCTTGTCTCTTGTGCGGCTGTCACTCAGAGTTTCGTCGGTTCAAAAAGCCACCTCGCAAGGAAAGGACGCCCGCGGCGTGCCATTTACCTTTTATTGGGGTGGTAAGCAATCCATCTGCCTTTAAATCCAACTGCGGGGAACTATGCGGGATGCATCGATAGCCAACTCCGGCCGGCTCCGTGCTACTATGCTCCACTCTGGGCATCCATCCTCGGCCGCGATAACAGAGTCTTTCTATTCACCTTACTTTCCGGGGTTGGTTCACTTTGTCAACCTATTTCGTAACACGCGATGCAAACCACAGACAGGGATCCCCATCAAAATGCAAGATCACAACAAGCTTAGAGGCTAGGGCCAACAGTTTCGCTAGCTTTGGTCTCCCCCGCCAAGCAGAGAACGGATGGGGTAATAGTTGACATAGCCCAGCCTTGAAGGTGGAACGGCTGCAAGTGTTATACTTCAAGGGGGCACGATCTCGCTCGGCTTCTGTACGAAACGCACACACTCTCTCGACAAAGCCTGTTTCTCGGTGCTGCAGCATCTGCACAACGCAATGAACCATTTGACCAACGGTCTGCTCAGACCCTGCTTCAAACCTACGGGAAACCTCCGTACACATGCAGAGACGCCTTGGAAGCTGCCATGGACTTGGGCCCAAAATTTCCGGCCAAGACGGATGGCATCTCTTATGCCATATAACCCGGCGTCCTACAACTTGGCTCGCAGGCCTGTGACGCCAGTCATTTGGATTTCTGTTCAACGTTTGGATTGATTCGCCTTTGCCTGGTCTTGTCTTGGTCTGCGGCTGGAAGTCTTGTCAGAGCTCTCGGCAGCCAACAACGACACCGCTCATCTTCTTCTTTCTCTAATCATCATGGATTACATGCGTTCTTTCGTCGGCCGTAAGCCCAAGCGTACCCAGCTGCCAACGGTAGCTACGGACGACGTCTACCCGGTTCACTTCTTTGACGATACGAAGCCTTTTCGGGAGATGCTTCTGAATTGGACGCTTCGCTTCGACGATGTCCTCGACGCAGAGAAGCTCAATCTTTCTCTTTCTCGTTTGATCGAGATTGGCGACTGGAGGAAGCTTGGCGGTCGCATGAGGATGACAGTAAGTATCCCCTTGTGTGGAGAAGTCGCCTAAACAACGCTCTGGAAAGGGGTCTTGCTAACCCGGGAAACCATCAAGCCCGACAACCAACTTGAGCTTCATGTCCCGAAGCAGTTCACACCTGCTCGCCCTGCCATTCGCTTTTCCCACGATGTGCACGACTTCAGCATCAAAGAACACAATGTTGCCAAGCACCTCCCCACTACCACCTCTACACCGTCTATCCAGCCTGGTGTCATCAACTTCTACAACCTCGGCGCCCGTCAAGACGCTCCCAAGACTCTCGAAGACCTCATGTGCTCCGATGAACCTCAGATCGCTCTCCATGTCGTCTCTTTCAACGATGCAACCCTCGTCGGTCTCCTCTTTTCACACGTCATGTTTGGCGCCGCGGGCATGCAAGCCTTGGTGCAGGCCTGGTCGCAAGTCCTTGCCGGCCGTGAGGCAGAAGTCCCTGTTATACACGGTGCTCATAAGGACATTCTCGACGACGTCGGCGTGGATACTGATCCTGAAAAGGAGGCGTACTTGCTTGACCAGCGACAACTCAAGGGTTTCCGCCACTTCAGGTTCAGCTTGCGGTTCCTCTGGGATATGTATCGTCGTCCGGAAATCGAGTCCAAAGTCCTCTGCCTGCCGGCCGACTTTGTCGCCGGCCTTCGCGCTCGCGCTATGGCAGACCTGCACGCCATGGACGAGAAGGGGTTAGGAACTGAAGAGGCGCCTTTCGTCAGTGAAGGCGACGTACTCACGGCATGGTGGACCCGCCTTGTCTGCCTCGCTCGTGGATCTAACCGACCTGTTACTGTTCTCAACGCTGTGGATATCACTGGCCGTCTCAAGTCTGTCTTCGCCCCCGGAAAGCTGTACGTTCAGAACTTTGCCCTCGGAACCTGGACCCTCCTTAGCTCTGCCGAAGTCCTCAAAGCCCCTCTCGGATACGTTGCTCGCTGCTTCCGCCACGACATTCAGACTCAAACCACGCCTTCTCAGATCATGGCTTTCATGCGCCGTCTCCGTGCTGGAGGCCGGTGCAGTTCACAGCCGATCTATGGAGATCCAAACAGTATGCTCATCATTTTTACCAACTGGGCGCGTTGCAAGTTCTTTGACTGCATCGACTTTTCTCCTGCCGTGATACCGCGCATTTCTGAACCAGTCACGGTCAACGGTGATATTCAAACCAATGGACACACTACTGGCAGCGACCCAGAGAAGACCGCCGCCAATGCCACCGTCACGGAAGTGCTCAACCGCCCTCCTCCCGGAAAGATTGCTTATCACCACTCTCTGGCCAGGACGCGCAGCATCCTTTCTCGCAATGTGTTTACCATCCTCGGTAAGGATCTCCAGGGCAACTACTGGATCTCGGCCCTTGGACATCCTGAATGCTGGGACAAGCTCGAGAAGGAGGTGTCCATGTCGTCCATGGACGCGCTGAGAAACCTCAACCCCCCGTCTGCGAACTAGACACCCATCATTCACGTGCCAATTTCCATGACACGCGGGCCTTGTCTTTCCAGACGGGAATCACAGCATGAATCAGTCACTCATTGAGATTCCCAGCCCCCTCTTGTCAGAATCTATTGTTTAAGCAATTTCGCCAATCCTTAGCCCGCAGCTTCGCAGGTGGAGAGAATGAGAATGAGAGAGTAATGGGCCCAGGATAAACTGATTCCCAGGAGTTTTCGGGGCATCTGGCTAGCTAGTCACGTTTTTTTCTTATGCCGGTCACGTCTGGAATTTTGGTCTGCAATCCTTCCTTTGAGAGGGTTCTGCTTGTTCCGATGTTGCTCTTTCGATGATGATGAATGGCGAGTGGATGTAGATGTATTGTACGATATCCCAATTGTACTGCTATAAACAACTAAACACGAACTCATGAACTATTATCGTCGTCGTGTATCAATGCTCATCTTGATTCTGTCACTCACTTTTGCGTCCGCAATTCCCCCCTTGATCTGAGAGACCATGATGGCAGGCATTAACCACCAGAGATGTGACATCATAGCCTCCCGAGATAGGTACATCCCGCGTCCCTCGGCAGTCGAGGCGTTTTGACAGATTGCTACATTACCAAAGTAGTCAATTGAGGTAAAAGTTTTCCACCGTTGTCGCCTGCCACAATTGCTTAACAAGACTGTACCACACTTTGCCTGCCGGTGGGATACCATGCGATGCAAACGCAGCATGTGAGACGGATTCAAAAGGGACGCCACAGTGACCATCGCTTCAAACGTGCGCATGTCCATAGTCGAGTGCCAACTTCCCAACGCTTCCGGCTCCTCCGACGTCGGACTTTGACTTTTTTATGCAACTCTCACAACAGAAAAGATCGTTTTAGAGGTATAAATACGTCTGTGGGTTTCTCTAATGGTACTACGGGATAATGCTATCTGGACATAGTGCTGTGAAACCGTTTTCCTGGCCTTGAACGTCTCCAATGGGGGTGCTATGACATGCGAGAAACACTGAATGCGAGTCTATGCTGGTATCGAAAGGAAGGACTCTGAACAGAAAGAGAGAGAAGATAATCCAAAAACGGCGCAGACGCAAAAGGTATCGTAATGGTTATGCAGCAAAAGAAAAGAGAAAAGCCAAACGCCGTGCTTGCAATGTCGCGAATTCAACTCCATGCTTCTCGCTCCCACTGTCGTCAATGGTGCCAACTGGCTCAAACCTTGGCCTCGTCTTCATCCATGAAAAACTTGACAACCTGCTTGAGATCGAAAAGGCTGACGCCGCGGCGCGGGTAGCAGAGGTACACTTGCTCGCCCAATACTCCAAACTTGTCTCTGAACTCGGCCTTCTTGCCGAGACCCAGACTCTTGACGATGCCGGCATAGGTCTTACTGAGGAACTTAGCCCTGACACCGTGCAGGTGCTCGCCGGGAATGAATTTCTCGCTTACACCGGCACCAAAGGTGACGGGGCCGGAGATGGACGAGAGCGCGTGCTCGACAAGGACTTCGATCGTTCCATTGGGAGCGTCGGGGAAATCGAGCGCCCACTTGACCTGCCATCCGTACCGGGGCGACAGCTGCGCGAGAACGACCATGCATAGAACCTTGCCGTCCTTTTCGGCGGCGAAGTAGCGGCGATGAGCTTGGTCAATCCAGGGACGGATCTCAGTGAGATGGACTTGGGTCTTCCCCTTGCGCTTCTCCTTCCATGCCTCGATGGACTGATCGGCACGCCTCATGAAATCTTCGTCAGGCTTGAGCTCATGGACCTTGATACCTTCTTTCTTGACGCGGCGAGCGGCGCGACCGTCGGGTGTGGTGTGCTGATCAGCGTCGGCCCGCTGCTCTACGGTGCAGCTCATGGTTCGCCAGCCGATGCGGCGCCCCAGAATTTCCTGAACTTTGTTGGAAACCAACATCCACACGGGCGTCAACTTGAGCTCGTTTTTGACAAAGTCAATGAAAGCTGGAATAACCTCTTCGTATTGACCACGGTCGCAGAGAGGGTCTCCAGTAATCATCGCAAACTTGCCGCGCTTGACGTAACCGACCGCGGCACCGCTGCTGTGTCGCCAGAGTTCGAATCGTTCGTCAAGCCATGAAGTATTGCTGGCATCGCCGTAGTTGGCAATGAGGTCTTCCAGTGGTGGCATCTCCTTGCCTGCCCAAGCCTTGGTGGTGTCGGCATTCGGGTGCGGCAGAGCGAACGCCCGCTGGGGCAACGACTTTGGGTCGCGATAAAAGAGAGTGCCATATCGTACATCTCCTAGGTTCAGGAGGAGGAACACAACACGATCCAAACCGAGGCCGGCACCACCATGCGGGGGAGCGCCAAGGTCGAACGCTTCCAAATATTCGGCCATCTCGTCCTCCGAAATACCCTTGTCGGCCATATTTTTGCGCAGCTCCGTGGGATCGTTGATGCGTTGGCCTCCAGTACAAATCTCTTGCCCGCGGATGAAGATATCAAAGGAATTAGTCCAGAATGGGTCGCCTGCCTTGTGTGTGTAGAATGGGCGGGCATTGGCGGGGAACTTGTCAAGGATGTAGTAGTCGGTTCCGTACTTCTGCTTGACCAGTTCACCCAGCCGAATCTCATCCGGCGTAGACAGATCTTCTTCGGCCACATCACGTCCATCATCACGAAGCATCTGCAATCCTTCGGGGAACGGAATGATGGGGGTTTTGTCCAACCATACGAGGTCTTCGCTGGGGAACCGCTCACGAATGATCTTTAGTTCAGGCATCGCCTGCACGGCTGTGAAGATGTTCTTGAGCACTTGGTCAATGACTCTGATGAGCTCGTGATAATGCTTGTGGATCTTCATCTCGATGTCGAGTCCGGTATATTCGGTCAGATGGCGATGCGTGTTGGAGTTTTCGGCTCGGAAGACGGGACCGACCTAGATGTGTAAGTACATGTCAAAAGTGTGGCCAGGGTCGAATCACTTACTTCGTACACCTTGCCAAAGTCTGCAGAGATGGCCATCTGCTTTGCCAACTGAGGGCTCTGCGCCAAGAATGCGCGCCGTCCAAAGTAGTTCAGTTTGAACACCTCGGCGCCGCTCTCGGTGGCTGCTGGCTGTAGTTTAGGAGTTTGAATCTCGATGAAGCCGCCGTTGTCCAGTGTTTCACGAAACTTGCGTGTGATCATGGCCCTCACGCGGAAGAGTGCTTGGTTGCTGGGGTGTCTCAAGTCGAGAATGCGGTTGTTCAACCTGAAGTTCATGCTCTCTGGTGGTTGGTAGTTTGTGAAAGGAGGTGCCTTGGCTGGGTTGAGAAGATGGATGGAGTAGACGTCTACTTCAACGTGGTGGTGGTGTGCGGACTTTACTTCCTGGACGGGCTTCTTCAAAGTGCCAGATACCTGAACGATGGATTCGGGATGCAACCTCTGAACCCATTTTACCATGTTTGGCGTCGTGTGTGCCAATACGCCTTGGATCGTGTCGGTTTGATCGCGGAAGAGAATGAAGTCTAGATGTTTCGAGATGTTCCGCTGGGTGTGGATCCTCGCTCGAAAGGTCACCTTGGTGTTGATATCCAGCTTGACTGCCTCGCCGATGGTCGTGAGCTCGGTCGGGTAGTCTCCCTCGTCGCCTTCGCCGTACCGTGCTCGAGTTTCTTCATCCTCGGCACTGCGGGCTTGTTCGTATTCGATCCTACGGCGCTCTTCCAATTCGCGCTTCTCTTCCTCTTGACGAAGAAGCTTTTCGCCCCTTTGTTGACGCCTCAGCTCACCGCTTCGTGCTGGGCTCCGTCCGGTGCTCGATTTGCTAGAGTTGCTTGATTGACTAGTAGAACTCGATGCCCGAGTCTTCTCGAATAAAGTTGTTTTGGTCTGGGTCGGTGTCGGGGAGGGCGATGTCTTGGTAGAGAATGAGAACCTCTGAGCTATGCGGGAGAGCGTGCTCGACGACCGCCGTGGAACTTCGTGTTCCGTCATGGTGTTTGCTCTGTCGTCCTCGAGACGAAGTTTGGATGAGGTGGCGTCTATGTGCGAGTAGATTTACTTGCAGGTGTGAGTAACAACAAGGCTTTCTGTTTCAGTCACGGCAGACAGAGTGAGTCGAATGGCCTAGATAGCTTATACTGGAGACAGGAAAGAGATGTCAGGGTAGCTAGAGCGCGGGAGGCAAGGTATAAGACAATGCAGACGGGAAGCGGAAGGGCGGAGGTTTGCGAGGGTGTGAACGTGACCGGGACTAGCCTACGGGACCGAACGAAAAGAAGAAAGGGCAAAAAGATTGATAATGACACAACAGTCGGACTCCGTCATGGTTCATCGCGGCCGTCGAGCGTTCAAGCTCCGCATGGGCACGAGGTTGGTTCTCGTGTGTACTTGATAGACTTTGGGCGACGTGTACCCGGTACTTGGCAGAGGCAATGAGCAGGGAGGGAGGCCGAGCCACGGGAGATGCACGGAGCTGCCCTACGACTTGGCTTGGCTCCTATAAGGTGAGGTAGGGTACCGACCGACCGCGCAATAGGTGACCCAAGACGCTTACACGGCATCGTGGCAGGGCGTGGATGATGCAGACCAAGTGACATTGCGTCTGGGCTGTCAGGCAGGGGGGGAAATACCACGACAAGAAAGGCTTCACCCTGTATTCTGTACTGGGTGAGAGGCCATTGTCTCGAGTACCGCTTGGTACCTTGTGTGCTTGCCTCTGATGCTAGCCTCCACTTGGAGAACATAGGAGGTCGAGCAAGAAAGTAGACTACGAGTGAGCACGAGGGTCCACGAACAGAAAGAGAGAGAAAGAAAAGTTTGCCGAAACCATGACGCCTGACGCTGTAAGTGCAGGTGCGAGTGCAAGTGCAAGTGCAGGTAAGGTGGAGATACAAGGCCATCGATCGCATCGCATCGCATCGCATCGGACAAGAGCGGCCCAAGAGCGGCCGTGGGTCGAGACTGAGTGGAATCGTCCCGTCTCTTTCCATTCTTTAGAGCTCCAATCCCCGTCAAAGTTTCCTCTCTTTCCTCGAGGAAGCTCCGGCCGTGTGGTGTCAGCGGGACGTCATTGGCTGTGGGGCCACAGGATACCCAAGGTACGTATTGTTGGTCTTTCGAGGCATGGAAGGTGCAGAGTAAGGTACCGGATACCTCATGAATTTAAGGCATGTTGAGGAAGGGAGCTTGGGGAAAAGGAAAGAACGTCTGGTTGGAAATGGAATGGAAGCCGGCAAGGTCACGGACATCGGCTCCGAAATTCTGCGCGGCTGACACACTCCTTTCATTTCTCACCTTAAGGTAAGGTAGGAGGTACTCATGTACCTTACCCTCAAAGATATTATGGTCACTCGTGGACCGTTTGCTCCGGGGATCGTCCCAGAAGCAGGTCCGCTCCTTCCCGCCTACAAGGGTGCTTGGCTGCTTGTCGGGGTCACCATCGCAATATCGACTCATGGAAGCAGTGCCGGACCAGGATGTAAAACATTGTCTACTGCGTAAAAGATGGTCCTATTGGTCAGGCTTCTAGCACCATCTGGAAACAAGACAGCAAGACAAAAGGTGATAGGGATTCAAGTGTAGTGTACTGTGTAGAGTATGGGTGTGTTGGCTCCGGCATCCCGGAAACGACGGCCCCACACCCGCACCAAAATGGCCTAAAAACGGCCCAAAAATGACGTCAAGGTACCTCGGCACACCTCCCTGGTGAACGTCGCCGCCTCACTAGCCACCGTGGCAGTCCCTCCCGTCCTTCATTCAACCTCACCTTGACCTCACCTCACACACACTTGTGCCGCAAGCGCAGCTGCCATTTACTCGTTTTTGGTGGTGTCATTCTCATTATGACATCCCATTTCGATGCCCTCCTTCCCTGCCTTGGAATTGCACACCAAGCCTGCCGCCTCGGCTGATGTTATTGCTTTGTGATTATTTGCTTTCGTCTCAGGTTTGCATGTCTTCCAAACCCCCTAAACACGCGTACAGAGACACTACACTGCCTTGTTATTCGCCTTGTCCGACCAACATGCTTCATCACCACGACGTCAAACTCAGCCACAGCTACCTATTGATCTTTACCTGAGCCACACCGGCCACATCTACACAGTACATACCTTACTACGTATCCGTACATTGCATCAGTCACACCAAGCCAAGCCAGGCAAGGCAAGGCACCGCTGCCAAGAAAACCCTCCCTCAACGTCAACGACACCTGATGCTTTTCCTCCAACCCGCCCGGGATCCTTAGCTTCCCGCCAGCGGAACACCTTTGCCGTTCCTTTGCAGCCTCTAGCCCTCTACTGCGTACAGACTACAGCCTTTTTGCCCAACGACACATCCCGAAGATTCCTTGCGCACCCTTGATTTGTCACATTCTCTCCCATCCTCCCATCTCTCCCGTCCCTCTCTCTCGTCCCCTCGACCTATTATCAATCGAACCCGTTCCGACACACCCGGTACACCACTGTTTACCTGACCCTCTCACCGCTCGCAACCTTTGAGACATTTGATTCATTGTCCGTTTGAATGTCCGATCGCCCCTCGCTGCCTGCCAGCCTTACCAATACCCACTAGCTTAATCCTCCTGACTCCCGCACGCGCTCCGCGCAGTCCGCGTTCCCGATGCTACAGAGCAAGCTTACTCGCACCATTTCCAACATCTCCAACGTCTCCAAAGAGAGTAGAGCCAGTAGGAAAGAACGAAAGGCTGAGAGTAAGGCCGCGAGCAAGGCCAATAGCGTCGCCAGTAGCATAGCCGGCGCTTCCGACGATGAGTACGACAACCCACTCGAGAATATCGCGCGATGGCGCTTGACGGCCAATGCCGTTGCCCTGCGCTCGGGGGCCGCTTTTGCCTTCGGCCTGCAGAACCTGTCCGCTCCCGTCCCACCGGCTGCGAATAGAGTCATCTGGCTAGACTCTACCCTCTCAGAGTGGGCCGGCAAAGAAAAGATCAGGGTCGATGTTTATCTTCCTCCCACCACCTCCTCCAGCAAACCCACCGGCAAGATCCCTGCGGTAATCAACTTTCACGGCGGGGGCTTCATCCTCGGACAGGGCACTGACGATGCCCGCTGGGCTGGCGCCGTAGCCACGGCCCTTAATGCCGTCGTCTTCTCCGTGAGCTACCGTCTGGCCCCGGGGTACCCTTTCCCCACACCGGTGGAGGACTCCGCCGACTCTATTCTTCAGATCGTCGCACGTGCCGAAGAATTCCGCATCGACATAAACAAGGTCGTGCTGTCGGGTTTCTCGGCTGGAGGCACACTGGCCCTTGCCAGTTGGAACATTCTCCAGGACCCTGATCGGTGGGGATACAAATTTAAACTACCTGTTCCCGACATCTCCGGCATAGTCCTGTTCTACCCGCTCTTGGATTGGACCATGACTAGGCCCCAGAAGCGCAAGACATGTGGAAAGCCAGAAATGACTCTTCCCAAGGGCATGACTGACCTTTTCGATGCGTCGTACATATATCCCCCGAGACCAAGGTCCGAACGTGGCGATCCGCGTCTCTCGCCCGGTCTCATGACAGATGAGATGATAGATCGCCTGCCACCTGTACACCTGTGCATGTGCGAGCATGACATGTTGCTATTGGAGGGAAAGGCCTTTGCGGAAAGAGTAAGATCTCGCGGTCGCCGGGTCAGCACACGTGTTGTCGAGGCTGAGAAGCACGCCTGGGATAAACCTCCGCCATTCGCGCCCAAGGAAACAGTCATGGTTGAGTACAAAGAAGCAATAACAGCCATTGAAGAATGGTTTGATAATACAGGGATGACGTGGAAGCTAGAGTGAGGGTTGAGTCGCCGACCTCTTGGGTGCTAGAGAGATACCTAAGAACTGTATACTGATCTCCAGACGACTTTCAGACGATTTGATCAAAATAGAAACCTAATTATGAGCATCGACTGAGGAGTCTTCAGGGCATCCGCACAGAGCTGTGCCACATTACATCCATGAGTAGAAACAACTTGAATGCATGTCTCACTATTCCTAGTGACTCTTTCAGAGTGATAAAACAAGATTACGTTCGAAGAGGGCAGTGAAGTTCTAGGTGACGTTAGGAAAATAACCTTTTAAGCCACCATGCCAAGATGTTTGATTCGTGGAAAGCCAAGCCCAACGTCACGCGTACGCCGCTGGATCTACCCATTTGACTTTGCACCGCAATACTACGGATGCTTGTGGCTCTTCTGATTAGCTAGGGCATTTCTTTTGACAGGCAGTGCAGCGCCCCGTGTCGATCATCGCGGCTTGCGACTCTTTCATATCTTGACTTTAGAGGTGATTTTGATCAAAATACCAAGGTGGGTGCGAATTGAGAGCTGATTGATTCCATAGTAGATGTCAAGGAGATATTATGAAGGTGGCTTGGTGAGTCTTGGGTGACAACGTTGATTTCCCTAGATCGTCATTTCCCTCGCCAGCTGCGCTTGAAATATATGGATAGATTTGTTTGCGGAAGATGGCGATTTGAGACGCAAGGCTCATCACTAGAAACCACCCCACGACCAGCTGCTTATCGTAGATATGATTTATCCAGAGGCCTCGATGATTCCTTCTATTTTTATTAGAACACAAATAGACCCATTGAGTCAGAAATGAGAAAACATAGAGAGCCCAGACGCATTGCCTATGATTTCCTTCCGTCTACAATATGTTCAGCTGTAAGGTGATAAAACTGGTGATATGGTCTTTCTAGTAATATACAATCTCAAGCCATGAATGGGATATAAAACAATACGATCCAAGATTGGAAATTTTGCGCCAAGACACGAGGAACTAGGTTACTATCTTACCTGTAACTCAGTCTGTGGAAACAAATTCAAGATACTCCCCAACCAAATGATTCATATACTTTCATCTGAACCAGAAACGTACGGAAGTTGCAAGACATTCGGTTCCGAGCGACAATTTCAATCCAACTCTGACAGCTGTCAATAAAACGTACCGAACAAAAAGAGCATTGACAGATCGAGGCCCCGTTCATGGAATGTGGTCGATTATTGCGCGGGCTACGGCTCAGAAAGTCCTTAACAGGCATCTTGCCTTTGGGAGATGTTGAAATTTGATATTATGATGCTGTGTCTTTGGTAAACCTTTTGACTCGATCGTTTCGAGACAACAGAACAAATGAGAGGCCAAGGCGTGATTTGACCTGCGACACCCCCGTTTCGCGGAGGCGGCAGCTTCCTCCGATGAAGTAGTAACCCCGCTCTTCTTTGCAAGAACTGGAAACAAGTAGACATGACGGCTGGAGAAGTCTGCGGAACAGTGATACGACGGAAGAGAAGTTCTCTCCACCTCTCCTTGTATTACAAGATGAGAAAACTCGGTTGCAATATCTACGGTGATTGAGGTCACATCATTCTTTTTGAAATTCTCTCCTCGCGAGTTCGTTGGAAATAAAGCGAATGCTCAACCATCGGTCCATCTTCTGCCCTTCTGCCTTTCTTCTTGTATCATCTTTTACCGCAAGACGCGTTTGCCCGCCCACTTTGGCGGAGAGGGGTAAAAGGCATCGCTTGGTCGATGATGCGGCGGACGTGGGTTGCGTATGCAGTTCCAACTTCCGAGTGGCCGGGCTATGGGGATAGTAGAAGCGGTAGCGATCGATTGGTGAGGAAGTCTATCTAGATCCTTGAGGTGATGCAAGCCCGGGGATACTCTAGACCGAATGGAGACACTTTTCCTGCATCCGTACGGCTGGGCATCATCCTGCTTGCACCAACAAGTGGGACATCGAAACGAGATCCCTGTCCGTCAGATGCTCCCAACCAGTTCAATCTTCCTTCAAAAGAGGAAGCAAACCACTTGGGTCGACTGACTGGTTTCTTTTGTTCACTTACTTTGTCTCTATACAACGGGTGACATCTATCTCAGCCGCGACACAGGCCCAGTTTGTGTGACTGAGACACAAGAGATGGCGGGTTCACCTTCACCTCGACCCACGACTCCTCTGGCCAATGTGGCTGGTGTCGATGCACCTGTTCAAACTGTTGCATCTCCCCCAGCCGCGGCCTCTTCACCAGCAGTCACATCTGAACCGGCCGCGACGCCTAGAGTGGCCGTCTCATCAGAACCAGCCGAGACGTCTGAACCGACCGCAACGTCTGAACTGATAGCGACGTCTGAACCAACCGCAACGTCCGAGCCGGTTGCAACACCCACGCCAACAAGTCCCTTGGCAGTCCAAAACTCGCCACCAGAGACAGCAGCAACGCCAACACCCAATACTCCTGGCCTTATCGAAGCGAGTGATGATGGAGCTAGCGTTTGTTCATTTACCTTTCATCGGGACAAAACTACAGTGAACTAATGGCTCTCCTAGACTGACGGGTCTACCATTGATGAAAGGATGTATGTGCCACTTCCCATCCTTTGTGCTGTTTAAAGCTGATAAAGATTCACACAGAACTAACTACTCCGCGTCCCTAACTTCGAGTGTTGTCGACTATCCGGTCGAATATGGACGAAGATATCACGCTTTCCGGCCAGGATGTGAGTGTATTTTCGGTGCATCACTCTTTACTGCTTGGTCTAATTCACATGGCGCCTTTAGCCTACTCCTTCCCAAACGATGAGGTCTGTTAGAAATCCAGAAACCAATTTTTGAAACCTGAAAGACTCTAAAAGCCATGCAGCGCGAAATGGAACGCTTGGACATTGCCCACGCACTCATGGTCAGATCAATTGGCAACAGGCTGTTCCTGGCGCCCCTTAGGGCGGAGACTCTTCATCGAGTCTTGGACATTGGGACAGGCACTGGAATTTGTGAGAAGAAGCAAACAACGACGTAATCCGTCGCTCTTTGATGAAAGATGATGCTGACTTGGACTCAATGTAGGGTCGGTGGAAATGGGCGATATTTTCGAAAACGCGGAGGTTAGTGTCTTCAAGCGGGTCGAGCCGCGAAGTGATGCTAAGTGAGCGAACAGATTACCGGAAACGACTTGAGTCCCATTCAGCCTGGATGGTAGGAAATGTCCGAATTTGCGTGGAAGAAACTTACTTATTGACTTGGCAAGGGTCCCGGCGAACGTAAGGTTCGAAATTGACGATGTCGAGAGCCCTTGGATCAACGAGCATAAATACGACTACATCTTTTGTCGATACATGCTCATCTCAATTCAAGACTGGCCTAGGCTTATCAGAAACATGTATGAGTAAGTAGCCCGAGATGTGGTGCAGTGTCTACAATTCTTCTTGGTAGATTTACACCTACTAATCATGAGCTGCTTTAGCAACGTCAACCCAGGCGGATGGGTCGAATTCCAGGATATGGATGGGCTCTACTACTCAGACGACGGCACCTACACGGAAGACCACGCCACGCGCCAGTGGAACAGGCAGTACATTGACGCCTGCGAGGCCATGGGCCGCACCGCCCGCCCAGGCCCCCAACTCGAAGGCTGGGTCCGGGACGCCGGATTCCAAAACATCACGCACCAGCGGTTCAAGGTCCCCATCGGACCCTGGGCAAAGGACGAGTACTACGCCGACGTCGGCATGTTGAACCTGGTCCAGCTGCTCGAAGGTTTGGAGGGCTTCACGCTGAAAATCTTTTGCGGGTTCTTAGGACAGACCAAAGAGGAAGTCATGGTGTTGCTCGCAAGAGTTCGCAAGGAGTTGAAGGAGGGCGCTTGCCATGCCATTTTTGATCAGTACGTTGATTGCTTTTCCCCCCTCTTTTCTTTTCGTGAGCTCAAACCGATGTTGAGGCTGACATGTCTGATAGCCACGTTGTTTACGCTCAGAAGCCCTTCGAAGAGGAGGGAAACAATGGAGGAGTGCCGCCGCCAGTATGACAGAAACTATGGCAAAGCTTTGGTTGATGGAAGGTAGACGCAGTTGCAACCAAAGGATTACAGACTTCCGCAATCCATATTCAAGACCTGCCAAGTCATCCAATTCTATTTAAAGTGCCAAATAGCCTACTGCATCAATCGAGTGCACGGTTTCTCCATAAAGATGGGTAGTTATCATCTTCGTTAGTAAATTATGTTAGGTGAGCCCATCTCTACCGAGATTCGACTACAAATGGGGTTCCTGCGGCTTTATGGAACGTGTCTGGCAGAGGACATAATACCGCCAACTTTTCTGTTTCCTGCGTGACGTCTCATTTCATGATTCCGGAACAGCCTTTCCCCGACCTGGCGCAGATTCAAATTCAGCCTGCCACTTCTCCTCCTGCTTAAACATAGCAACACACTGCAGTGCGCTCGGAGCACCAAAATCAGGGTCCGCGCCGCCCTCGAGTAGAACCTATTTGCGAACGTGTCAGAACACCATGACTTAGGCGAGAACCGGGAAATAAGAACGCCGTCCGCCCCGGGCATCTCGTTATCGGCGGACTTTCAGTAGGGCAAAGCGGCAAGATGATATGGAACGAACCTCGATAACTTTGTCTTCTTGCTTAAACACCGCCCCAGCAAGCGGACTCTGCCCCCGATCATTCAACCGATTCGCATCGGCCCCGTGCTGGATGAGCAACTTCACCAGGTCCGCGTGCCCGTGGTATGCGGCGAGCATGAGCTACACACAACGTTAAGAAGAAGATACATTAGCACGAGTCTTTTGTTTTTAAACATGATCAAAGAAAGGCATTCTTCTCCATCTTCTTTTCTTCTTCTTTCGTGGTTCGGAATCCAGGCTAAGTATAAAGTACATACCAATGTATCACCCTTCTCATTCGTCATATTCGCCGGCAACCCAGCCGGCAACGCCTGCTGGAAGATGGCGAGGTCCCCTTTCCGCGCGGCGTCGTACATTCGTCCCGCGAGAGCGATTGCTTCCGGCGGGAGGGAGTTGGCGCTTGGTGAAGGATCCATGGGTTTTGAAATTACCGAGTCCTAGAGGATAAATGTGCGTGTTGCCTGGAGAGGAAGTTTGTCAGTTTCGCTGTGTGTGTTGACACGTGAAAGGACCGCGAGTCTTCGCTGCCGGGGGGGGGGGGGGTGTCCGTTTGCTTGAACAATGACCCAGCTTACCTTGTGAAAGGAATCAATACAGATTTAATAGAGTGTCTTCAAAACCGCGGTGAATATTTCGAGTAATCAATTGGGTTGGCAATTCAGATGGAAACCTACTGTAGGTAGGGTAGTCGAAGATCAGAGAGCTGTGAGCTGGAGGTTGACAAAATGGTGGGGTAAAAAATACCGAATGCCGAGTGGATGGATGACGTGAAAGAATAGCAAGCAAGCAGTTCACTCATCCCCGGGAGCCCCACGCACACACCCCCAGCGGGGGATAGCGGAGGAACACCCCAACCAATTGGACGTAACTCATTTGACATAGGATGAACTCCAGGAGGTGAACGCTGATCTAATCGTCGTCGCAAAGATGATGAGAGGAACAGACAATGAGATAGCATCACTCCGTAAACACTTTCAATGCGTTAACGGTTGCCAAAGAGCCGAAGTCAGAAGCCGTCGTAGACCATCCACGTCCCTTCGACCAGAAACTCCCGGCTCCCAACTTCACGGACACATACATCAGACCAAGGCGAAGAAGAGCATGTTGAACCAAAGTTGTTTCCCCATTGTATCTTTTTTTCTTATCCTTCTGCTCCGTATTACTATTTACACCTCATTAATCAGAGACGAGCCAATTCCTCCCAATGCGAGCAAGGCCGTGTTGTGCCGTGTTGTGTTTGCAAAACTCCCTCGCTCAGCGAGACCGCCGGACCTCCGTGTCATGATGAAACCCCTCCCTATCTATTATAAAGGCAAGGCACATCTCCCACCAGACGGAATGAGAGAAACACCCGAAGCCACTGTGAAGTAGAAAAAATGACCCCTCTCCCCGCGGCTCCCTGCCGTCGAACGGTAGACAACCTCGTGGGAGCGGGCTCGTTGACAAAAGTCTGGGTATCAAACTGTGTTTGTACAAATAAAAAGAAGTGAACAAAAAAGACAAGACAAAACAAAAGATGATGTGTGTGCCAAAACCAACACCCAAAACACGCCCACCCAAACTCAAACTCCTAGAGTCCAATGTGGTCATATCGTCGTGGGCTCGGCTCTCTGCGCGCGCGTGAACCGCTCATGTTTTCCCTGCCAAACACCCCCGTCCTCGTTCTCCGTAGCATAGTGTATGCACCAAGTCCATCTAAGTCCTGATTGGCGTGTCTCGTTCGACGTCGAATTCAATCTCTCCCTCATCCAACTCTCCCCTCGCGGCTCTGCGAGCCAAATCTCTCTCTCCGTAGATTTCAGTCTTGCGCGTTTCAGCCTGTTGCAAGCAGTCGACATATGTCCTGAACTTGACAATCTCCCGTAGGAGGTAGGCACTCTTGCGCTCCCAGTTTGTCATGGCGCGAACGGCGTTGTTGCCACGGGGTGTGAAGGCGAGCAGCATCGGGCTGCGAAGCTGATTGTGCGTCTGAAGTTCATCTTCGATGCCCTTGACGTAGGCAAGGAGACTTTCGAGCTGCTCCTCTTCTGGTAGGTTGCTGGGCCGCATGCTCTGTGTTGGTGGCGCCCACTCGGCGACATGGATCCTGTCACCAGGCAGCTTATTACCGCGGCTGGCTGAGCTATAAGGGCCTCCGGAGCCGTGGTCGAGTGAAGCAGCTGAGCGGAAGCTCGACATACTAGGTCGAGGGTTTCCGGCGGCGCTGCTTCCGGGCCTTGAGTTAGAGCGCTGGCGCCCAGTCGCCGGTCCCACGGTTTGTTCGTTGATAGCCGTCACCAGTGCGTTGTTAATGATGGCGTCGCTCCAGCCATACTCGATGTTGCTGATGCCGCCGACTAGAGGGTGTGTGCTCAAGCGCGCGCTCCAGTAGTTGGCTGTAGTGACGAATTCTTTGCTAATCTCGGGGGTTCCGACTTGGAATAGGTGAACAGCGCCCGTGGGCAAGCTGAGGGCCCAAACGTGAGGGCGAGCTCTCGAGTAACCAGGCGGTGGCAGAGTAGATGCTAGAGTCTGTCGGAGGCTGAAGGTGCCCAGGTTAGTGGCATTTTCCTGCCAGTTGCCGCCTCCCACAATGGCCGGGCCCTTTGTTGCATTGCGACTGCGGCCCTTGCGTCCTGTCTTGTTAGTGCCAAAGGAAAAGATACTCATTTGGCCTCTTTGGATGACGGCAAAGACCTCGTTCCAGTGACGGTCCTTGGCCTTTTTCTCAATGCCGTCAAGATGGTGCTTATGGATGACCATGCCTTCCTTTACCCACGGAGGACCGGCGAGCTCGAGCGATTCGTCGTCGAGGAGTTGCGCGGGTTTGAGTTCGTCACTCATGATGGACGGCTCCTTCCCGAGACAGGATTCATCGTCACGGATGACGGCCTGGCTAAGGGCGTTGGCAAATCCGATGGACTGTTGATAGTCGCCTCCACGGAATGACGAGCTGAGCGAATCCACAGACATCGATGTTTGCGTTCGGCCCAGCGAGAGCTTACTCCACGTTGCCGATGATATTGTAGGGCTCCAAATGGAATTTCCGTCCTCGAAGCTCGTTCGCGACGAAGAGAAGCCCGGATTGCCCATACGAGGTCGTGACCTGCTCTTCGAATTCCATCTGGAAGAATTGGCACGGCCATTTTCAGCTATGCGCCCACGCATAGATGCCTGACTCTCAGACGGGGCCTTACTCAGAACGCTAGGCGTTCGCTTCAGCATACCAATAACAGAGAGACCGCTCTGGGTGTTGGGCGCCAGATTCTTGGACGGATCGGCACCGAAGAGAGGCAATCGTTCGTCGCGGATCGAGGCGTAAATGTCCTTGAGGACCACTTCGACCTGGCTTTCCCAGGCTCGCATCGAACCGTCGAATGGTGACTTGACCAAGGGCCCGCATTCGTCGTGGCAGTGGTCTCCGGACCCGTCTCCCTCGTTTCTCGGCGGCGGTCGGAACGACAGTCGGCGCGAAACGAACCGCTCTTCGATCGACGGTCTGGAATCGTCGCCTCCAAGAGCGCTGTTGGATTTACCCGGTAAAATGGTCGGCCGCTCAAACGCATCAGGGGCCGCCTCAATCACCGCCTGAGTGATTGTAGTCATGGTATTCTTGACGAACTGACTCCGCGTCATCTTGTGCTCGATGTCAGCCAGGTGCAAATCAGTGTTGAGCAGCATGATTGAGTAGCAGATTGTGTGAATGACGTCTATATAACGTTAGTTTGTGTTCTTGATGATTTGGAGGCGAAAGTAGCAACATACCGGATGCCTTGAATCCGTGGTTGGTGTTGCAATCACACCAACGCTTGGAAAAGGCAACCAAGATACGATCAACCTGCTGTGTCTCTGCTCTAAAGACGAGGCGCTCGCAGATCAAGCGGAGACTCTGGAGAATGCTCTTGTCGGCAAAGTCATACAGATCCATGTACGCTTGCAAAGTCCTCTGCCGGACGGGGCCTTCTTCACCCATCCATGCAGCGGCCTTCTCCTTCTGAATGAAGTCCTCGTTACCATCATAGATCTTTTGGGCCTTTTGGCGGTCGTCTTCTGTTGGGTCTCCAACGACGAAGTCGGGCTCATCCAGAGGCTTGGTGCTCATAGCCTCAAATGTGCCAAGGACCTTGGGGCTATTCTCTGTGGTTTCGACTCGGACGCTAGGGGTGCCGCTCATGGCAGACTTGTACTCGGTGGTGGTGGACCCTGAAGCTCGGCTGGCAGACCTAGTACCCTCCATTGGCAAAATTAGTGTTGATTTATTGCCTTCATCATCCGAGTCTGCTGGGGCGACCGCGAGTCTGTTGTTCTTCCTGCCTCTAATGGTATCATCCTTTCGGTCTGAGGTCCCCTTGCGGGACGGGGACGGCTCTTTGCTCGTCTTGCCAGATTTGTGGCTCCTATCCCTCTTTGTCTTGCCTCGCTTCGACTCGGTGTCTGCCTCATTGTCACTGCCATCGATATCGAGGAAGGAATTGTTTCGCTTTTCGGACGATATGGGAGGCTCCGGGGGCGGTCTAGTGGGCGTATCGGTCCGGCGCTCATGCTCTGGATGATAGTCATCGTCATCATCACGAGATCCTGAGCGGACCTCTCTTATCCGTGCATTAGGACTCGGGTCGTACTCGGGGGAGAAGGATCGTGGTTGTTCTTCGGCCCTCTCGCCGTTTGAAGCAGGAGCGGGATCGGAGGTCATTTCGGAGTAGGCAGGTTGCACGGGGGCAGGTTGGGGTGTCAAGGGCGTATTTGGCGTCACCGGGCTGCCTTTAAGGTACGGGTTCATAACCCTGCGCAGACTGCTGATTGGGCTGGGCTCTGGTTTCGCAGAAAGCTTGTCTTTGGTGATGGGCAACTGGATCGGGGCCACTAGAGGGGGCATTGGCGGTTCGAGAGTTGCAGCAACGGGCACAGGAGGGACCTCATCGGCGGACACAGACTTCTTTCTGCGACGAAAGAAGGAGCTCGGTTTCTTTTGCAGCACGTGATGATGAGAATGGGACGAAGATGTATCCCTCGAGGGCGGGGCGGGGGCGGATGGCTTCATCTGGTTGGCAACGTGTAGAGATCGGTTCCCGGACCTCTGATCAACAGAATCCACAGATGTTGACGACGTTATGCCTGTGGAATTTTGCGTCTCGGGCGGGTTGTTGGAGGCATTGCTTCTAGACGAGCCGAAGACTCGCCTGAAAAACCCCGGTTTTTCTTTTGTTTGCTGCGACGGTGCTTGTGTCGGAATTGTAGCTGCGTGCACGGGCTCTTTTGTCTTGCCGTAGCCCACGTGTGGCGCGGGTGCCGACTCAGACTCGAATGCCGTGACGGGTGCGGTTGCTGGCGACGATATTGGCGCAGCTGAAGATACCGGAACAGATGAAGGCATTGGGGGCACTTCTTCTCGTGGAGTGCTGGACTTGTTGTTGTTGTCCGCTCGGCGGGATGTCGACGTGCTTTTAGCGGACCGACTCGACCGTTTGCGTTCGAGGACAATGGGCGGCGGTTCGGCTGGCTCCACAGCCACAGTCGATGGTGCATGTGCGGCTGCGGACGTGGATGCGGCCATGGGCTGTTGTGGAATGGTCGCAGCAGGGGGGGTCACGGGCGGCATCATGCGTCGGGGCCCGCCAGGCACCGTGGGCGTCGGCGCGGCATCGTAATCGTCGGTGAAAAAGGTGTTGGAGAATTCAATGTGCCATGGAGCTCCGTTCGCTTGAGCTTGATGTTGTGTGGCCTGCAGGGCTGGCGGGCGGTGACCATAGTCGAAGCTCGAGGATCTGCCACCGAAGCCGGAAGCCCACCTTGTGCTACTGAGAACTTGAGCATAGCCGGCATCAATGCTGTTGGAGCTGCTACTCTTTGTGCTTCCCTTCCCACCTCGAGAGTGCATGTGGCGTTGGGAATTGGCAGTGCTTCGCAGCGGTTCCCGCATACTGCTGATGCGGTGCAGACCAGGTTGGAAGTTGGAACTACTGTTGCTCCTCCTACCCCGTGAGGATATTCTGCTCGCATCGTCGGCGTCAAAGTCGGAGCTGTAGGAGTATGTGTGTCCGGCGCGGCCACCTCGCACTGATCTAGAGAAACCGTCTCCGTCGGTATCGTATTGGTACTGCTGGGAAGGCTCGTCATGCATGTTTGGCGGGCTACTGCCAAAGGGGCCACCGACTGGGCCACCCATGGAGAATTGGTCGAGAGACATGAGCATGTTGGCCATGAGGGAGTCGCGCGTAACGTTTCGCGGGGACAATGAAAGATCGTGGGAGTCGCGGGGGCGAGATTGGTCGGGATTATCGTTTTCTTTATTCGAGGACATGTCGAAGCTGTCAGGCGAATCGGGAGTGTCTACCAAGAAAGAGTCGTCGGCATGGCGAGAGAGGGCAGGGCCTCGTAGTGCCCGAGAACTGTTGGATTTGCCCTTGGCGACGGACGAGGACGAAGTAGGCGGCGGCGGCGGCGGCCTGTTCCTATTACTTGGTGGTGGTGTTTGAGGGACTGGCGGCGCAGTTGTAGGTTCTCCCCGTGACGCGACAACGGCGGCAGGCCTGTTCGAGTAGGCGGCGGGCGGAGGAGAGGTGTTGATGTTGAGGTCGGGACGGCGACGACTGGAACGTCTCGGGGTGTCGGCGTACATGATGAAGGAGAGGGGGGCGGAAGGGTATCGTGGGGGTCGAAAAGGGTTTTCAAGTCATTTCCAGATCCAATCCGATCAAGCGCAAGCGCAAGGCGCATATGCAGTAAGGTGCCGTAGTAGTCGCCAGTAGTAGCAGCAAGCAGGCCGGCGCCAAATAGATGCCAAGGTGCGGCCGCTGAACAAGAGTCGGGACGCGCCCCAATATTGTCCAACGCGGTTGATCCAATGCGACGCCAGTAGGTCAAGCGATCCAATCCGACGGCGATGGCAGCGCCGTAAGAATCAGTCGATGTCCGCCGGCGGGCTCACAGGATTCAAAGCCTGGAGGGAGGGCCTTGAAGTTTGAACAGCAGGCGGCGGGCAGGCTTGAACAGGCAGACTGACGGTCAAAGTGGGCTTCTCAGGCGTCGCAATGTCCACAAGGCCGGGTTCGAACTTCGGTGTCGCGGGTCGGCTTTGTCTCCCGGGGGTGAACGAGTCCCAACCGAGTAATGAGTGGCCGAAATGAAGACTCGAGCGAGTCCCCTTTTGGACCCTTTCTTTGGGTCTTTTGGGGGGTGGTGTCAGGTGTTAGCGGACGACGTTGCAGCAATGTTTCTTTTCTGAAGTGGGCAGCTGTTCAGGTTGCTTTTTTCTCTGGTGGTGCTTTTGCCGTTTTCCCCCGTTTGGCATGGGCGGGTGGGCATTCAAGGGCCAAGAGTGCCACGAGGAACGGGAAAATGTGCGCGGGAAGGTTTGATTATGTATTAGTATCCGTCGTCGGTAGCGTGTATTCGTACTAGTAGTGGTAGTATTGAGACCGGGTATAGAGTAGGCGAATGTTGGGGGGGTAGAGTGACGGGCCTTGAAAGTTGGTACGATGCTCCGAAAGAGGCGATGGATGCTACCCTCAATCTTCCCCTGACCTAGGACTTGCTAGGCCCCGGATGGATGGCGGTGATCGGCCGTCGACGGGCGAGGGGTGGAGGACGAGAGCGAGGACGTGGACGAGGGTGAGGGTGTGGTGGTGTGTGAAGTGGTTCACTTGTGTCTTGTGCTAGCGACGAGAAAACGGCGACGGTGCGACTGCTAGCTTAGGAGGTATCCGCAGATGCGCGCAACACAGGTCGAGGTTGTGTTGGCAGTGGGCGAGCGCAGGGTTAAGAAGTATTATTAGTTCGAATTGGATCGTCAGAGTATGGACTGCGTGGTAGACATGGATATAGCTGGAAGTATTCTGTATGCGGAGACTGGAGTGTACCAAGTCCAAGTGGAAGAGGTAGGCGAAGCGTGGTGTATCCGTACGGAGTAGGTATGCGTCTGGCAAGGTTGGATGGGGTGCGGTAAGGGACGGTAGATGCAGGTGTGCATTCGTCACAGTTCGGATGTTTTGCGGTGCCAGGGCACTAGGGGGTGGTGGGTGGTCGGTTGCTTGGTTGCTTGAAGCACAAGCAGTTAGAGAAGGGAGACGGCGAGACGGGTGGATGGATGATGGATGATGGATGGGTTTGTTGACTTTTGGCTTACTTACCTAAAGTGCGGAAGAAAGTTTTGCAAGGTATCTGGGAGGTCCGATTTGTCGGTTTGGTAATAAGGTATTATTGATGAACAACTAGCCACGAAACACACGTGGGAAAAGTGCAAAGAAGGAAAAGAAGCAGAAGGGCAGAGGAGGAATGGCGACAAGCAATTCACTACCTTGGATACGTGGTAAGGTACGGATAGGTACCTGCAAACACCAGCTCCGAGTCGAGGTAATTAAGGTACCACCAGGAAGGTACGGCGTAATTAGGGTCAAGCAAGGCATGACAAGGAATTTCGTTGATGGGCAGCCTACACTAGAAGAAAGACCGGGCAGGGGTTAGGATATCCATACTTGACAGTCACGGAACACAGATGGGGATGAGATCCGGGACTGCTACGAATAGGAACCTGGTCAATCAAGCTAGAAAATGAACAACGGACAATATCTCAGGCAAGTATTACTGTGGTCCTCCCGACGGGACATGGATGGAACCTGAGACCTTTTGTCTTTTTCGGCTGGTATCTACGTTGAAGGTCTGCAGAATTTCGGATCATGGTATCCGTAACAAAGTCAAGAACGGATCCATAGTCTGTCAGGTAATTAGACGTAGCGTCTGTGTTGCTGCTGATGATGCTGCATGTCTTGACTCTCTCTTGTGTATCTCTGTGCGGACCTGCATATTGGCAGGGCATTGTAATTACACGGCGCATGCGACACGACATGAACCAAGATGCTTTTGTATGTACTCCCTATTCCTTCCTCCGGATGGATGCAGAGTACGGAGTACGGAGTTTTCTGTAAGAGGATACAAGTGATACGGGGGTTTGAATGCGCTGGTCCATCGACGTTCATGCTGGCGTCTCTTCTCGGTCGGTGTTGCGGAGCGTCCCTGTCCCTGTCAAAAAGTCGGGGCCCAGGCAAGAGAAACACCAGACGAGACGATAACAACATTAATATCAATATGCAAGGGAAAGAGCAATAGGAAGCACGGACATCAATATTCCACATCATCATATCCGATGCTGAATAAGGACGACGACGACGACGACGACAACCATATATTCGTCTGACTTTGCCTTATTAGTCGATATATGTACGGGCAAGTATTGCTTACTAGGTACCTAGGCAGTCGTGCCCCGTATGGTTGACGAAGCAGGTTGAAGAAACATCCAACAGATGCAGAAATACCGGGAGAAACACCAGACGAATGGAGTTTCCTTCCATGTTTTTTTATGGCATCCCATGTCCCTCCGCACCTGCCACGCCCACCAGTGCCTTCTCTCCTCCACTAAGGTATCTTAAATTTCGAGCTGCACTTGCCTCATCCACCACATTACAAGTATGTACGTATCCGCAACCGTGAGAAACGACGGGAGGAAAGAGCCAACGAACGGAGACTCCCTCGCAAGACGAGGTACCCAAAGTGCCTTACCTAGGTTTGGTAGAAACCCACAGAAAAATGGAAAGTTGAGAGATGTCACGGGCCTTGCGACATGTGCTTGATGTGGTCCCGGACTCGTCAGGACGCACCTTCCATGTCATTTCTCGCCGTTGCCCTTGGCTGCTGCTGGGGAACATGAGGAAAGCACACAACCAAACTGGCCCGAATGGGCAAAGAGAGAGAGTCCACTCCACGTCTGCTGCAACTGCAAGGTTTCCCCTTTTCACTGCTTTTCCCATTTTCCTCTACGGAGTACCCCCATTTAGCAGTGAACCCCTCCTTTCTTCTTTTGTTTTTGGTAGTATTGTTTTATCGCCTTTTTTCTCCATATTCCGTCACTCTTTCTTTACTATCTACGGAGTAGTCTATCACTTTCCCGGCTTACCGATACTTTTGATCAAGTATGCTCACTCGCCTTCGTCATCTTGACCGCCCGCAAAGAACAAAGAAATAACCGCTTCATCTCAATCTCTCTCTGCAGAGCACGTCCTGTTCTCTCCAGCCGCCCTCAAACCCACCAATCGTTGCCATCCTCATTTCCTAAACGCCATTGGGTCCTTTGAAAGACAACCGCTTCGCTTCGCTTTCGCGCCATGGATGATGGAAACCGAGCCAGATGAGCAATGCAAAAGAAACAATCTGCCACAATCATCATCGATATGAACCTGCTGCCGTTGATCCTTACACAATAGACTGGGAGAACCTATCTACGCCACGGCAGTGTAGGATCTGGACGCCGTCGTGGCACCCCAAAACGCAGCCGGCCTGCGAGACACGAGACATCACAAGCGCCAGACACCTTGACACCGCGACCGACGGCAGGCTTGCCGCCTTTGACTAGTCTCCTGTTCTGACGGGCACCACCCTGCATTGTCCCCTCCAATCCTTCCTTACATTCTTCCACCACATAGACCAGAAGTGTCCAGAAAAAAGGGACAAGAGGAGACAGGGCTGCAGGGGTAATGCAAGATGCATCCATCCCACCACTGCTCTTGTCCCAAAGGAGAAGCCAATCCCAAGGGGATCCCAGACACCACCGTCGGCCTTTGTGAAGCCATCGCCAGGGGCTGTTGGCTAATGGCTTGGTCAACCGTCAATGGGGAACAAGACGCGGCACAGCGTCCGCCATCATCCAAATCGCTGGCTGGCTGGCATTGCTCATGCCGGATGCTCATTACCGATACGACTTCAACGCACTGCGGACCCGACAATGTTTGTCTATCAAAACGAACATCCACGGATGCCGCCTGGGTCTCTACCAATTCGTCTTTCTCGGGGCCGTTCCTTGACGACAATCCCACCTCACGATGCGGATACTTTGACACCTCCGCGTTCCGAGAAGGAAAGCTGTCCATCCTAGAAAAAGGAAAAGCAGTGACCAGCAAAAGCTGGATGGTGGATCAACTAGACCAACAACACGAGCACACTCACACACATCTCAACGTCAGAACCGAACGCGATTGCAACTTTCACCATCTCAAAGACGATTATCCGGTAATCCGTCAGCTTCCCTTCCACAACGAACATGGCATATCCCATTCGCCGAATCGTCTTATCGTGGCTATTATTGTCGCGAGCTCGACTTTTGCCTTTCTTCCCGCCCACACATCCGCTACCTCGGCCGCCCTCGATCCAATCGTATCCATTCTCACGCTGCGAATACGCCCACTCATTTGCGCCCACTTGAAAGCACATGCAGATACCCATGGACTTCCCCTGAATCGATGCAGACACCAACTTTTAGCATCCAGAGGCCCGTGCCATACGCTGGATTGCGCCACCTTTTCCGCCACCTCGTGCCCATCGTTTATTCGCCTGCCTCAACACCCTCCTGCCAGTGGTTCATACCACTAAAGCCTCTCCCCTCCCGAGTCCCAGGCTCCCACACCTGACGGCCTGCGAGCGGAGCCAGTGTTCATCGTGGGATTACAGGACGGCGGGATGGAACATAGTCTGTGTGTCTAGGTCTCGCGGGCCTGCTATGCGAGGGACCGTTGAGCACCATGAGGCCTATGATATTGACAGCCCATCCCCCCTTCGCTACCAAGTCATCTACGGTGTTTGCGCCCTTCTTTGGAAAAGATGTTCATGTCAAAATCATGATTCCAGGAGCCCCGGGCACCCAGGACCCTCATATTCCACTCGAGCAATGCGACAGATCACCGCGACAGTGGCACTCATTGCCATTTCTCTCTAGAGACTCGAATGTGAGACCAGGCAGTGAGGCACTCTCTCATCTTAGAGATATGCTTGGCCCCCAAATGCCGACGTCTTATTAGCGATGGTCATTAATTGTCCGTGTTTGGACCTGCAGGTCTGTGACACCACCCCTTTTGACGGCGGAGTCGACACCGACGCGTTGCTGACGACCTGGCTCAGTAATGGAGGTCTCGCGCTCTACCAATCGCTTCGCCCAAGAACCATTGGATTTCCAGAAACTTTGCACTACAACAGAGGCTGCAACACACCGCCTTCGTACGGGCGTCGATGGCTTAGTGTATAAGCAGGCAAGGAGTTCGACGGGAGAAGGTGTCCCGGCCACCACCATGACCAGTCCACCACACCACCGCAAGCTGCATCTCCCCGCGTGATCGCCAGTCACTTCCAATGACATTCCAACGGCTTTGCTTACAATCTGTACATTTGCGGTACACGACCATCTCCCTGCTTCACTGACCAACAGTTCCCCCTTCGAGTAAGCGGGCTCGGCCCCATTCCCACTCGCATCCAAGCCCGCCTTCTAGCGACTCAATCTCCAACACTGGCGGCCCCCGTCCTGATTGATGTTCGCGCTAAACTGACAAAACCTAAAACACACCGACAGACGCTTCCATGTCATCAGTTTCCTTGCCGTCGTGCCAGTCGGCGTTCGTCAAGAAGACCCTCACGACCCTTCTTCACCTCCGACGTCAAGTCAACGTGTCAAAGCGCAACCTGTTCGTACTCCGCAACTCCATGGCCTGCCTGCATGACGAACATTCTTCGGCGGATCGCTTAAACGTCTCCAGCTTTTGCCCCTTCGCCGCGAATCGGCATTGCGACGGTGCGTGGGTGCCTCTTTCTTGGCGTGTCAACCCTTCGCGTCAAGGGACGAAGATTTCTCTCAATCAGCCAATCTCGTCAAGCCAATTGGGGTTACACGATGGCCACAGGCCGAGAATAGCGCGTGGTTTCGTGAGACTAGAGCAGCTTTCTAAAGTCTGACAACTCGGCTCGCTCTCCAAAAACAGTCGTTTCCATCTTGCAGCTCTGGGATCAGGATCCTCTTGAAGATGAGCCGGCTCCGTCGATCAGTAGATCACCAATCCCTCTCCATAATCGGCCGACAATCTCGAATCTTGCATTGCGTTTGAAGCGAGCTGCAATTCTCCAGATCATCTCGGCGAGCCACCTCTCCGTGTCCCTCGAAACAACGTCGCCTGCTGTCAGCGCCGTATATTCGGTCCTCGCACGTCCGCGGCGGCCCCCACTGCAAGGACCATCCCAAGTTCGGTCCCAAGTCGGCGACATGACTTATTCTCCTTCAATCTTTGCGCATTGCGTGTGTTGTATTTACCCGCCGTTGCATTGTCGGTCCCCAAATCCGCAGGTGGGTAATACGTTCCGTGTCGGTTTCTGTAGTTCAGTACATGCGCTAGATCACTTCATGTCACTATCTTTCGAGTGAAGTACTGTTTCAGGAACGAACACACTATCTTTTTTGCTTCATTCTTACTCGCTCTTGTTCATTTGATGAATGACGGAGTCATCGAGCTCGAATTTACACGAGCGATATGATCATCGCCGGCACGTGGAAACCTTTGCCGAGCTTGACTTACGGCTGCAAATCTTATGTGGATGATACCACACTGACATGTCAGTGCATACGGACACGACGGAAGCTCGTGTCGCAACGCAACCGAGTGGTTGGATTGCCATAGTGGTACTTTGAACCTCCGAACCATCAGGATAGGCAGCATCGTGGCTGGAGGTCCTGCTCGGTCAGACGCTCAGGCTTCGTCTCGCAAACTCTTATTTCCGTCTTCGAGACGACGGTTGCTCTGTGGATGGGTGGATGCACTGGTGACTATCCAGATGATAGTTGACACACCATATCATATCAATAGGCGTTGATTTGAGTCCCGGGATAATGGGCACTAGCAGTAGCAACCAAGTAGTTGTCTATAACGATCAATGCATATGTACTGATGTGTGTCCAGAGCCTGAACTTGAGTTGGCTGTGCGCGTCTGTTCATCTCAATCCCTCTACGTAGTCCGAATCACATCTTTCAAGTCTGCCTTTGAAATATCGCGAACCCCATAGTTGAGAAGTCTCTCACCCCGGCCGTCACTATTTCTTATAATACTGCGTCATATCATGGGCAAGCCCCAGTATACCCTATACAAGTTGGCATATCAGATCATCACTCTACCAAGAGAGGGGGCAGCAGGGAATAAGGGGAAGAAAGAACAAACAAACATACCAGCTGGAACGCGACAGCAGCCTCATCAGTTTTATCCGCCTCACGCATGGCGACGATCCCCGGGTCGTTGGCCTCGACCTCGTCCGGGTCCGAAGCCATCCTCTTGAGGTTCGCCTCGGAGACCGGGTTCGTGAACTGTTTGAACTTTTCTCGTCGGTAGTGGTCGTACTTGTCGAGTATGTCGTCGTCGGCTCGGCCGTCGTGGATGCCTGCTAGGCAGTCGAAGAGGTCGCCTACGTCGACGATGCCACCCGTGAGGCCCATGGTCGTACTTGTCGAGTATGTCGTCGTCGGCTCGGCCGTCGTGGATGCCTGCTAGGCAGTCGAAGAGGTCGCCTACGTCGACGATGCCACCCGTGAGGCCCATCCCGCCGCTGTGGAGGCCGAGGGCCGAGAGGTTAGATGGGTGCCAGACAGGATTCTCTCTCTCTCTCTCTCTCTCTCTCTCTCTCTCTCTCTCTCTCTCTCTCTCTCTCTCTCTCTCTCTCTCTCTCTCTCTCTCTCTCTCTCTCTCTCTCTCTCTCTTTCTCTCTCTCTCTCTCTTTTCTTTCCCCTTTGTCTTCGACCTGGGTCATGGGTACGAAGGGCACTTACAACGGGTTACACAAGTGCGCAGCATCCCCAGCCAAGATGAACCTGCCGACACGCATCCGGGGCGCGAGACGCTGGTGTACCTTGTAGGGGCTAAAGTTGACGATCCGGTAGTCGTCGGCCTTTGGGTACCCGGGCAGCATGGTCTCGTATTTCGCGGGCTGGCGGGCGCGGTACTCGTCGTGGCTGAGGCCGGGGACCTCGCCGTAGCTGACGCGCCAGAGGCCGTCGTCTTGGATCTTGGCGGCCATGAAGTAGTCTGTTGGGTGGATGACGAAGTTGGAGTCTTTCCAGCCGTGTTTGTCAAAGTCGTAGTAGACCTTTGTTTTTTGGTCAACACCTTCTTCGCTTCGGGGGGTGTATGTCTTCCTGCCGCTGGCTTTCTGATGAGGAAAGAAATGGAGTTTCTACTCACGTTTGTGGCAATGATTTGCAAGTCCCATGTGTACCCAGGAAACTCATCCCCAAACAGCTGTCTCCGGATGATGCTATTCGCACCATCACACCCGACAACATAATCAGCCTCCAGCTCCTCGACCCCCTCCTCCGTCTTCACAACAACCACCGCCTTCCCCCTGCCCTCCTCCTCCCGAATCCCCACAACCTCACACCCCCACCTCACCTCCGCCGCCGGCTCCTTTTCGAGATCCTCCAGCGCCATCTTGCACAGCGCGTTCAGCGGCAGACACGAGATCCGGTCCGGGTTCTCCGCGCCGAGCCTGCTGTTCTCGATCTTGGCGAGGACGGTGCCGTCTGGCTTGCGCCAGCGGGCGCCGCCGACTTCGATGCCGTGCTGCCTGACGCGGGCGAGGAGGTTGGCGCGGGAGAGGACGCGGTTGGCGGGGGCGGCGTAGTGGGTTGCGCGGGGCTGGGTGTCGAGGGAGGTGGATTTGTCGAGGACGAGGACGGGGATGGAGTGCTGCGCGAGGAGGAGGGAGAGGAGGAGGCCCGTTGGGCCTGTGCCTATTACTATTACCTGGGGGTGGGGGGTTAGTTGAAGTGTAGGGTAGGGAGGAAGGGTTGGATATGGGGGACTTGTGGTGAGATGGTGTGGGTTTTACCTTTTTGATACCATGGTGGTCTTGCGATGCCATGTCTGATGAGTTGGATGTGGATTAGAGGGTCTGATTTTGTTGATGCTTGAGAGAAGGCTCCTTTGAGAGAGACTAGAAACGAGGTTTTGGTATACAGGGCTTGATGTATGTTTGGCGATGAATTATAATCGTTGTTGTTGTGCAAGTTTTCTAGTATCAAACCCATATCACATGAAGTCAGTCTGGTGGAGACCATCAAATGTCTCCTAGTACTTGACGTCAATATCCCCTCCTTGCCATCTTCATTGAGAGTCGTCGAGCAGACAACGGGTTATGTGGGATGCCCACGGACGTATGACTTTGTGGGGTAACAAAGTGGGATGATGTCCGGGGACGGGTAGTGTTGATTAGTCGTGGGGAAGGGGCAGGGACTGTGAAGTAGCTTGGAGATCTAGTACGAATCGAGATGAACAGAGACCAAGCTTTCCCTGAAATGAAAGAGCCTTTTGTGTTCCATTGGTTGGTTGTGCGAGATGTCTGTCTTTTTACTTCGCCAAACCTCCCCACATACTCCTGCCCGGAGATACGGGAGGACGGTTTTCAGACGGAGTTTTCAAGGCCTGTTCTAGCTAGATCATGATAAATTCAGTTTCGAGCTGACTTTGATATACTCCTATGATATGTTCGAGCTGCTCTTCCTCTGCCTTCTTCCAACAAGACCTTGTATCTGACGTCGATCTCCGTCTCATACACTCATTACCGCCCACAATGGACTTCTCCAAGATAGACCTCTCCCACCCACCCCTCAAAGACCTAACAATATCCAACATCACAGAAAACGTCCACGCCATCAACTCCAAATGCGCCGACGTCCGCACGCGCTTCCTCCTAGAAAAACTCGTCACCCACCTCCACGACTTTGCCCGCGAAACGAACCTCACCACCGCAGAATGGGAGACCGCCATCGCCTTCCTCACAGACGTGGGCAAGACCTGCACCTCTGTCCGGCAGGAATTCGTCCTCCTCTCCGACGTCCTCGGCCTCTCCCTCCTCGTCGACTCACTGGACCATCCGAAACCGCCCGGGATCGGGGCGACGGAGGGTACCGTCCTCGGCCCGTTTCATACCCACGAGGCGAAGGATGTGCCGCACGGGGAGATGATTTCGAGGGATGGGAATGGGGAGCCGATGCTTGTTCTGGGGACGGTCAGGGACACGCGAGGGGTGCCGATTCCGGGGGTGAGAGTTGATGTATGGGAGACGGATTCAAAGGGGCTTTATGATGTTCAGTATGACGGGTACGAGAACCCCGACGGGCGGGCGGTTGTGAGGAGCGATGAGGAGGGAGGGTTCTTTTTTCGGGCGATTGTGCCGGTGCCGTATCCGATTCCGGGGGATGGACCTGTTGGGAGGCTGTTGGCGACGCTGGGGAGGCATTGGTACCGGCCTAGTCATTTTCATTTCATGTTTGATAAGTCTGGCTATGATCGTCTCATCACGTAAGTTCCCTTGGTTGACACTTTGGGGTCTTCACTTCTGAAGCTGGGATTTGTTTCTGACGCGGATACAGAGCTTTATATCTTCGCGGAGACCCGTTTGAGAGGTCGGATGCGGTATTTGGAGTCAAGGAGTCGCTTATTGTGGACTTGAAGACTGTTTCGGATGTTGATGGGTTGGCTGAAAAGTACGGTGTGAAGCCGTCGACGCGGCTTTTGACGTATGACTTTGTGTTGGTTTCGGAAGAGGAGGTCAGAGCCTTGAGGGAGTCTAAGTTGAAAGTGTAATATGTTTGGCGTGGAATTACTAGAAAATCTTAGCAGACAGGTATCTCATCATAAAATCGAGATCGTATTAGTGACAGAAGATGTTCTGTTGTGTTATTGTATTGTCAACCCAGATCTAGCATTTCATTATGAGAAGTTTCGGAAAAGTTCAAATTCGACGAAGACTTCTAGACGATGTGTTCCAAGATACAAGTCCAAACTGGCCGGAATCTGAGTAGATCGTTCGCCATAGTCTTCATCATCAGAGAGCAGAGCCAGGAAACTCGATTTATTCACCACGTCTAACCATATGTCTCAGCGTTGCATCCTCTGATTTTATTGACGACAAATGTTCCGTGCTCGAAGCATTTTTTTCATTGGTGGCATCGAGTTTAGTGCCCATGCACACACTTATAATCTTCTTGTACGTTTTCCAGTTTTCCCTCTTCAACACTGACTTCTAGGCTAGGCTCGGTCCTAGGCATCAACAGCAGTGATAACAACTCGCTCCGAAGGACTAAAGATTCAATGCTGCCGATCCCATAGACTTTGAACAACAACATACAATGTAACATAAATAGATCTGCAGGGCAATTCGAAAATGCGAACGCAATATTCGGCAACTTCCAAGTCCGTCGCCAAGATCGAGAGCCATCACCCCCTGACAGGAAAGTGGAGTAGTCTGCCAGGGGTGGGGACATCCCACACGACATCCCGCATTGCCTAATCGGGGTACGTTAGTTGATGTTTGGACATCTCAACCCGCCATGTCATGCACATCAGAGGGAAGTTGATGACTTCATTCTCCCACCGGTGAGTGGAGAGAATATGAGTGAACGATTATCAAGATGTTAAGCATAAAGTATAGTCGTGCCGATTCGATGACACAAGAATGAAGAAAATCTATAATAGCAAAGGACTAATTAGTTGTCCAAAGCGTAATTCTCAGTACCAAGCAACGACTCTCTCAATCTCAAGATGACGTCCGACTCTCAAATCCAGAAAGCTACACAACCTTGGTGGGACGACGGGAGCGAGAAGCACTTCGTGCCACTGGCCCCCGCCGTTCCCATAGACCCGAGCGTCAATACCTGGTCCCGCTTCGGTCCAACCTTTGAAGCCTACGAATACTCGGGCTGGATCGACGAGAGCGTCTCCTGGAAGACGGACTGTTACATCGGCGACTGGTCGCCTCTCCTCAAAGCCCGTGTTACCGGTCCGGAGGCGCAGGCCTTTTTCGAATACATCTCGACCAACCGCTGGCCCAACTTCAAGCCCGGACAAGCGAAGCATGCCATCTTCTGCCAGGATAATGGGTGCGTCGTTGGCGAGGGTCTGGTTTTGATGCTTGGAAAAGATGATTTCTTGTTCACCAGCGGTCCTGGGACGGTCTGGCTTGTGTATCAGTTTCAACAGGGCAGAAAGAAATTTGATGCCACTCTGCAGCTGGTCACTGATGACTGGTTCCTTCTTCAAATCCAGGGGCCTCGAAGCGTTCAGCTTCTGGATGAGGTGACGGATAAGGGTGTCAGGGACATCAAGTTTATGCATTACAAGGAGCTCTCAATCGATGGAAGCAAGTTCCTTTGTCTGAGGCAAGGTGTCTCCGGCGAACTCGGATTCGAGCTGTGGGGGTCGACGAAGGATGCCAAAAAGATTTACGGTTCTATCGTAGACGCTGGCAAGAAGCACAATATCCGGCAATTAGGCGCTCGCTCAAAGATGGTGAACCACGTAAGAAATATTCGCCTCCCCACGAACAACATCTATTAACACATGCCTACCAGGTTGAAGCTGCGTTTGCGACTCCGGCTGCGGACTTCATTCCGGCCGTACACGCGCCCGCAGACGACAAGGAACTTCTCCAGTTCCGACAATTCGCGCGAGACATCGGCTTCGACTTTGACCACTATCTCTCCAAGGCCAGCGGTAGTCACGGCGCAGACCCCATTTCCTACCACTTCACGCCGTTCGACCTGAACTGGGGCTGGCTCATCAACTTTGACCACGACTTCATCGGACGTGACGCCCTTCTCAAGCTCAAGGACAGCCCACCGAACCAGCTGGTGACGCTGGTTTGGAACGAGGAAGATGTGACTGACGTTTTCGCGTCCCTCTTTCGACCGGAGCCCTTTGAGTACATGGAAATGCCTCGCAGCTTGCTCGGCAACGTTGTTGGCAGTACCGTTCTGCGTGAAGGCAAGACGATTGGGTGCGCTGTTTCTCGGTGCTACAGCTATTGGTTCAAGGAGATGGTGTCTCTGGGAATTGTTGCCAAGGAGCATGCTGCTCCGGGGACTGTCGTTGAGGTGAAGTGGGGATCTGAAGGGTCCCCCGTGAAAATCATCAGGGCGGTAAGTACATCGGAGATCTTTTCGCAGCTTGAGAATATCCAGCTAATGTGAGATACAGACTGTGCAGCCTGCGCCGTACAAAGAGGACAAGAGACGACACTCAATTCAGAGGTAGGTGCGCGTACATAAGGATCACTGGTTTAGCTGGTCAAGAAGGGCATCAAATGTTCGCATGGTGAATCTCTAGCTCATCTTTCCATATAAAATCTGCTCAATATCCTCGCTGTGTCAATGAAAGATAGGCCCTTGGGCAAACTCAAGGAAAACAGAAATTTGCATCAACACCTCTAATTGAATCGCAACGTCAGGTTCCCCCTGTCTACATAGTCATCAACTTACATAGATCATGCGCATGACTTACTCGGACAATTACCCCGCGCGTCATTAGCCTGCAGCGGCCCGCCCGCCGGCCCCGGTTTGTGGAGGCACCAAGGATCAGACACGGAGGCTTAAACAGTCCGTCCTTTCGTCACCGGCACTTTGACCTTCAAACTCTTACTCCATGCTTTTGGTGGACAATCAAGCCGACGTCACTCAGAAGCGAACCCCTCCAGTTCATCGACCGCGTATCTCGGCTATGGCGTTCCCAACGGCTCCTGGAATGTCTGTCATCTCTTTTCGCAAAGAGGCAGGAGTTCAGCACCGATGTCGGATCTGTCCAAAGACGTTCAAGCGGAGCGAGCATCGCAATCGCCATGAGCGAGGCCGTTGGGTTGACCTCTCTGAAAAGTCTGGAGTTTCGGCTAAAGACAAGTAGATTCACAAGAGAAGCCGTTCTCTTGCCGCATATGCAGCCGACGCTTCGCTCGCAAGTGAGTTTGTCTGGGCCGGGATCTCAAAACAACACCTAACTACTGACGATGTCTTTGCTAGTGATCTGGTTACTCGCCATGAAAAGACTTTCCACCGAGACCAGTCGCAACCCGGTGTAACCTCTACTTCAGAGACAGCATCCTCAAAAAATGCCCAAGTCGATGAACCGGCATCTATGGCCAACCCAAATGAACAGGATCGAAGTTTGCAGGGCCGCACAGGACCATCAAGTGAGATGTCATCTGAAGGTAGCCTACCTTCGGTAAATGTCGACGGACCAGATGTATCAGGGGATATTCCTCATTTTGGCTATGACATTATGTCCGAAGTCGAGACTTTTGATTTTAGCGATATTTCGCTCGAGTTCTTCGATCCATTCCTGGGTAGAACCTTTGATCATTTCGCCTTTCCAGTATTCGAGGATGTTCCCGAGCAGGTCCAGCCACCAGTACCAAGTTTGCCTCAAAGCAAACCCTCAGGCAACCAAAGCAATTTTTCGGATAGGTCTGGAGAGATTCCAACGCTGTCGCAAGGGCATACAATAAGCCAAAGCGCGCTTAGGCCACGGCGAAGGTGGTCACCACGGATACTCAAGTCAACGACGGCGAAGAACCACAAAGTCGTTTTCACAGAAGAGATGAGAGCTCACTGCTTGGCTGATATAGAGTCACACCTCACCAAGGCCCAGCTTGGTGACTTTCAATTACCAGCCATTACATGCTTGCAGCAATACTTCAACTCCTACGTGGATTCCTTCCACATACACTTTCCCTTCCTACACCTGCAGACTCTCGAATTAGAGAAGGTACCTAGTCCACTAGTCCTAGGAATATGCGCCATAGGTGCCCTCCACAGACTTCAGAGAAAGATGGCCTCATCGCTTTATCTCACAGCCGAACGAGTTCTGGCGAGCATAGACTTTGAAAGACTGCAGGCTATCCCAGAACTATTGGATGACTGGGCGAGACCTCGAGACTCACCGCCACCAGACCAGGGGCCGCTGGTCCTCGCCCAGACGCGGTTCATTCTCGTCTTCTTCGCATCCTTCAGCAGTGAGCCGCGGTTGATACGTCAGGCTCTCGTCGGCTGTGGCCATCTATCAGCAGTGCGTGTGCAGATTTCGAGATATTTCTTACACTCGCTTACAGATTATCTCAGGATTTTAGGTCAAGAATGGCCCGCGCAAAGCCTGGTTCAATGAACTTGAACCTCTCTCAATGGCATTCTTGGGTCGAACATGAGTCGATAAAGCGGTGAGAGCACCTATTCCTGTCGAAGACTTCGCCGCTGACTGACATCAACAAGTCTCATGTGCTGCTGCATGGTTCTCGGTAATCTCCTCGTCATAGCCTACGGTATCGTGCCAGGCTTCGCAGCGCTAGAAGAGTGCAACATTGAGATGCCCGCCGAAGATGAGCTATGGGATGCCACGAGTGCTTCTGAATGGAAGTCGTCTCTGCAGAGGCGACTGCCTTCTTCGCCTCTAGGTCTTCGTCAAGCAACAGCTTGGATATTTGGTAACAGCGCACGGGAAGAAAAACTAGACGCAAGCTGGACCTGGTCACCGTTCGCAGCGTCAATCGTAATGCACCAAGTTGCTATCGTCGTCTGGTTCTTCGCCCACGGGAAAGAGGCCTGCTACGGAACGACGCAAAGCTATCGAGAAAGCCACCAATCTGACGCCAAGAGGATAGAGGCTGCTCTTTCGAGGTGTAGAGATCTGCTAACGGAGACACGCGATGGCAACGACGGCACGTGGACTGAAGCTGACGGGCCATTGTTGTTTAACGCATTTGCGGTTTTGCGTGTTTCGTACGGCCGAGCTTTCATCAACTTCCGGTCGTTAGATCGCTCGCTACTCTTTCAGGAGAGTAGCCAGGATATGCTGATCATCTTGCAACGCTATTTTGACGCTGCTCAAGAGCGGGATGGTTACATGACCATGGCTGTTGACTGTGCCCTGGAAGGCTTTGCGATACCCATTCGAGCGGGAGTCTTGCTCACGCAAAAGACGGCGGCGTTGAAGTGGAGTGTTGAACATGCTTTGGCGGGATGGGATGCTGGTATGCCTTGACTCTTTCGCGAAGTTTTCGGCGTGAAGAAGACGTTTTCGTACTGACCTTGTCAGGCCTTTTAGTGACGAAGTGGGTTCATACGGTCGAATGTCTGCAGTCTACGAGCGGAAAGACTACGCCAGAAGAAACAAAGGTCCTCGATAACGTTCGCTATCTCCTCAGCCAGATTGACGTTGATCGATCTCCATCTTGCTCTCTTGCTGCGGATCTTGCTCGTGTCTGGGCTGGACTCTATGACGATACTTGGGTTTGGGGTGGTGAGTATTACTCGGATCTATCCTTGGGTTCCTGTTGCTGAAATCCGATTAATAGTCGCACCACGTATGAGCTGGGTTCTCCGAGAGCTTGCAAAGTTGTATGAGCAGGAAGCTTCAGATATACAGAGGCAGCAACCAACTTAGTATAGTTGCCCGTCTTCTGTTCGGCAGTGGTGCCGTCATGTCGTACTTAAGTATTTTCCTTATGCTACCGTGTCAAGGACGCAGAGCAGAAAGAAAACTCAAGAATTACTGTTGGTAACAAACCACGCTTCTGACTAGTACTGTTCTTATCTCATAGCAACGTCTCCAGCTTTATATAAGAATGGACAAGCAGACACATCACGGGCGTATCTTATGCACGGCATTTTGGCTTAAATAAACCAAGATGACTCAATGGTCGGCAGGAAGACATGGAGGGCCCTCAGGCAGGCCCATTCAGGTATCTTTTTCCTCATTCCGATTGCCTGTCCTGCGGTTCCTTGAGAATATCGAAGTTCCATCTGCCCCGGTCAAAAGCCCCTCCATCCCACATTGCCTAATTAGGCAACAAAACCATCCCGCCCTAACCACAAACGTCGTAACGGTCACACGAACCCGAGCTAAGACATGCCATCGACATGGCACGAACACTGTTCTCATTATGGCAAACCACAAAGGGGCCGTAGCTTAAGTTCAAGGGACATGACAGCTCTTTAACTGACGCACACTGTGAGAACCATCGAGAGCATTGCCAGCTCAAGACCCCACCTTGAATCCCACCGGAGTGCCTCTCCACGCTCGTATGTATGTACGGACTACGGACTCTTGAAGTGCGGTGAGAGCATAGTTTCCTTGTTACAGGGAGACATACATGGCAGTGCCAAGTTCCGATGACATATGCGACGAACTCATTGGACCATGGCGGTCAAAATCTCTGACAGCAGACATCGAGGGCGCGGCAGATGCCCATGGTACTCCACTCGATGGCATACAGCCCGGCCTTTTACACGGAGATCTTGGCCCTTGATAAAGACGGTAGTAAGTCCAGGGACGGGCCGACATCTGCATCTGAGGTAATAATCGGGATGTCGCGGCGTGATAGGACTCCGATCTATGTTGTATAAAATAACCTTAGAGCAATCATTTTCCCGAACTCGCTTACCAACTACCGACCAGCTTGGAGGACAACTTGACTTCAATACCAAATCCACTACGTCAAACATTAACATGTCTTTATCCTGGAGCAGCTGGCTCACCACACTAGAGCCGCAACAGTCAGCTCTCGGCCTGCTCTTCGTCGTCCTCTCCTTGGCACTCGCTTATGTCTCCATACCCGGACGCCACGACCACCTTCCCTACATCAACCGGCCCCCAAAGTGGGATTTTCTTGGCCAGAAGACCAAACAACACTTCGTCAGCAATGCCCGAAGTCTGATGGCCAATGCTCGGGAGGCCTTCAAAGGCAAGCCCTACCGAATGTTCACCGACTTGGGGGATCTCATTGTTATTCCGGCGCACCAAGCCGATGAGATGCGTAATGAGCGTTCTCTAGACTTCCTCGAGGCCTTTGTGGACAATTTCCATCCCGACATTCCGGGGTTCGAGGCCTTTGCCTTTGATGGCCGGAAGGACCAGCTGCTTCACAGGACTATTAACAAGAAGATCACCAAGATGCTCAGTACGTCCTGAACATTCCGCCTGAAATTCGATAGCTTACTCAACGTGCTTGTCAAGATGAGATTACTGCACCACTTTCGCTGGAAGCTGACTTTGCTACGCGCCTGATTCTCGGAACTTCGACAGGTAAGCCACCTTACCTTTTCATATGAAAAGTCTTAACTAAAAGGAGCAGAATGGCGAGAGATTACGCTTCAAGAAGCGCTTCTGAACCTTGTGGCTCGTCTGTCCTCTCGTGTGTTTCTTGGCGATGAACTCTGCCGCAACGATGCATGGATTGAAATCACTGGTTCTTACAGCGTCAACACTTTTTCAGCCGCAGAAATTCTTCGGCAGTACCCTTATTATCTTCGTCACATCGCCTGCCACTTCATTCCGCAGTGTCGACTGCTCAAAGAACAAGTTGCAGAGGCACGACGAGTTCTGAACCCGGTACTGGAGAAGCGAGAATGGGAGAGAAAGAAGGCATTGGCTGAAGGGAGGACTGAACCTTCCTACAAAGACGCGATTCAATGGGTCATGGATGAGTCTCAGGGCAGTCCTTTTGACCCAGTAGGAGCTCAACTTGGCCTCTCTGTTGTGGCTATCCACACCACTACTGACCTCGCAACGGAAACGATGCTTCGACTGATGGTAAGACCACAGTTAATGGAGGATGTTCGCGCTGAGATTGTGACGGTCCTCCGGAAAGAGGGCTGGACTAAGGCTGCTTTATTCAACATGAAGCTGCTGGACAGTGTCATCAAGGAGGCGCAGAGACTTAAGCCGACGACTTCTGGTAAGCGACTTTGGAAAATCTTCGAGGTGTCTCAGCAATAACGACTAATTGTTTTCCTAGCGACGATGAATCGAAAAGCTACTAGTCAGGTCAAGCTTCCTGGAGGATTGGTCCTCGAGAAGGGAGACCGCTGTATGGCAGATCTCGGCTCGATGATGGACCCTAACATATATCCAGACCCTCTTGAGTTTGACGGGTATCGATTCTTCCGGATGCGTGGAGACCCCAAGATGGATAGCAAGGCTCATCTGGTGAGCACATCTGTGTCACACATGGGATTTGGCCACGGCCAGCACGCGTGTCCTGGGAGATTTTTTGCCTCCAATGAGGTCAAGGTCCTTTTGTGTCACTTGCTGCAAAAATACGACTGGAAGCTTGATAGTGGATTCGAGCATACGATTTATGAATTCGGCCTTTCCTTGTCGTCGGGCAGGACCAAGACGTTTGTCTCGAGGCGACAGAATATTGAGGTTGACATTGACGCGTTGTAAAGTTAGGAGGTTTTGCTCGAGATCCGGGGAAAAGGTCAATGATGAACGGAGAGAGTGTAGGCAGGCACTTGATAAAGTACTCAGTAGTGAGGGATACGGCGCAACTACCCCGTAGTTGTATGGCATTATTTTCTGTAAATTCATGAGAAAGTCACCTCAGCCACTCCGTCGTTGCACTATTCCTGGATCTTGTCCCCGCCGCCGGGGTCGATGTACGTGATAACGGAGCCATCGTCGCTGCTTTCATCCCATGTGGTAACAGGGATTGACCCTGCCTGCCGTCTGGGCAAGGGAATCGAGTCATGAGCTAATTATCCCAACGTCCAGAACCGGCCCAAGTCCTCATTCTGGCTTTTGCCCATATCACCCCACTGGTTCAATATTTCACCTATCCCACGTGGGAAATACCTAGTCATGAATGCCCCTCACAGTTCTACGCATTAAAGTGCGATAGCAATCTAATTTTTCAATATCGTGTGGTGGGAAGCCGCTTAGACCGCTTGCTTGCGTCACTGTCCGGTCAATGAATCTGTATCGGGGGTTTCCATCGGGAGTCCTCCGGGACTTCCTACGGGCCTCCCGGAACCGGCTTCGCATGAAGCCATTGTCAGTTTGCAATATGAAAGCCCGGCGGGAGGCTTGGCTCCAGTATTCAAATATCGTCTCATAGCCCCCTCTATCCTATCGTAAGCGGCAAGCCTGCTCTCAGCTTCTCATTCACAGCCAAGTCCTGTCTGTCCAACTCAGACGTCCACTCTTTCATACCATGCTGCAACGACTTGCCATCCTCGCCTCGGCGGTGGGCGTTTGCCATGCAACAACTCAGATCGTCACCGGCGCCACTCTTTTCGTCGGAGACTCAACGCCCATCGTGAGCACCTCGTATGCCCAGTTCCAAGGCAAGAATGACGACAGAACTGGTACCTCGAACTACCTTGGTAAGCTGACCTTCCTCCCCTCTCTCAAATGTGAAACTTAGTGCTGATGACAGTTGCTGCTAGGCATTCCTTATGCTACTGCGGCGCGGTTCAACCACTCGGTACTAGCCGAGACCGTCGTCTCCGGCGTGCAAAACGTCTCAGCCTACGGCGCCGTCTGCCCGCAACACGAGCTTCCCTCCTCCATCGATCCCTCTGTGCTGCCCCTGGGCAGTCTCTCCGGCACACTCGTTGCCGCACTCTCGCAGTCTACCCTAGAGCAGAGCGAGGACTGCCTCTCGATCAACATCCACGTACCGCAGAACACCAGCAGCACCGCCGGCCTGCCCGTCCTGGTGTGGATCCACGGCGGCGGTTTCGAGGCTGGCGCAGGCGGCTCGCTGATGCAGGCTGATGTCGAGAACCCCGGCGTAGTCTACGAGGCCGCCAACATCGTCGAGCGTAGTGTCGCCATGAGACAGCCCGTCATCGTGGCCTCGATCAACTACCGCCTGAACCACTTTGGCTTCAGCGCCTCTGAAGGGCTGGCTGCCGCTGGCTTGCTGAACCTGGGTTTTGGTGACCAGCGCAATGCTCTCCGCTGGGTCAACAAGCACATAGGCTCCTTTGGCGGTGACGCCGACAAGGTCACTATCTGGGGCGAGAGTGCGGGTAGCTGGTCAGTGGCTGCGCATCTTGTAGCCAACGGCGGTGACAACGAGGGGCTCTTCCGGGCGGCCGTGGGCAGCTCGGGTGGACCGCTTAAAGTTGACGGTCCGGCGAGACAGCAGGATACCTTTGACTCCCTAGCTAGTTACGTTGGATGTAGTGACGCCGCGGACGTGATCGCCTGCCTGAGGGAAGCGTCATACAACGACATCTACGCGCACATGCAGACGGTACCATACTTCCTCGGCTACAATAGCTTGGCCTCGTCTTGGACCATCCGCCCCGACGGCGAAGTCTTCACAGACAGCCCTGACAAGCTTGTCAGCGCGGGAGCCATTGCCGACGTTCCCCTGCTCTGGGGTGACATGCGCGACGAAGGCACCCTCTTCTCGCTCATCAACGCCGCCAACACCACCACCGACGACGAGGTAATGGACTACTTCCTGAGGACCTGGTGGCCCAACGCAACCGATGCCCAACTTGAGCAGATTCTCACGCTGTACCCGGCCAACCAGACGGCCGGCTCGCCTTTCGGCACGGGCGAGAACAACGCGCTCTACACGCAGTTCAAGCGCATCTCGGCCATCACTGGCGACTACAGCTTCGAGAGCCAGCGTAGGCAGCTGCTTGATGCCGCGCCGGGCACCAAGTGGAACTATCAGGTCGACCAGGCGCTGCCCGCGGCTGTACTGGACGGCTCGGCGACGCTGGGCGCTGTCACGGCGGCTGATTATGCTAATGCTAGCGCCCTCGAGGCCATCCCGTACCTGGGAAGTTTCCATGCGAGTGATGTCGTGTTAAACTTCTTTGGTACGCTGCCGGCGAACAATTCTCGCCATATGATGGGTACCCTGATTGCGTTCGTCAACAACTTAGATCCCAACAAGCACGACATGAGCGATGTGCCAACTTGGCCGCAATATGAGTCGACCAGCCGGTCAACAATCCTGTGGAGCGAGTACGGCGCAGAGATCGTGGCTGATGACTACCGCGAAGAGGCGATCGCGTACCTGAATGAGATTGGGGATTCCTTGCGGATCTAAGTCTGCAGCCGGGAACTGATGCGATATCTTATTTTCAATCGTGTCATATTTATGCCTGTATATATCTTATAATTCATGAATGACTTCAATGAGAACCGACCTCACTACATTACGCTCTTGAACCAGAGCAAGCATTTTCCGCAGCCTGTGATCCGCCACAATTTCTTATCCATTTGTAGAACGTTTCGTTTCCGGTTGGGTTCACTCTCAGAACAGGATCTTCATCTTTGACCACAAAGGGAAATAATCATGTTTTCAACTTGTCCTTTGTTAACTATTAGTATGCTTATACTTACATGTACATTCATCTACATATTACTACATAATAAGCCAGTCTTTCATCTTCAAGCGTCGTCCGGCCCCTTAGGCGCCTTCTCAGTCTGCACTTCTCTCAAGAACTCTCCGATTCTGGTAGCCACAGCCTGCGCGCTCTCAGTCCAGCCGATAATGGCGCCCATCAGCAGCGTATCATGAACAGCATTCTCCTCGTACGACACTGTAACGCTGCTCTCTGCCTCCTGCATCTGCCGGCACCATGCAGTACCGTCCGTCTCCAAGATCTCGGCCTCACCCATTGACACGAAGATAGGCACCTTGGTTCCCCAGGCGTTGCCAAGGGGCGTCACATACGGCATGTTATCATCAGAAACGCCGGCCGAGTACACCTTTGCGCCCCAGCGCAAGAACGAGACGGGGAGGTAGTCGGTGCTCCAGTGCTCATGCTGCTTGTACACCGAATCCGGACCCAAGCTGGCCAAGGGGTTGACCCAGGGGGCGATGAGAACCGCGCAGCTAGGGATGGCAAGTCCGAGGTCCGGTCCGTAGGTGTCGAGGTAGCGCAACAGGGCGATCACAAGATTGCCACCCGCACTGTCGCCGCAAAGCACGATACGGTTGGACGGGATATTGAGGATTCGAGTCAGGTAGAGGTAGCTGGTCAGGACGTCTTGCAACGCAGCGGGGAACGGGTTCGCGGCCGCCTCGGAACCGCTGCCGTAGCCTGACAGCCGGTACTGAGGCGCAAAGACGGCGCCGGCGCCGGCCTTTTCGATGAGCGTGTTTGCCATGAAGCCGCAATATCCCGTGCGGCCGTCACCCAGCACAAAGGCACCGCCGTGAATCTGCAGAACCACGTTGCCTTCGAAGCCCTTCTCGACGTCGGGCTTGGCCGGGAACCAGGTGCCCCCCACGGTGGTGGGCTTCACATCAGGGTTCGAGGCGAGAGGACCGAGGTAGAGATCTGAAGGGAAGGGGTCGGCGGTCTGGAAGCGATCACCCTCCTTTCCTGGCTTGAGGGTATGCGTCTCGGTGATGCCCACGTTTGAGTAGAGATCAACGATGCTTCGCGTCAAGCGCGCCATGAGGGCCTGTTTGAAGCCCCATTTCGGGTGAGGACGGCAGGAGGGAATCAGGGCCTTGATGGCCCATATCGGTAAGCAGGGAAAGAGAATGAAGAGAGCGCCGAAGATCTGATAGAAGATGCGTAGGGGTTGGTAGGAGAGAATAGGGAAACTTCCCCCCTGAGTGCCGGCCATCGTGAGTGATCGCCGTGTAACTGCGACGTAAAGAAGTGAGTATCTTGGTAGAAAGTTACAGAGTTACAGAGCTTTCGAGAGAGTATATGAAAGCCGCGGCACAACTATGTCGATCGATCACCAGGGTCACAAAAGGGGAAGCAGTCAGGAGAAGCCCATCAGCCGGGTGCGATACACCGACGAGAGGATAACTGCGCTTAATACTTGCCGTAACAGATCGTCAATGATACAGTTCAGGCAGAGTTCGTCTACCTTTTTCCCATTCAAGAAAGCAATTTGCTGGGGGCAGCAAAAACCCATGAAAACTCTGCATGTTTTTCTGTATCCGCGAACCACGATTTCTTCAGAGTTCGGGACTGGAGTCCGGCATCCAGGGGTGAAGCTCGACATTTTGGGGAGTATTCCGTCCGACCTGGACCTGGTTGACAGGTCGAATTTCTTCAACGCGGCCCCGCTCAGATCCAGTTCTCGATGCAAAATCAATCTCAATCAGACTGCGCCAGACATGAAGCCCGCGATTTGATACCTCTTGATAGGGTAACATTTGGTGATGGTGGACTCTTGGGGGGGCCTTGGCGAGTCATGTCCTTCGTTCGAGTGTGGTGTTGGGGTGGACAGTTGAATGGAGTCTAGTAGCACGGAGAGTGGGCGTCACCTGACTCGCAATTCCAAGTAACAAACGTATCCCTGCACCGGCAAGTAGGTCTCTTCAAGGCCGGCAGCTAGGGTAGTATGCGCGGCATTGGCCCGTATGCGACTTTGCAAACCTACAACGGGCAATTCTCTCGCAGTTTTGTCCCTCGAGCGTGCGACGGCACCACTCTGAGGGCACAGGCATTACGACATGTTTCCAAATTTTGACCATGCTAGACTGATGCTAGACTGATGACTATCAACGGGGCGCGCGGCGAGGGGCGCGCCCGGCATCCCAAGGATCGAGACCGGACTTTGGTTCTGCCCCCCATGGGCCACTAAAGGAGCTTTCATCGTGCATAAACAATACCGCCCACCGATTCTCGCGAGATTCGTCACCTTCCTGCTCTGGTCATCACATTTGACAATTGTTGGTTGGGTTTGTTGGCGAATCTCCTCTGCTTGACCGGATACACGACTCAGGTCAGACCAGGGACGCTTCATGTTCAAATAGGAAAATGGCTTCGACGACGACATCGACGAGCAGCAACGATCCGCATACGGACACAGCAATCATCGCCATCAATGTTGTTCTTGCGGTGATAGCCACCATCACCTGTATCGGACGATTCTGGGCACGAAAGCTCACGGGTTTGGGATGGGGTCTCGACGACTGGCTGGCGTTGGTCAGTCTGATCATTAACCATGCCTTTTGTGCCACGACTATCGAGGCAACGGTCCACGGCGGCTTGGGACGAAGCATCGTTGATGTGATGGCTGAAGACCCAAATCAGCTGATCACGTTCTTGAAGGTTTGATGCAGTTCTTACTCCCTATAGCACTTCGTCAAGCCGTGGAAAACTGACCCTTACTGCAGTGCGTTGTCATCGCCGAGTTCTGCTACGGCTTTTCCTCGCCATTGATCAAGTTGTCTCTGCTGGCCTTCTACTGGCGCGTCTTCCCCACGCCGTTCATGCAAAAGGGCATCTACGCGCTCTCGGCGGCATGCCTGGGTTGGCTCATCGCCATCTTGATCACCAACTGCTTGCAGTGCCGCCCACTCTCATACACGTGGGAACAAACGACGAACCCAGGCGCGGGTACCTGCATCGACCTAATTCTCTACTTTGTTGGTAACTCGATCGCCAACAGTCTAATCGACATCCTCACGCTTGTGCTTCCGATCCGCGAGACCATGAAGCTGCAGGTCAGCTCGAGCAAGAGAGTCGGCATCTGCTGCGTTTTCGCGCTAGGCAGTCTGTGAGTAGACCTCGAAAAAAAAATTTTGAACACGCGTCTGTGGGCACGATCTAACAAAGTGAGACAGTGTGGTGGTTGCTAGTCTGGTGCGGTTCGGCTCGTTAGCCTCCCTCTACTCAATAGGCGTAACAGACATGACACGTACGTAAACACCCCATCTTCTTCGACCACGAAACATTTGGCGCTAACTCGTTCAACTATTAGAACAATACGCTCTCATGTGGACCGCCACCGTCGTGGAGATCTACATCGCCATCATCGGCGCTTGCGCCGTCACTCTCGTCCCGGTGTACCGCAGGATCCGTTACGGCACGCCGTGGTCGACCCGGGACCAGAAGTCCAACCAGGTCTCGGGCGGACCTGCAACCTTTGGAGGTACTGGCGGCAACTCGCGCCCCGGCGTCTCTCACAACTTCAAGCGCTCCGCGAACCACGAGCGTCTGACTACCGGTAACGATTCCGAGGAGTATCTGCACCACGGTAGCAACATGAAGTAAGTCAAACCCCCCACTTCCTGGCACCCCCCTGTTTCTGGCACCCACAAAAACGATGGGATCACAACCCAACCTCCTCATTACTATTAACTATTGATCCTCAACCACACCCACTACAATACAACTGCCAGCCTCACTAGGGCATTCAGAGTCGCTGGATTCAGCCGTAATAACCTCCTTTTCACCCGCTTCGATTTGAGCCCGATGGATATCCCTGATGTTCGCAAACTTCGTGTTGGGATCGATCTGAACAGTCTTCCTCTTCCTAACTGCAGCGTTGGTAACTTGGCCCTCAGGTGAGCCAGCTGCTGCTGGGCAACTGCCAGTTGCCAGGCCTGCTCTGTGAAGCCTTTTTTCACCTTCCTGAACAGCAGCCGTTGAGTGCTGGTATCATTGTCGAGTTGGGTGTATAAGTGCAGTTGACCGCTGAGCTCTGCCAGCTTCCTGGGTGTCGACCAGACCACTGCAGAGGAAGCAGAATCCCATGGCTCAACAGGGTAGTTTGTTGACCATTATGGCATCGCTTTTGCCCCGACTGGTTGGTTTGGGTGTGGTGGGCTTAGCAGAAGGCTCAGGTAATACCATAGGGTTCATCAGGGGCTTAACCATCGCTACAGGGTGTAGACCAGTCCACTTCCAACCACTTCTGATGTTCGAGACTGATAGACCAGCAAGTCGAGCCTTCTGGTAACAGTCCAGGAAGTTCCTTTTACCTATAATGGTAGAGTCGTTCCATTGAGACAAGTAACCGAGCTCCTTCCGATAGGCTGACTTAACAGGGCTGAAGACAGACTGGTCAAGTGGCTGGAGGACATGAGGAGGTGGTGGTAAGAACAGTAAATGGATATTGTTAATATAGCAATTCCACATGAAGTCTGTCGTCGTATGACTCCCATGCCCATCCACAATCAACAGTCGAGCCTCGCCCTCAGCCTCGGGCATAGTCTGTGGGATAAACACCTTCTCTAACCATTCAATGGCAGTTAAGTCTGTAGTCCAGCCATTATCTGTTGCTGTAAACTCCCACCCATCGTATGGAACCAGATGTAATGGAAACCACTGTTGTTGGACCGTCTTCCCTTGAAAATGATAAGAGGACGAAGTGCCCTACCCAAGGCTGAGATACACTCAATGATAGAGACCCATGCCCTCGACCCAGGTTGTTTCTTGCGAACAGACGTCGTCTCAGCCATGCCCAGCACTAACCCATTAGCTCCCTGACCCTCGAGGATGCCAGTCTCATCCATATTATATCTGTTGGCTGGTTTGATGTCCTTGATCTCAGGGATAGCAAGGAACTTAAACCAGTTCCTAATGACCTCAGTAGATGCCCCATTAACGCGTCTAGAATCGATGGAACGACTTCTCTGAACCTTAATGATAGGGTTCCTTCTCACGAAGGCATAGATCCAGCCTTTTCCTAATGGTTTGGTATCCCCAGCAGCAGCCAGAACTCGCTCTGCGAATTCCTTCACCTGTTGGTGCGTTGGTGCGAGGCCCAGCGAAGCCTGAATGCGAACCCATTGTGCCAGCTTACTCTCCTGGTCAGGAGACAGCCTCTGCCAGTCAGCAAAAGCCACTTTCCTAGTCTGACCACCTTGGAGACGTAGTTGGAGGGTTGATCGTGGTATCCCATACTCCAATGAGGCTCTCTTTGACTCTTGCCGTTTGAGCGAAGCTGATCTTCGGTATATTGAGGCATTAGATATAGAAGAAGGTATGTGCAAAAAATGAGCCCATTTGGACTCGAATTGAAAATGTTGTGATAAAAGGAGGTTGGGGGTGGGCATTGCGTTGTGGTGGATTTTCGCGTTTTTGTGGGTGCCAGAAACAGGGGGGTGCCGGGAAGTGGGGGGTTTGACTTACTCGGTCTCTGGGGCTACCAGAACCAGCGACAAGCGTGACGTTCTCGGTGAGGACTTGCCCATGGACACCATTGTCGTCCAGAGGGATGTCACGTGGGAAGAAGAGCGAAAGGAGAGGCAGCATGTTTAGGTGTTATAAGATACCATGTAATTTGTTGTATTTCTACTGATGATAGCCTTTTTTTTTGGTCTTTGAACGCTGAACACGATACCGTTGGAGGAAATTGGAACTTGGAAGATACCTTAGCTACTTACTTAGATTGTGCGATGAAACTCGCCTTTAGAATAATCAACTCGACCCGTCTCGAATAGCTTCAAGTTTGCTCCCATACCAACAAGTCATGTGTCCTCGCACTTTGTCTTGCTCCGCCAGCCCTCCTGTAGTGGGACTACTCCGTACACTCACCACCATCCACAAGCAGAATAACATTTTGACTGTGTCAGATTGGGCATCTTTTTCCCATTCGAGCATGAACACGTGGAGAAAGTTTCAAACCCATGGCCTGAGTCACGTCCGTGCTCTTAAGAGAGTTTTGTTTGTCATCAACCAGCGGAGGCCTGTTGTTCCCGATTTCAATATCGGCGGCATCCCGGTGCCGCGTGGTCCACACCCTCGTAGAATGACAGCCAGGGGTCAACTTGATCCCCTGCGATGTTGAGACTCGTACAAGGGGTTTGCAGAGGGTATCGACATCCCGTCGGTTGCCGATGCACAGTTACTCCGAGATGCACTAGATGAGTGATGAGAGACTATACCTAGAGATCGAGATAAGGAGTCAAGGACTCATCTTGGTCCTCATCTTGAAGGGGCATGCAATGCTGAACCTTCATCTATCGGCCCCTGGTCCGAACTCCGGAGAGTTTTTTGAGAGTTTTCGGAGAAATCAACGCCGGCGTGGCAGCGATGACATCCATACACCGCCCAATGTCGACCTGAGAGGGGCAGGTATTATCCAGACTCAGTGATCGTCGTCCACGTTGGGCAATTTTCCAAGGGTATAGCTCAAAAGGGGTAAAATGTAATTTGGCCTACCCAGACAACATATTAACCCAGAAGTCCCCGGTCACCAGACTCAACTCCATTAACGATATGATATAACGCTGATCGTCAACAAGAATTTCTTCTTGAGCGTTAGCCATGACTAGCTAAAAGCATGACCGTAGTTTGACGGCCCTGGCCTTACGTTCAATTGGGGATTGGAAAGATAGTAGGACGGAGCAAGTTCCGTCCATTGAAGTTTTCTTTGGCACTTCTCAGGATGATCGCAATTGAGCAGTGAGGGTCCGGAATGATCGGTGAACTCGTAAGGAAATGGAGGAGCAGATTGAGTTCATTGAATACATCTATCATGCCCCTTGAATTCAAGGGTTCGTGAGCATCATGCAGGAACCAGCTTCATTCTTTTGCTCTCTGCGGTGCACTGATTTTGTTCAGTTTCTGTATTGTCGAATATCCAACTGACGAGTTGAGTATACTCGACTCCGGCCTACATTCCTTGATCACGTCTTTCACTCCTTTCATCTATTAATCATGTCGTCTAAGTGGCTTGGGCTCACGGCCCTCCTTGCGGCATCCCACTCTGCCCTGGTTGTTGCGAAGCCCATCACATCCCGTGAAACCTTGAAGCCGAAGGTCGAGATCAACTACGCCAATGTAACGGGGCGTGTAAACGGGAACATCCAGGAATTCTTGGGTACGCTGCCATGATTCAAGAGCTAAGAGATTCACCCCGAGTGACATTGCTAACTCGTCCAAGGCATTCCCTTCGCGTCGGCCGGCCGCTTCGAGCACTCGCAGCTCTTCACCGAGCAGCTAGGTGACTTCGACGCCAGCGACTACGGCCCAATCTGTCCGCAAAAGACAACGGCCTCGATCCTGACCACTGACTCGAACAGCAGTCTGGTCTTTGGCGAGCTGGGCACCCAAATCGGCCCCGTCGTAGGCGCCCTCGCCGATACAGTCTTCAACCTCATAGGCCGAACCCGCAGCGAGGACTGCCTCCTCATCAACGTCCAGACCCCCGTTGGCACCACTAAGGGCGACAAGCTCCCCGTAGTGATTTGGATCCACGGCGGCGGCTACGAGGTCGGCAGCCCCTTCACCGACACCAGCGAGACAGACGTGATCCGCGGCGAGCTGCTCAACTACAACGTCGGTGGCCTCGTCCGGACCTCTGTCGACCTGGGCCAGCCCATCATCGGCGTCTCGGCAAACTACCGACTCAATGCCTTTGGCTTCTCGGCATCGCGGGAGATGGAGGAGGCGGGACTTCTCAACCTCGGCCTCGAGGACCAACGGGTAGCGATGCAGTGGGTGCAGGAGCACATTGCTGACTTTGGCGGCGACCCTGACCAGGTCGTCATCATGGGCGAGTCGGCTGGTAGCTGGTCCGTCGTTGCGCATCTCCTCTGGGACGAGGGCGAGGGCGCTACTGACTTGTTCCGCGGTGCGATGGCCCTGTCTGGAGGCCCGGTCATGGTTGAGAGTGCTGAGCGAGCCCAGCCTTTCTTTGATCATATGGTCGAAAGGACTGGATGTGCAGGTGCATCGGATAAAATTGCTTGCCTGAAGGTTGCCGACTTTGACGATATCATGGCCTCCGTCAACGAAGAGGGAATGCGTAAGTTCAATTTTGATACGAGTCGTATCTTGATATTGTGCTAATAACATGCTTTTAATCAGTCCTCGGCCCTCGTTCCCTTGCTTCAACTTGGACCCTCCGTCCCGATGGGAAGCACCTCAAGGACTCTCCCCACCGCCTCGCTGCAGCCGGCAAGATGGCCTCGGTGCCTCTGATCACCGGCGACATGCGCGACGAGGGCACTCTCTTCTCCCTTCTTGCCCAGCTCGAGACTCTCTCGGACGAGGACTTTGCCAACTACTTCCAGACAATCTGGTGGCCTAAAGCTTCTGAAGCCGACATGGCCGGCCTCATGAAGCTCTACCCCGCAGACATCACCAAAGGCTCCCCCTTTGGCACAGGCATCCTCAACGCCGTCACGCCCAACTTCAAGCGCCTGGCGGCCGTGGTGGGCGACTTCAGCTTCCAGGCTCAGCGACGCAATCTTCTGGCACATTACAACGTCTCGGAGCAGACTGTATGGAACTACGTCACCGACGTGAGCATCCCGTCGGCGGGCCTGCTGCCGGACCTCGGCGTGTTGACGCACCTGCCTGTGCTGGGATCATTCCATGCGTTTGACGTGTGGTTCTACATGTTTGCCGGTCTGCCGTATGCGTTGAGCAAGAATACCCAGGCTTACCAGGCCACCGCCATCTCTTTCATCCGCACGCTGGACCCCAACAATCATGGTCTGGACTTTGCCGAGTGGCCGAGATACTCTGAAGAGGGCTTGGAGACGTACAACTTCAAGGAAAGCGGGCCTGATGTGACCAGAGACGACTGGCGTGTTGAGGCTATGCAGTACATCAACGACCACCCTGACTCTTTCTTGCTTTAAAGACCTGTGTTCTGTTAATTTTGTTTTAAAGATGTCTCTGATATCATTTGGTGCTTACTAAACATACTTCAAGTATATATGTAGCTACGGCGAGACTTTATATGAGCTCATTCGTCTTGGCCTGAAGGACACATGTTGATGGCCAAGAACAGGATTCGCGTGCACCTCATACTTAATATATCTGTATTACAACTTGCTTGGAGAGCTGTCTTTTCACCACCTATAAGAGGCTGAGTACGGAATTATGATCTATTAATGGCGATATGATATTTTCCTATTTCATACACACCCCTTACCTTATTACCATGCTTGGCTACGCGCCGGGATGAGGATTGGTACGACATACACCAGCAAACAGACATGTACATATGTACATGAACATTGAGCTCCTTAATTTGGCCACAAGTAATTCATTACTCAGAGGCAGTTCAGGGGCAATTTTAAGCATGAAGAGATTCATGACTCAATTTGGTCCGTCGCCGGCCAGGCTTTACGCCATTTTGAATTACTATTCCGTCAACGAAATTTGAACTGGCCATGAATTTACTCTGATGCTAAGTTATAGCAACATCAAATACGATTCCTATTCAATGAGTGTTCATGATAAAGTCTAATCGAAAGTCTAATGATTCAGAATTAAAAGTTTAGGTCTGTCTGTCCAAAAGCCCAGTCATGTGCCAGAGACACAAGTGAGTGAGTGAGTCTCGATGTCAACTAGAGTCCGAATGACTACGCCCGGCAAAGACGTCCAACGGAGTCTTCTTGCCACTTATCGCTTCCCACACAAGTTGGGCAGTAGAAGAGCTCCCCAGGGTCGTAGTACTCCTTGATGCACTGAAGCCTGTTGTAGTTGGCGCCATAGTAATCCACCTTCCAGTCCGGATCAAAAGCATCGCCCTCATTCATGTACGCCCCCATGTTCGGAGCCAAAGTCTTCATAGCGCCAATCTTATTGAACGTGACGTCGTCATGAACCTCCTTGAAGCGGGCATCACTGACGCCGGGGCTGAGAATACGCGCGACAGACTGATGCAAGACGGCCGTACGCCAGGCGGGGAGAACGGCGGAGTACTTCTGAGCTGCGTCGGCCCAGACTTGACCGCCAGAGACGATAGAGATAACATTTGTGACATACTCGCCCGTCTTTCCGGCCAAGGTCTCGACCAGGCCACGAACGCTTTTAAAGTTGCTGACAGCTTCCGTATCGAGGAGGCGAGATCCAGAGGCGGCCATGAGGCCGACGGGGTTGTTATCGGCGCTAACCTCCTCGAAGAAGGTCCAGTAGTCGCCATAAGCTACATAACTCGAGTTCACAAAGAGGGTGTCGTTGAACTTGTAAATCTTGTCGAGAAGACCCTTGCCAGCGGCTTCAGCTTCCTCAGCGGTCTTGTTGAACACGTAGATGGCGTGGGAATATGCCGTGGTGTAGTTGTTGAAAGAAGCAGACTGGCCGTCAGCCTGCCAGTGGCCATAGCCGGCGAAACCAGCATCCACCAACTCTGGGATTGAGGTGTAAAGAGTTGCAAGTGCATCCAGGAAAGCATTTTTAGAGATTCCGGTAGTGGCCGCGAACTGGAGGTTTTGAACAGCCACAGTGACTTGCGGGTACGTCTTGACAATCGTTGACACAACAACACCGTACGAGCTGGGACCTCCGCCACGGATGGCATAGTAAAGGTCCTGATGCTGGCAAGCGTTGACTGTAACAGCAGTGCCGTTGGCAAGGATCAGCTCAGCCTCAAGCACCTGGTCAGCGCCGAGACCGAAAGTATGGCTGGCCGGACCGTGGCCGCCGCCCTGCATCCAACCTCCCGTGCTGCAGACGGTCGAGCTGCCTCCGCCCACGACAACGACGTTATTCTCCTTTGCGGCCGCGTAGCTCTCACCCCACATGTACGCGCCGGCAAGCTTCATGGCGCTGCCGGTCCATCCTGAGGCTGTGCAGCCGGTGGAGGACTGGAAAGAGGTTTGCGGGGTGATGCCGTTGCGGAAGTAACGAAGCCAAATCTCCAAACCGCCGAAGCCGTCGCTGCGGCCGAGAACGTCGTGTCCGGTGCTCTTGATCACGACTCTCAGGTTTTTCTCCTCTGCGAACTTGAGGGCGGCGACGATGTCATCGGTCTCCGTCACGTTAACGGCGTATACGGGGTTCGTGCCGAGAGTACATACGCCTCCCGCGGCAGTTGAGTTCGATGCAGGTTGGACGGGAGGGCATGTGATGTTCAGGGGATAGTCCAGGCCGACGGGGTGCGATGACATCCATTCTCCCTTGTACCAGTCCACCATGACACTGGCGCACAATGCTGCGTCATAATCAGGACCTGGATAACAGGAAATAGCGACCGGTTTGGTCGCGATGAGCTTCCCCGAGAGAGTAGCATTGAATTGCTGCCAGTCACTTGTAGATGGCCAGCAAGCATCATTAGGTGCCTGTTGCAAAACGCCGTTACAAGCGGCCTTGTGTCAGTCCATCTGAGACGAATATTTGGGTATCGGATTGATCCATTTTGGCGGGGGGGACATAAACTTACACACTTGCATGAACTATTCGAGGCGATGGTACCAACTGCAAAGTTAAGTACGGAAAGCGCCCGTACCAATTTGTTTCTTAACATTTTGAATATCTGCCGCAGGGTGCCAAGAGCTGAAATGATAAAAAAACTTAAAGAAGGTTTAAGTGCCGAGTGAAGAATGTGATATCGAGAGCTGGGAGATAAACCAAATATAGTCCTGTAAATATTCCCATTGTTATGTGAGGACAAGTTCTTGCCCGCCTGCTAGCCTGGTCATGAGCCATGTCTTGTGCAAGCTAGGCATTTTCGATGCCGAACAACCGGTTCAAATTTTGGATGCGCCTCATTGGGTTGAAGTTATGACAACCACCCGAGTGCCAACACGAAGGCGAAGACGAGGCCGCGGATCGCGGTCAATGTGCGGACATTGTGCAAGACCATTGGTTAGGAGCTAGTGACTATGGGGGTCGTAATAAGCTCTGTGTGTGGCTGAAGACAGGGGACGCGAGAGCGAGGACGAGTCACGAGAGCGAGTTGGCTACTTAGTGACTGACTAAGTAAAGTACGTGATTTGCATGGGGAAGTAGAAGATTACCCTACCTTTCATCTCCCTAGCCACTGCTTAGGAAAGGTTCTTATGGGGCACTTCCGAGGTGGCTATCATGTGGCGGTGGTTGAACTCGATGAACTAAGAAACGGATCTTTTCAGAGAATATTGATACCAAACGTAGCACCAATTTTGTTCATACGTCACACCGGATCTTACACGACCTCCCAGCATATGAGCAGGACTTCGTAGTCAAATGTTCATGGACGAAGAAGGGAAGAAAACATGCCAAGTACTCTGATCCAGCAGGACTTCTTCGAGATGAGCGTGCAACAGATACACCTAGCTGTGAAACAGGATCGAAAGAAACCAGCAGCTAAGATTGCTATCGATTTGAACAACAACTGCGAGAAGAATCAAAGAGGTGCGACCCACTGATGAATTGCGATAGCCACCAACTAGACCCGCCGAGCGACTCACTCGGCGAAAAGCTCCCTTATACGGAGTGCCCCGGAATCCACCCTGGACGGCCCGGGAACCGTTACTGCCCGAAGCCAAGAACGCCACATCGCGGATCGGTGCTTTAACTGCCGCCGCCCGCTGCATCGTCTCGCGGACATAAGTTTCTGCGATCTAGCGACGAGGGTACAAGGGGGCGCAGGGACGAGGCGAAGTGAACCAAGCTCCTAGCTACTGTGGTTCCAAGCTCTAATATGCTTCCCGGCCGACGATAGAGTGCGAGAGCGAGGTATGGATACAAGCTGTTAGCGGCAACAATATAAATAAGCAACGACTACGATTAGGCAGCGTGGCAGCCAAGGGGCTAATCAGCGCATCCCGCACGAAGGTTTATAGAGTCATCTATCCTAAATCCTTGACGCTAGCAAGGGGTTACGTTGATTATCTACCGGCGCAGGGCCATACAACGTGATGCCTTTAAGTAGCGCCTACACAGCCCATCTTTAAACGTACGGAGTAATCCTGAGTCTCTTATTAGTAATTACTGCACTGGCTTGCAAGCGCTGGTTATAATTGAGTTCCGCGACCCCAGGGTTAATGTGGGGGAGTGCGACGTCAAGCCCAATCTTAATCATGTAAAACGACTGAGAGCGAGACCGAGACCGAGAAAATGGGGGAGCTGACATTGAGAAACGTTGCAACTCTGTTCACTACCCGGGTCCGGCGCAGCTACGCGAGCACGGCATCGGCCAAAGTCTACGATGCTGTACTTCGTAGTCCGTAACGCTTCATTCGCGTATGGCGTTGCTTCAACAACAACTCGATTAGAGTTGCGAGGCGACATGCCCAGACATGAAGCGAATACTCTCATCCCGGCATCATCACGAAGTCTCAACGTATAACTATTTGGAGTTTCCCGTCAGTAGCAAAGGATATATGCCACTCTCCAATCAACCTCACCCTTCAATCAACTACCTTGATATCCTCGAGCATTCATTCAGCGTCTAATTCAAACAACAAGATGTCTATGCCAGCACCCTCCAAGCCCCTTGGGGCCCTTGACTTCAGCTCCGTCAGCTACGGAAACAAGGCCCAGCGCTTTACAGCACAGAGCAACCTCGCACGGCTGATCCTTGCCGATAAGCTACAGGTAATAACCCCACGGAGCGGTCGACCCATTTGAGGAACCCCCTTTACTAATACAAGATTGACCGGGGTTTAGGCATTCCAAGAGCTCAATGTACTAGCAAAGGTCGCATTTGCCGAAGGCGACTTCACGGACCCCGATCCCGTCTATATCGACGCCCGCTCCAGCCCAGTCAAGCTCCTCGACTCGGCCCCCACCGACGGCGCCGAGCCAGCCTTTGAGCTCACATGGCGCCCGGAGCGCTTCGAGGACCTGGCCGAGGGCCGCGATGACCCGCAGACCGCCGTGTTTATGTCGGCCGTCCCCACCAAGGGAGACTACCCCCTGGCCATCCGCTTTGCAGACCTCATCACCCCGAACCCCACGGATGCCCCGACGACAAAGGACGAGCTCAACCTCGACGAGCTGCCCAAGCCGACAGAGGATATCGAGCAGGTCAAGCGTGACTTGAGGAAGTGGGGCTATGGTCTGATGAAGAACGCGCTCACCCCCGAGCAAGTCGCGATCCTCAAGAAGGGTGCCCAGGAGCAGGCTGCCGGCGAGCGTAATGCTGGCGTGGCAACGTTTGATGGCGGCCCAAAGAAGCCCAACCAGCGCATCTGGAACATCTTCAACAAGGGAGAGGAGTTCCTCGACCTGCTGAACCACCCCCTGATCGATGAGGTTGTGCCGTGGTACCTCGGCTGCAACAACCCCCTTTTGTGGTCCTACAACGTAAGCACTATCTTCCATCTAACGAAGAGGGACAAAAGACTGACACCATGACAACAGATCAACATCGCCCGCCCCGGCGGCATGCCTCAAGTCCTCCACTGGGACCAAGGCATCATGGGCCACGGCCGCACCAAGCCCTGCGCCCTCAACATCTCCTGGCTCCTGTGCGACTTCACCGAGAAGAACGGCGGCACCCGCATCTTCCCCGGCTCGCACAACAAGAACGTCCGCCCCCGCAACGTCTTCACCAGCGAGGGCACAATCGCCTGCGAAGCGCCCGCCGGTACCGCCATGATCTTCGAGGGCCGCATCTGGCACGGCACGGGCCGCAACACCGAGACCAGCGGCGAGAGACCCTGCGTTCTCTCCCTCTTCACCCACCCGGCCGTCAGGCCCAAGGAGAACGCGCTGCTCTCGCTCAGCTGGGAGGCCGAGGACGAGCTCCTCTCGGAGCGCCACAAGTCGCTGGCTGCGCTGAGGACGGGTCAGGCTGGTGTCGGTGGCGCGTTGGGTGAGGCGAGAGAGGGTATTATTGTGAAGCGGCCGAGGTCTGATTTCACCACTATCGGTAAGCTGAGAGCGCCGCATGATGATGCGGAGGTGGCCAAGATGATTGAGACTGGATCTCATGCCAATAATGCGCAGTCTGCCGTCCGTGAGGCCGGAGGACTTGACAAATAATTTGGGATACACATGTCTTCTTTACCTTGGTATCCAAAGAAACGGTTCAGGTAGACAGGTCAGGAACTTGGCGAGGCATTTGAATAGCAACACACATGATAGCGACAATTGAGCAAAATGAACAGAACTTCACATGGCCCGTGATGTCACACGTAGCACCACTTCAAATCTTGTAATAAAAAGTGAACGGCGTGTTTACTCGTAATCTCATCTCATCCAAAGCACTATGCCGATTTACGAATGAGTACCGCGCCAAAATCTGACCGGGACCGAAAGCGCCTCGCTGCACGCTAGGAACAAAAGCGTCATTACTCTATCCGTGGACGAATGTCTGACAAAGACACGGGGATAAACTGGCGATAAGACCATTGGTCCATTGCGTCGTAGTTAGCGTTTAAAGCCGGGCCAAGACCTCACATATCTCACTCAACCAACTCCATATGCTCTTTTCAACTTATACAACTTCAACGAGAGCCTGCGATCCAGCAACATAAGCAAAGGACTTACTTAGACTACAGTGACCTTCTTGAGAGCCGCCTATTCTCGCGCTCATCTACTGAATCCTCTTCATCTCAACAAACCTCAACCAAAACCCAACAATGTCGTCAACGAAAGGTCTGGCCCTAGTCACAGGAGCAAACGGCTTCATCGGAGCCCGGACAGTTGAAGCCTACCTCCTGGCCGGTTACACCGTCCGCGCCGCCGTCAGAACCCAGCGCTCCGCAGATGAGCTCACAGCCGCCCTTCCATCACAAGCCGCATCGGGCCAGCTGACCACGGCCATCGTCCCAGACATCACCGTCCCGGGCGCCTTTGACGAAGCACTCAAAGGCGTCACCTCCATAGCCCATCTCGCGACGCCCGTCAGTTTTACCAACACCAACGTCGAGGAAGTCCTGGGGACTGCCGTGCAGGGCACGCTCGGCATCCTCGAATCAGCGATCAACGTGGCCGGCTTAAAGTCCTTCGTGTACATGTCGTCCATCGTGGCGATCCGTGGCTCGAGTCCCAAGTTCCAGGGGCGGGTTGTCTCGGAAGCGGACTGGAACGACGAGGCGGAGGAGATTCTCGAAAAGGCGGGCTCCGAGGCGACGGGTCACCAAATCTACGGCGCCAGTAAGGTGAAGGGAGAGCGCGCGTTCTGGGACTTCAAGGAGAAGAACAAAGACAAGATCAACTTCAGCATGACGGCCGTCAACCCCGTGTGGGTCGCTGGCCCTCCGCTTATCCTCCCCGAGGACCCCAAGAGACTGAGTGATACTGCTATCATTGCGTATCGCGTCATGAGCGGCGAGGAGGTGCCGCCGGTGGGACCTGGCAACGGGACGCACGTTGACGCCCGTGATGTCGGGCGTCTTATTGTGTTCGCGGCCGATAGACCGGATGTGGCTGATGGGCAGCGCTTCATCGCTGGTGGGAACGGTAACTTTGCCAACATTCAGGCGTATTGCGACCTGTTGAGGAAGGCGTACCCAGATAGGAGGGATATTATCCAGGAGGGAGAGCCGGGGAAGGGGTATCTGGAAGGCTACGGCGAGCCACCTGAGTCACGAA